TCTGTTTTATTTTTGCAAGTTCTATCGTCTATTAAATTTTCCCGATTAAAATCTGAGACATCCTGTATATTTTTATATTATTTTTGTCATTCTTGTGAGTCGTTTCTAAGATATATTTCATGAATTCTGTTGCCTCTACAGACTTACAGTTATTTTTTAATAATTTGCATACCATTTTTAAATTTTTAATATCTTCGTTTCATTATTTGTCTTCAATATTTTCTATATTATTGGAAATACATATCATCTTTCCTCTGTTCTATAAAATTTTCTATTCATTGTCTTGTTTGTATAATTTTTTGTGTCAGAGTTTGCATATTTTTCTGTCAGACTGTTGTACACTGACATAGTATTTCCACATTTCTGTTGCCTGTTTAATTATAGCTTGTTTTTATTAATTTTCATGCCATTTTTTTAATGCATCATATCTCTATTTTATTATTTGTCTCCCATATTTTCTTCCTTGCGGGAATACCATTCCATCAATTCTATAAACTCTTCCATTGATTGTATTTCTAGGTCATCTTATGTGTCTTTTCAATATCATATACCTCGTTAACAGGGTGGGTTCAAATGAAAAAAAAACTAGGAATTTTACAAGTAAAAATCAGTTTTTTTACGTTCACTTTTTTACCTACCCATCCCTGTCAAAGATCCTAGCTTCACTCATCCTTGATTTCTGGTCAAACGTAAAAACTGATTTTTACTTGTAAAATTCCTAGTTTTTTTACGTTTCAACAGAAATCAGGGACGAGTAAAGTTAGAATCGTTAACAGAGTGAGTTAAAATGGAAGAAACTAGGAATATTACACGTAAAAATCAGTTTTTTACGTTCACTTTTTTACCTACCCATCCCTGTCAACGATCCTAGCTTTACTCATCCTTGACTTCTGTTCAAACGTAAAAAACTGATTTTTACTTGTAAAATTCCTAGTTTTTTACGTTTCAACAGAAATCAAGGACGACTAAAGCTAGAATCGTTGACAGGGTGGGTACAAATGGAAAAAAAGTAGGAATTTTACACGTAAAAATCATTTTTTACCTACACATCCCTGTCAACGATCCTAGCTTTACTCATCCTTGATTTCTGTTCAAACGTAAAAAAACTAATTTTTACTTGTAAAATTCCTGGCTTTCTACGTTTCAACAGAAGTCAAGGACGAGTAAACTAGAATCGTTGACAGGGTGGGTACAAATGGAAAAAAGTAGGAATTTTACACGTAAAAATCATTTTTTACCTACCCATCCCTGTCAACGATCCTAGCTTTACTCATCCTTGATTTCTGTTCATACGTAAAAAACTGATTTTTAGTTGTAAAATTCCTAGTTTTTTACGTTTCAACAGCAATCAAGGACGAGTAAAGCTAGAATCGTTGACAGGGTGGATACAAAAGGAAAAAAACTAGGAATTTTACACGTAAAAATCATTTTTTACCTACACATCCCTGTCAACGATCCTAGCTTTACTCATCCTTGATTTCTGTTCATACGTAAAAAACTGATTTTTACTTGTAAAATTCCTAGCTTTTTACGTTTCAACAGAAGTCATGGACGAGTAAACTAGAATCGTTGATAGGATGGGTTCAAATGGAAAAAACTAGGAATATTACCCGTAAAAATCAGTTTTTTTACGTTCACTTTTTTACCTACCCATCCCTGTCAACGATCCTAGCTTTACTCATCCTTGATTTCTGTTCATACGTAAAAAACTGATTTTTACTTGTAAAATTCCTAGTTTTTTACGTTTCAATAGAAATCAAGGACGAGTAAAGCTAGAATCGTTGACAGGATGGGTTGAACTGGAAAAAAACAAGGAATTTTACACGTAAAAATCAGTTTTTTTACGTTCACTTTTATTACCTACCCATCCCTGTCAACGATCCTAGCTTTACTCATCCATGATTTCTGTTCAAACGTAAAAAACAGATATTTACTTGTAAAATTTTTAGTTTTTTACGTTTCAACAGAAATCAAGGACGAGTAAAGCTAGAATCGTTGACAGGGTGGGTTGAAATGGAAAAAAACTAGGAATTTTACACGTAAAAATCATTTTTTTACGTTCACTTTTTTACTTACCCATCCCTGTCAACGATCCTAGCTTTACTCATCCTTTATTTCTGTTCAAACGTAAAAAACTGATTTTTACTTGTAAAATGCCTAGTTTTTTACGTTTCAACAGAAATCAAGGACGAGTTATGCTAGAATCGTTGACAGGGTGGGTTCAAATGGAAAAAAACTAGGAATTTTACACGTAAAAATCATTTTTTATCTACACATCCCTGTCAACGATCCTAGCTTTACTCATCCTTGATTTCTGTTCAAACATAAAAAACTGATTTTTACTTGTAAAATTCCTAGTTTTTTACGTTTCAACAGAAATCAAGGACGAGTAAAGCTAGAACCGTTGACAGGGTGGGTTGAAATGGAAAAAAAAGTAGGAATTTTACACGTAAAAATCATTTTTTTACCTATCCATCCCTGTCAACGATCCTAGCTTTACTCATCCTCGATTTCTGTTCAAACGTAAAAAACTGATTTTTACTTGTAAAATTCCTAGTTTTTTACGTTTCAACAGAAATCAAGGACGAGTAAAGCTAGAACCGTTGACAGGGTGGGTTGAAATGGAAAAAAAAGTAGGAATTTTACACGTAAAAATCATTTTTTTTACCTATCCATCCCTGTCAACGATCCTAGCTTTACTCATCCTTTTTCCATTTTAACTCACCCTGTTAACGATTCTAACTTTAATCGTCCTTGATTTCTGTTGAAACGTAAAAAAACTAGGAATTTTACAAGTAAAAATCAGTTTTTTACGTTTTAACAGAAATCAAGGACGAGTAAAGCTAAAATCGTTGACAGGGATGGGTAGGTAAAAAAGTGAACGTAAAAAAAACTGTTTTTTTTACGTGTAAAATTCGTAGTTTTTTACGTTTACACAGAAATCAAGGATGAGTAAAGCTGAAATCGTTGACAGGGATGGGTTGGTAAAAAAAGTGAACGTAAAAAAATATTTTTTACGTGTAAACTACTTAGTTTTTTACGTTTCAATAGAAATCAAGGATGAGTAAAGCTAGAATCGTTGACAGGGATGGGTAGGTAAAAAAGTGAACGTAAAAAACTAATTTTTACGTGTAAACTACCTAGTTTTTTACGTTTGAACAGAAATCAAGGATCAGTAAAGCTAGAATCGTTGACAGGGATGGGTAGGAAGAAAAGTAAACGTAAAAAACTTATTTTTATGAGTAAAAATACCTAGTTTTTTACGAGCTGGTTTTTACAGGTGTATTAATAAAACTCATTCGGTGTAATCAATAATATTTAATAACAAAATTCGGATTACAAAAAAAATCCTTATACGACTAACAAATTTCTCCACTTTTTATAAAGTGTCAAAGAGAACACAAAAACGTGTGATCAATAGCAACATGTACATTCCCGTGTTGTAACAATAAAAACAAAATAATAAAAGTTTCAAACAAAAAATCTTTGCTAGTTCTATACCCTGCTACATTCTTAACTTGGTTAAGGCCGGGTTCGCACAAAGAAATAAAATAATAAAACCATTTTTTTCCCGTTTGAACCAGCGGCTAGTAAAAAAATCTAAAATAATTGAGGAACTGAATAAAAATTGCACAGTTTTTTTTTTGAAAATCAGATCCAAAAAATTATTATTGGTTAGTGGTAAAACTTTGGCATAGTTTGTTTTAGTTCTTATCACAAAAACGACTTATTTAATGCACTTTCTCTAAGTTAGAGGCGAGTTAAGTGTGATTACGTGTGATCATCACGCGATATGCAACCGACAATACTCGGGTGTAACGTCAGTTGCCTACCTCGCAACGCTATCACGACAGTGTTGCCAGGATTGACGGATTTCCTTCAATATGAAGGATTTTATATCGATTGAATGGCAGCGATAATTTTTATCCAAAAAGAAGGCAATATGAAGGTTTCTGGTAGTTTTGCACAATAAAAATTGTTAAAATATATAGTGGGAGTATTTATTGTTTTTCCTACATCTATTTTTGCACTTTGACGGTGTTTAATTAGGGATGCCTCAGTTGCTGTCAAAAAGTCCGCAATTCAAAAGATTTTAACATTTAACAAAAAATTAATTGATACATTTTTATCTTTTAACGCGTCTTATTATACACATACCGTAACTAAACCAAAATACTTGATATTGAAAAGAAATAAATAGATAAACGGAAAACATATCTAATGGCGTCTTGCATGATTAATATTCTCGGTTCAAGCAGTCATTGGAAGCAATGAATATTTTGAAGCATATTTTATAACACTGCTGTCGAGTATCTATCACAGCATTTTTGATTGTGTTATTTTTTAATAAAAAGTTTATTTAAATACATCGTTGTCCAAAAATTACCAGAAATAAGTTTTTAAAAATTGTCTCCTAATTATAAAATAGATAAAATCCACGAAATTCGGTGATTTTTCACAAGATCTGGAACTTTTTGTGAAGCTGATGGAATATGAAGGTTTTTTAAGAAATTCGCTCGAAAATTCCTGACAACACTGCATCACACTAACCGAGCCTAATCTGACACCGACACAAACAATGTCATGCTGCCAATATGACGTTTAATATCTACGATTTGAACTATCACTTGCCTACCTACGAGCAGGTATGAGCATGCTCGCGCCCTGTCAAACGAAATTCGCCGATCGGTTTCGCCATAACCTAAGTTTTAGAAAGAAACATCCCCTAAATGATATTACCCAGCCAGGAAAAGAAAAAACGAAAACCCCAAATAAAGAAAATTGGGTTAGGTTTAACTCATAGAGATAACATTTTAATCTCGTTAGTTTCGTTATTCTATGAGCGTTATCGTCTCTTAGCGGCCGCGACTGCGCGTGAAAAACAACTAAAAATAAGAACAAACGTCATTCTCACGCGTCAATAAAAATAATCGATAAAAAAAATCGATATTTTCGGAGACGTCTTTTATCACAGATCGAAAGGTTAGGCGATACCGTTATTTTTTGGGGGTTTCCCCCGTGGAATTTCTTTTGACGGGACGCGGACTGAACGCTTCGTGTTACGTATAAAAGTCGAGGCCTCTCTCTTTCTTACTTAGAAACTACTTATTCGACGCTACTCTTTGATTGCTTCCGGCTGTTCGAGGGGAGGTTTCGTTTCAACGTCGGAGGAAGATTCGGTTAATTCTTCGCTCTGAACCCGCTTCTCCATCTCGGCCTTCAGGTTTTCTATGTGCTCTGAACTGAAAACGAGATAAAAATAGCGTTAAGATAGAAGAAAATACAGGGTGTTCCAATATTCCGTGGACATAGAACTACTATACTCTTGTTTTTTTTTTCTCAGGTAAAATTTCTACAGACAAATACAGAAGAAAAGCAGATGACATCCCCATACCAATCTATATTTATTTTACTAAAAAAAGTTTCTAATATTTTTTAAGATAACTATGGATGGGTTTAAATGTAAATCCGTCATGCGTCGTCTCTTGTTTTTAACCAGTTTTATTGGTTTATTTCAAAAATGACAGATCATAATTCAATTTTATTGGTTTGACGGAACGATGAACGACAAACGGACGCCAATGCGTATGAAGTCGCCTTTAGATTTTTAAGGCTTGTCAAAATCTTGCCAAATTATAGGTTATAATTTTGCGTCAACTTATGTCAAATACCATGCGTTTTGGCATTTTGATTCGTGTTATTACGCGTGTTTTGTGTCTTTTGAAGTCAAGTAAAGGAAAAATTTAGGGAAAATTAACTGTACACCCAGAGCACAGTTTATAGTTAATACTCGGTGCCCAAGCAGAAAGACTTATACACCAATAAAGTTTGTATACCCTCTCGTCATAGATAAGTGTATCTCGTATATGGTGCAAGGATCATATACTAAACATATACTAAAAACTGGAGTAGCTGTAAAATATCGATATCACACGATAGGTAAATAATGGATTTTATACTGCAGAAAAATAATGTCAAAGGTACTGGTTTAAAAAAATTAAGATTAAAGTTAACTAATGAACTTTTAAGGTATAAAATTCGGTAAGTGTTATTATTAATAAAATAGTTTGTTTCATTTATGTTGTTTTATTAATTTATTCCTGTGGAATATTACAAATATGTATTTGTACAAAAGTTATACCGTGCTGGCAACTGTTACTTTTGGGTCGGCATTTACATGTGCGGAAGTAAATCGCATAGGGATCTTATTAAGTCGGAGTGAGAGAAACGCGACCGACCGACGCGACGCGCGACGGTGTGCTGTTGCGGCGTTGCCGATACGCCTTTCCCTATCAAGTAAAGTAAAATCACGATCGCAAACCGCTTAAGACTTTTAAGACTTTTTTTTCAAGAGATAACTAGATAAAATCATTAGACATGTTTCTGAGCATATGTAGTGAAATTATAAGGATATCGTTAGGGTGTCATTTTTTTTATAACGAGAAAACGTCAAAAAAAATATTTTAAAAAAAAAAAACCAATGAATACAGAACAACAAACAAAAATGTAATATACCAAATACCCTGTGAATGCGATAAATTTTACATTGGTGAAACATCTAGACCCTTAAATGTTTAGAATTAAAGAACATAAAAGATTATTTAAGAAAGGAGATTTTCACAAAATCTAAGATTTGTCAGCATTCATGGGACACAGTGCACAGAATAAATTTTAATAACGCCAAAATTATAATGAAAGAAGCGATAGCCTCTAAAAAGAAAAAAAATAAAAGAGGCTTTTTTAATTCAATCTAATAAAAATAAATGTATTGCTCATGCATCTGTAGATGTTAGTAATGTATGGCAATCGCTTCTTTGATTTTAAACAATATTACATAAATAAACATAACATACGTAAAATTTAAAAATAATCATACAGAAAGTTTGGGCTTTTTGGCTTTACCTTATTAAGTAATTATCAGGTAGTAATTGTTAATTTTGAAGTTTAACTTAATATAATGTCATTTTAACAGAACGTCAACGATTTCTTGTAGACGTATCTGTTTTAAGAAGTAAATTGTTCTCGAATAGTTCAATTTAAATATTTTAAATAGTTTTTTTCTTGATTCTTTATATTTTTTTGCTTCCGACGACGGAAAGAAAACTTTCCGAAACGTTAAGCTTTTTTTCTTTGTTAGGCAAATTTTTATTACTGTAAACACAACTTCTGACAAGCAGCGTCCGTTTAGGTTTAACGCAGAAGTGTTTACAAAAAATAACTATTTTATTTTGTAGATTTTTCTTGCAGTGCAGTGGCGAAAAACCCATAAGGATATTTTTGATTAGAGGAAACGTCAGTAATAGCGATATTTTAAAAACTCAACTTTTTAACACATAACCCGCGATAACTCAAGAACCACTTTAGATATTGAAACTTTTTTATTTTCAAGGTCGGATATTTTACAATATGTTTACATAAGAAAAATTCGAAAAGGTTGTTTTTCCCATTCAAAAATTGTAAACAATCCATCCATTTATTTTTAGAGCATAGCAGTTTTCAGCAATCGTGTAATTTTTTTATTGATAAAGATTTTCACATACTGTTTACAAAGAAAATACAGCAGAAATATTAACAAAGTTCTTGAAAAAACTATAATCTATTATTTCTAATAGATTTCGAGATATCGATTTTTGAATTCAGAGTTCTAATAGCGCGACCACTATCGAACACCCACTCAATTCCACTTATTTTTACCAAAAATGCTAGTGTTTCTAGCTTGCACTTAAAAAAATTCAAGCTATAGGGAAAATTACAACGACTCGTTAATAAATAAACAAATTAAATATCGAGACGTAATTAAATCGTGAAGCTGAACGCATGACGTACACCTTTCCCTAGAACTATAAGTACTGAGAGATGTATTGATTGGGTCGACCGGCCAACTGCGATAAATCTGCCCCTATCTATCCCCTTCCACGTCTCTTAGCGATGTGCACAGTTTCTCGGTTTATTTCATACGTTTGGCAACGTGTTTACTGTCCTCTCTTTGTTCAGTACATTATAAACGCATTGTACTCTTCTTACATACGGAAATCTCGACCCAAGACTAACCTTTGCCAGCCCTTAGTATCGATAAATATAATAATAAATGCGGAAAGATTCTTCAAGCTTGAAAGTAAGAAATAGTTTTTTTTTATATTTTTTGGTATATGGTGTTTTGTTCTTGTTTGTTTTGTATTAACACATACCGTTTTTTTTTCCTTAAATAAAATAACTCGATTAGGTTTTTTCAGCTTTATACAGTTTTTTTTCACAATATTTTGAAGTAATTACTTGTCACTCAAATTTTAAATATATTAATTTCCTGCTATGCGTTACAGTTGTACCAACTTATTTCTTTGTAAAATAAAATAAACTACTTTGAAATTAAAATGACAGACACATCTATCACTGTCCAGGACCTTGTCGTTGGACAGACTATAGTTATTTTGCCCCAAGGATACTATAGAGATAAGGATAGTTCGATTCCTATCTTCCTGCACTGTCAGTTTTTTTACGTCATCGAGGGACCGAGTTGAAGTTGGCGCTAAAGATTTTAGACAGTGACAGTTATTTTTGCATTTGACCTTTGAATAAGAAGACTAAGGAAGGAGCATATCAAAAATCTCGGGTACGCCGGGATGGGCCTCAAATATGGCCGACTTAAATTCCGGTTTATCAGTGTCGTTCTAGTTTTATTTAAAAAATGTAAAACTATGATATAGTGTAAACGTGGGGTAGACTCAATAATTTGTTGTTTTATTTTAAGTTGTGAATAAATGTTGGTAGTTATTAAAATTGTTATAAAAATATATAATTCTAATAAAAATAGATAAGTTATGATAAGTATTTATTTAACACAAACATCTGATACGCTACTGAAGCAGGTAAGTCAAATTAACGTATCTAAATTCTTTGACATCTAATCTCTGACAAGTAATAAATAAAAGCTAAAATGCAAGAAAAATATATAATTTAGTTAATTTAAGTGAATTTCATAAATGATCGGTTTACTACACGTATGTATATTATATAGTCACTTACTAGCGAAAAGTTGTTCCATTATTTCACTCAATTTTTGCCGAGATCTACCGCACGCTACACAACCAACTATTTTAGAGTCTTTTTAAGTAAATCGCGATAGTGTCACTGTTAATTTAAGTTCTGCCACAATTTCTACCTTTATACAACTATCAGTAGTAGAATAAATAATAAATAACATAAAATAAGCTCCGTAAAGACTGACAAATCCACAAAATTTCAAATCAAATTCAAATGTGTCAAATGAATCGTCAAACAGAACTGTCAACGATCCCCACCCTAGAGAGCTTTTATGGTGGCTTTTCCGCCCACCATGCATGAATACATGGATAGCATTATGCTCCTTCCTTAGTCTTCTTATTCAAAGCATTTGACGGACGAGCGCACAGTGCGTTGGAAGATCAATTTAGCGGGACAAAAGCGTTTGGTTAGAGATAAGCCAAAAAATGTGTATTGATAAGAATAAAGAGTAGACATTCCAATTGATACAAAAATGCATGAATATTTTTTGCATTTCGATACATTTTTATCAACCAAATTTGGTCGTTTTCTGCTCAGCAAGGCAGAGATCATACGAAAACAAAATATTTACATGTACTTATACATTTTATTAGAGCCATGTTGAAGATTGCCAAAGGTATGTACTTTTCTACTGTACGTATATTATTTGTTAAAATCCTTCGTGCCTTTGTTCTGCAGATATCAAACTTTCACTTTTTTTCAAATATCGATATATTGAATGATGTAGATCTTTTGAGTTACCAATAGTTACCAACACAGGTAGTTCAAGCTTAACAGGTGAATGCCCAAAAAGTTTCACTTCAATCGGATAGTATAAAAACAAAACAACTCCATTAAAAGGCACTGAGTTTAAAAAATTGTCTTAGATACTTACTATATATGAATTTACAATTACCGAGTGTTAAAATTAAAATTAAAATATCTATCTTATTTATTATTTTCAAAATAAAATATATTTTTTTAAAATAAATTATAGAGGGTGTCACAAGATTACAAATTAATTAAAAAATAACTGCTAAAGAGTTTTTTGTAAGTATTTCACCTGATATCATAATTTTTTGTATTTGGCAATAGTTTACAATACGGTTTTTGTGTGTCATGTACGTATAATATCATAGTTTTATTATCTTGTATTTATTTATTTATTAATAAATTAAGTTGTTAATAAATAAATAAATTTAACCATATGGTTGCTATATATTAGACCATTTGCTACGTTCTTAGATTTTAAGTCCCAAACATTGCTCTTGAGATTTTGTCCCGCTAGAATAACCATCTGCCGCACTGTGGAGCGCTGGTCCCTGCGTGACGTAAGCATCCACGGCGACTCCGACAGCGGCGATTTGATGCGATCGAACAGTCCTTTAGAATATATACAGTCCTTGATTTTACCCATGTTTGTTTAGACAAATATTTTTATCTGCGATATTTTAAACCTCTGTAAAATATCGGATCGCACGACGCATTCCGTCGCAAATCAAAATTAACTGCGTAGTTAATACCCTTGAGAAGCCATCATCATACCAAAATATCTAGTCTGGACGACCGGGTCGGCGGATACGGAATGTCATATGTGGACTGCGGGACCGATCGCTTAAAAATCCCTTGCGTGTATGGGGGGCTATTGTTAACCTGTTCAGATTTAATTAAAAAAAATTAGATACAGTTTTTTTTTATTACTTAAAATCGGCTTGTCAAAACCTTTAAAAAAATTATTTTTGACTTCGTTATAAAATCAGTAGGACAGCCAATATTTTAACAGTAACAAAGAGTAAAGAAGATATTTCTTATTTTTTTACCTGATCTGAACAAAAAGGATTCCGTTGATCACGTTCAACATGTCCAACACCGAACCCATTGACGGCGGTTGAATCTGAATGGGCGGTAACGAAGCTCCATTTTTCCCTGTATATATTTCGTTCATTTTCTTCTGTAGCACCACCGCCTGCTGAGTGAGGTGCTTCAAACACTCAGAAGATTCTTTGGTTTTTTCGTGATTGTCGCCCAACTAATAAAGAAAAATCAGTTAAGTACACAGAGAATTAACTAATTAAATATTGTCTCTTGCATCTTCGCTTTGATATATTACATGTCAAAAATAAATAGGATACGTTAATTTGACTTACATGTTTCAGTAGCGTATCCGGTATTGGTGATAATGTTACTAACCTGTTGCTTATAAATAGTAAAGGCTTCTTTTTCATTGTTCAATGCCGATCTAAAGTTGCCCATACAACTCTGCGTCCTGGCAACCAAATGGTAGGCAACGGCGACTTTAAGATACAGAGTGTCTCAAATAAATAGAAAATATCAAAGTTGTATTTTTTAAATGGAACACCCAGTATATTATTACATTTTTAGTTTCTACGATTAAAATAAAGGTAAATTTGATTAAGGTTTAACGCATTTTAATCTTACCGTTTTTCAAAATATTTAGGTTTTTGTCAAAATACAGTAATCATTTTAATGTTTCATTTCTTTAGGCATATTTTAGTTTTTAAAACCAAATAGATATTGTACTGAAGTATTTCTATTTGCTAAATTTTGTGTTGCAATAATAAAAATTATACTACCTTATACAGAGTGTCTAAAAACTTATTTTAAATAATTACTAGCTTTAAACGGCAATAACTTGTTTAAATTAAATGGAACACCGTGTATATTTTATGAGAATTAGCTGCACAATTTAAATGTCTATCAAATTGTATTATACCAGTTTTTACCTATCTCTTCAAGTTATTGTAGAAAATGCATTTTCTTATAATTTAGACCTCATTTATCAATATATCCTCAATATACCCATGGAATACATATAATACAATATACCCATGGAATACATTTTAGATTATTTTTAAAGAAGCGATATTTTTTTAAAGAGTACAGATACTAATATTGTCGATATAGTTCGTTTATTTCATTAAAAAATAAAAAAAAACTGTTTAAATATTTGTTAAAGAGAACCAATTAATATAATTCCAGTATTCAAACTACATCAATTGACTGTTTGCGTTGATTGATAATAATTGATTCAAATTATATCCAAATACTAAAAATCCGAATTTTGTATGTGTATTAGACAGTGTGGCAAAAAGTAACACCTTATTAGCTTTATTTAATTTTTTGACGAATGCTTATTTATAATAGAGACGTTCATTTTTATAACTTATTATTATATTGATTTCTGGTTCAAATCCACATTTATTTAGAATAACTTTAGTAAGTAACACAATTAAGTATATAATTAATTAATATTAGGGCGGAAATAAATGGGCTAGTAATATTATCGTTTTTAGCACCTGTACATTTTATACATTTTTTGCTTTAAAACAATCTAAAATGTCAATATTCCAGGAGTATATTGATAAATGAAGTCTAAATTATAAAAAAACGCATTTTCTATAAAAACTTGAAGGAATAGGTAAAAAATGGTATAATACAATTTGATAGACAATTAAACCGTGCATCTGATTCTCCTAAAATATTCAGGGTGTTCCATTTAAATTAAACAAGTTATTGCTGTTTAAAACTAGAAATTATTTAAAATAAATTTTTAGACACTCTGTATGAGGTAGTATTATTTTTATTATTGCAACACAATAACTGATCAATAAATAAACTTCAGTAAATATTTAGTATTAAAAACTTTGAAATCTTTGGAGAAATGAAGCCTTAAAATTTTTACTGCAATTTCACAAAATTGAAAATATTTCAAAAACGGCAAGGTTTACGTGTGATAAACCTTAAACAAATTTACCTTTGTTTTAATCGTAGAAACTAAAAATGTAATAATATACAGGGTGTTCCATTTAAAAAAATACAACTGTGATATATTTATTTATTTAGGACACTCTGTATCTTGTAAAAATATTTTTAAATTGTAGCTCTAATAGTCTTTCAACGAACCCAAAACTTACAATTTGTAAAAATCTAATTGTTTAGCTACAATATATACTAAGTGCCGTATGTGGCGAACAACCCTGTATATTTGTGGATAATTATTGTAAATACTTTTATTATTAAAAGTTATTAAATAACTTACATCTAATAGAGCCACCTCTGGATGATTCTCTCCACAAACAATCACAGCCAAGTACCTGGCACGGTACAACAACTTCAATGCAGTACTAATCTGACTATTCGCGAAACAATACAGAGCTAAATGAGCCTAAAAAAATAAAATAATAATTAAAATACTAAAAAAGCAAACAAAATATAAAAAAACATACATATTCAGTGATGGTGTATGGATGATCAATTCCGTTGACTCTTTCAGACATTAAGACAGCTTTTTGTTGATATGCCATGGCTTCACCGTGCTCTCCCATGATGTAGTTTAGTCTAGCTATCATCCTCAGGCATTGAGCTATTTCCGGATGCATGGCGCCGTAGACGTTGTTGAGCAGATTCAACGCTTCGTTGATCAACTCATAGCCGTCCTTGAGGTAGCCTTGTTGAATCTTGCTTTGGCCTGTTTAAAATAAGCCACGTGTAGGATTAAAATAATTTGAATAAAGACACATTACAAGAGTTAAAAACACTATGTTTATATTCATACATTATAGACAAAAGAGGTCACATGATAGCCATTTTTAAACCTCTTTTCTGTATATTCGATCTTATACTCTGTTTTATTACTCAGGTAAGATTTCGACAGAGGATGACAGAAAAAAAGCAGATGACGCCCATACCAATCTATTTATTTTACCAAAAAAACTTTCCAATATTTTTTAAGTTAAATATAGATGGGTTTATACCGGGAGCATCTCAAAAGTGGCTCACCCCCTATAACTTTTTATTTTTTCAGATAAAAAAAACGAGATTTGGTATGTTATATGATATAAATTAGGATTGATTGACGTATTCAATTGTTTTGGTCACTTCCGGTTTCACTGGACAAATAACTACAACTTTTGATTTTCAAATGGCACCCTCGATAAATATCGTTTTGGCACAAATCGTTTTTAATCATATCTTATTTTTTTTCAGATGGAACAAGGGTGGCTCATTAGCATATTTGGAAAAAGCACTTTTTTACGAATAATTTGATATCACACACTTTTATTATTCGATAATTTCGAGTCAAATTGTCGTTATGCACCGCATGTTATAATTTCAAATAAACCATATGCGAAAATATCAAAAGTTGACATATGATATGTCATTCTATTCAGAGTGACATTTTCTATGGAATAAAGTAAAAAAATACCGAGGGTGCCATTTAAAAATCAAAAGTTGTAGTCATTTCCGGTGAAACAGGAAGTGACCAAAAATAATTGAATACGTCAATCAATCCCAATTTATGTCCTATACTAACATTCCAAATCTCGTTTTTTTATCTGAAAAAATAAAAAAGTTTAGGGGTGAGCCACTTTTGAGACGCACCCGGTATATAAATCCATCATGGCGTCGTCTCTTGTTGTTTTTAACCAGTCTTATTGGTCTATTTCAAAAATGACAGAGATCACATTTCAATATTATTAGAGTGACGGAACGATGGATTTTTGAAGATTGTCAAACTCTTATTGCTAAATTATAGGTTATAATTTATGTCAAATTATGTCAGATAACCTGCGTTTTTGATAAACGATAAACAAGATTGATTAAAGATGATAAACATTTGCGAATTGCTTTTGCATTTTGGTTCGTGTTATTACGTATTTTTTTTGGAAGTTAGGTGGAAGAAAAATCGAGGGAAAGTTAACTGTAGACCCAATGCACAGTTTATAGTTAATATTCGGTGGCCAGACCAGAGAGAACACAAATAACTAAAGTGAGAGGGCTTGTGGAATAGGGTATTTCGTAGACAAGTTTATTTTGTCACCGCGCATCCCAGACGCGCATAGCGTTTAGGCGGTCAAAAAAGGAAGTTTTCAACTTTGCAAGTTAAACATTTGACAGGATTAATTAGATTGTCAGTAGCTTTTTCTATTTCTTAGTTCTAGAAAGAGATAACTAAAATCTGTTGATAATCGGAGCAATAAATTGTTTTTAACTGAATGTACCTGTTCTTTTAGCTTGTGAGAAGAGAAGATTGTTGTCATATGATTGTCATTATTGATTATTTGAGATTCCACGATTATTCAGCATTTATGTAATTTTTGTTTTGTGGCTGAGATCCAGACAAAACGTTTCCTTTAAAGGTAAGTTTTATCTCGGTAATTATTTTAAAATACCTAATAGTAATAGTGAGTGCACATAATTAACACAGACTATAATTAAAAAAAATACTCAATTAATTTTTTTTCAGTTTTATACAGTTTTTTTACAATATTTTGAAATAAGCATTTATATTACTTTGAAATTAAAATGACAGACACCTCTATCACTGTCAAGGATCTTGTCGTTGGACAGACTATAGTTGAAGAACTTATTAAATTTTATCGAGATTAAATTTTACAATTTCTTACCTGTAGTATAAAAATTGTACGCATCAGTCGCCCTAGGATTGATATGCTTCACGATAGGAAATACGTTTAAGATATCCTCCTCAAAGAAGATCAACTTATTTTTCGAGTCCAAATTATAATCTCTAAGCAAAATCTGGATACCGGTCTTCAAGCAGAACCCTCTGAGCAACGAAATTTTCTGCAAACCGAACGTTTCCACGATGCCTTCCACGTCTCCCGCGCCCAAATCGTAGTCGAAGTAGGCTTTGAGCTCTTGTCTGATTTGCGTCCATAAGGATTTCGGCGTCAGGGTAGCCCATTCGTTGTTGTCGTTGCAGGAGAGAGGGTTAGCTCTGCCGCGGCGTTTGTTACGTTTTTTGTTGGTCTTGCTCTGGAACTAAACCAAAAAGAATTTAATCAAAAGTCATTATAGTTTAAGAATAATTATAATGAATTAATATGAATTTTCGAGAGAGGCTTTAAAAATTGGTATTCGTGCAGTATGCACGATATTTTATTGACAAAACATTAAACGAAATACAAACCCCAAATCATAGACACAATGATAACAATACACAATATATACAACTTACAATTCCATACATACGAGGCGTTTCGGAAAAAATAAGAAGGATAGGAAAGCAATATAACATACGAACATCTTTCAAAACACAAAATACACTTAGATCAATTTTATCACATACTAAACCAATGAATACAGAACAACAAACAAAAAATGTAATATACCAAATACCCTGCGAATGCGATAAATTTTACATTGGTGAAACATCTAGACCCTTAGATGTTAGAATTAAAGAACATAAAGATTATTTAAGAAAGGGAGATTTTCACAAATCTAAGATTTGTCAGCATTCATGGGACACAGGGCACAGAATAAATTTTAATAACGCCAAAATTATAATGAAAGAAGCGATAGCCTCTATAAGAAAAATAAAAGAGGCTTTTTTAATTCAATCTAATAAAAATAAATGTATTGCTCATGCATCTGTAGATGTTAGTAATGTATGGCAATCGCTTCTTTGATTTTAAAGAAGATTACATAAATAAACATAACATACGTGAAATTTAAAAATAATCATACAGAAAGTTTGGGCTTTTTGGTTTTACCTTATTAAGTAATTGTTATCAGGTAGTAATTGTTAATTTTGAAGTTTAACTTAATATATAATGTCATTTTAACAGAAGTCAACGGTTTCTTGTAGACGTATCTGTTTTAAAAAGTAAAGTGTTCTCGAATAGTTCAATTTAAATATTTTAAATAGTTTTTTTCTTTATTCTTTGTATTTTTTTGCTTCCGACGACGGAAAGAGATAAACTTTCCGGGCTCTGGTGCACAATAGGTCCCCACGCATTTAACACTTTTTTGGGCTTTTTTTGCAAGATTATCTTAAATTGAACATTTTGAAGCATAAAAATTGTTGGATGAATGTGTTTTATCTTTAAAAAGCGGCAAAAAACAGTATTTTAGGTACAGGCGACGGACAGTAAATATGTAAAATTTTCTACACGGATTCAGTAAAAACATCACATATTAGCACTTTATTACCTTATATAGACGTGGAATGATCTAATTTAAGCACAAAAATATAACGAATCTTCTTTGTAAGCATAAAAATTAAGAAAATATATTTATTAACATCATCTCAAGGCAGCAATTTTATGACTTTTTCGATTGACAGTTAATCGATCATCGGTATGTCATCTAGACTCATCTATGGCCTTCGCATAGAATTTGCGACGTTGTCAATAAAATTATTTTATATGATTTTCTTCTGAAATATCACTTTAGTGCAACAAAAATTGAACGCTGTCTAGTAGCTTATTCGTTAGTGTGGATTATTTTAAAGCAATTTCTGAAATAAAATTTGCGAATTTTTCAGGTTCTACGAAAATATAAGTTTTTTAAATATATACTATTTTTCGACGCGTAATCAATGAAGTTTTGTCATTAGGCACAATTAGGTTAGCCTGGTTATTTGGAGGGTGGTAATGCATTGGTTAGCCTGGTTATTTGGAGGGTGTTAATGCATTGGTTAGCCATTGTTATTTGGGGGTGTTAATGCATTGGTTAGCCTGGTTATTTGGAGGGTGTTAATGCATTGGTTAGCCTGGTTATTTGGGGTGTTAATGCATTGGTTAAGTTAGGTTAGATAGACTGGTTATTTGGAGGGTGGTAATGTATTGGTTAGCCTGGTTATTTGGGGGGTGTTAATGCATTGGTTAGCCTGGTTATTTGGGGGTGTTAATGCATTGGTTAGGTTAGATTAGATCAATAGAGTAACCAAAACACGCGTAAGCGTGTTTTGATTACTCTTGTTTCACTTTGTTTTTTTCCTTTTTCGCTTTATTAATACGAATTTGATTTAGATTCTTGTGTCGAATATGTATGCAGTCTCCCTTTATCTCCGAATATATAGACTAATTTATTTGGGGGGGAGTGTTTGGAAGTACGCAAATCACATCGATTTCGGAATCTTACTGAACAAATCCGGGAAAAATACATTTTTAAACAATTGTGCTAAATACTGTGTAATGATTTTATTGTCAATTTATTTTTATAGTGTTTTTTGTTTTGCTTCGTTTTCGTGTTCTTAAAGTACGTACTAAATGTAAAAAAACGAATATAAAGTAGAACGTTTTCGTTGATTTTAAACAGGGTGAGTATGGCAACACTGTGCATAACCTTGTATTTTACTGTCTTTATGAAGGTTATAATAGGGAGTTTTCGCATTGAAATGTAGTGAAAATTTCGAATTTTCAATTATTTTTTTTCGTAGAAAAAGTGGTTCATCCAACAATTTTTTTCTTTTAAACTATTCCATTACCTATGGGATCCACATTAAAAATTAAAAAAACCTGGAATTCGTGGGGACCTGTTCTGCACAAGACCCAACTTTCCGAAACGTTAAGCATTTTTTTCTATGTTAGGCAAATTTTTATAACTGTAAACACAACTTCTGACAAGCAGCGTCCGTTTAGGTTTAACGCCAGAAGTGTTTACAAAAAATAACTATTTTATTTTGTAGATTTTTCTTGCAGTGCAGTGGCGAAATACCCATAAAGGAAAAATTTTGGAGAGATGAATCCGCCACATAGGTATAGACATTTTTTGCAGTATGCAGTCGTTCAAAGACAAAAAACGTTTTGAAATAAAAACAAAAATTCAAAAAAGAACGTTCTTTTTTCCTAGTATTATTTTTATGAGTAATTATACTAAAACACGCTATATTTGGTTGGTATATTATGGTATGTATACCGGGTGCTGGTCAAAAGTGGCTCACTCATAACTTATTTATTTTTTCATGATACAAAAACGAGATTTGGTATGTTAGTATATCCTAACATAACACATTATATGTCATTATATTATTGAATGACCCATTATATGTCATTCTATTCAGAGTGTTATTTTCTATTGAATAACGTAAAAAAAATACCGAGGGTGCAATTTAAAAATCAAAAGTTGTAGTCATTTCCGGTGAAACAGGAAGTGACCGAAAACAATTGAATACGTCAATCAATCCTAATTTATGTCATATACAAACATACCAAATCTCGTTTGTTTAACTGAAAAAATAAAAAAGTTATAGGGGTGAGCCACTTTCGAAACGCACCCGGTATACAGGGCGAGTCAAAAATAGATGTTTTATATTTTTCTCTACTATTTCCTTTGAATAAGAAGACTAAGGAAGGAGCATAATGCTATCCATGTACAGTATTCATGCATGGTGAGCGGTAAAAGCACTCTAGGGTGGGGATCCTTGACAGTTTTGTTTGACGATTCATTTGACACATTTGAATTTGATTTGAAATTTTGTGGATTTGTCAGTCTTTACGGAGCTTATTTTATGTTATTTATTATTTATTCTACTACTGATATTTGTATAAAGGTAGTAAATCTAGATGGAAATTGTGGCAGAACTTAAATTAACAGTGACACTATCGCGATTTATCGAAAAAGACTCTAAAATAGTTGGTTGTGTAGCGTGCGGTAGATCTCGGCAAAAATTGAGTGAAATAATGGAACAACTTTTCGCTAGTAAGTGACTATATAATATACATACGTGTAGTAAACCGATCATTTATGAAATTCGCTTAAATTAACTACATTATATATTTTTCTTACATTTTAGCTTTTATTTATTACTTGTCAAAGATTAGATGTCAAAGAATTTAGATACGTTAATTTGACTTACCTGCTTCAGTAGCGTATCGGATATTTGTGGTAATAAATACTTATTAACTTATCTATTTTTATTAGAATTATATATTTTTATAACAATTTTAATAACTACCAACATTTATTCACAACTAAAATAAAATAAAACAACAAATTATTGAGTCTACCCTACATCATAGTTTTACATTTTTTAAATAAAATTAGAACGACACTGATAAACCGGAATTTAAGTCGGCCATATTTGAGGCCCATCGCGGTGTACCTAAGATTTTTGATATGCTCCTTCCTTAGTCTTCTTATTCAAAGACTATTTCAAATAAAACACCCTGTATATTGTTACAAACTAACGAAGTTTTCCATCTTTTTTGGGTATAAACTTACCCTAAATTATTACTGTAAAAAGATTCAAAATTTAATAAAAAAAATAATTAAAGAGAGAAAAATTTAGACAAAAAAAAACAAAGAAAAATTACCAAAAAAAATAAAAAGATAAAATTAAAAAATACAGTCATTTTAACACATACAAGGCTAATCAAACGACATTTTGATTATTTTCTATGTGTTAAAATAAATTAAAATAAAAATAAAAAAAGAAAAAATATACAATTCTTACCTCATCGACATTTTGTAGAGGATTCGCCACGACTCCAGAATAGAAGAAGCAGTTCAAGAAATGCGCTATAGCCACTGATAAATTCATCATTTCGCACCCTTGGAGATATACAGTGAAAATGTGTTTAGCCGATCTCAGAATCAGCTCGGCTACGGCTATACTGTGGAGGTATTCCAGCTGCTTGACTTTGGCCAAAAGGTTGGTTACTTTGCCCAAATAACGGATGTTTATACCGCGGTTGTGCATAGCTTCGGATAACGTTACACCGTCCATTGGTGCGAGGAATGGTCCAGGCAATCCCTAATCTATTTTAACAGAAAATTTAAATTTAAATTTAATATTTTTACAATTCCAAAAAAAATTGGTTACATATAAAGAAAATATATTAAAAACTCTTCAACCCCTGCTTTGTTTTATTCTTTATAACAATCTCTGCATCTCAATAAACACGAAAAAACGGCATCATAGTAACCATTGAAACTACAATCTATGATAATTTCTGTCGGGTCGACCCCTATACGTCGTTTTAATCCGTTTAATTTTTGAGGGAATTGGATATTTTTAAAGCTATTTTGTATACAAAACGGTATACTTAAATCTTCACAAGTTTTTTTTCACTTTACCACAGAATAGCTTAGTTTTACCGAAGCGACAGTAAGCGCAGGCTTCTTGAAGTACAATATGATCGAAAAAAAAAACGGCGTCAGCGATGGCTATGAGTCATTTTATATGTAAAATGATGTGGGAAACGTCGTTGATGTTCATATCCGAGCAGAGTTTTTTTTTCGATCATGCGGTATATGTGCCAAATTTTTTGATCTTGAAGTGGTATTTTGACAATAATTAAACTCTCTTGTACACTGAAAAAAAAAGTCAAGAATTTTATTTTCAAAACGTTTTTAAAATACACTGAGATTTCTGTATATTGCTGATATTTTTTAGCTAAGTTTTATTTTTTACTAAAATTTTGTAAAAACAAATGTAAAAAAATACAATTTAAAATAAAATTATAATTAAGGGATTAAAGGAAGAATATTAAACAGGGATGGGTTTTAAACGTTATAAGATAAGCTATTTTTTACTTTTTGGTGTAAAATACACATAAAAATGTAAAAAAAGCAAAACCTGTTATTACTCTACTTAAATTACTTTGCCATAAATTTTGATTTTTACACAAATTAAAAAGAATAATATCAGTAAAAAAACAAATATAATAAAAAAAAATTATTGGTCATTAATAGTAACAGTTATTTAAAGGAGCTTTACTATTCCGAAAAAATAAGTATATTTTTTTTCTCTTTACAACATGTTTTTTTACACGTAAAAAATAGTTTTTTACATTACGGCTTTTTACACGTTCATCCCTGATATTAACCAACACCTTATAAAAATTTGACAATCAGTACCATTTCAAAATATCAAAATTTAGTCCACGTATAGTCAGATAATTTTGTAGGTTTACCGAGATACAGAAACTATTATCCAGAAAAGAAATTATTAATTTTTTTTCACATGATGTATTCAATTAATTTAGACAATCTGTATATACAAAGACTTACGAAAGTAGGTATCTGTACTGTCAGCAAGAATTCGGCGGCATCTTTGACCAGTTGTTTTTGTTTAGACAATGGAGGATCTAAGCTGTCAGAATGCCTGATGCCAGGAGAATACACGTCAGGATTGAATCGAATGTCAAATTCGGTGTCTTTTAACGATCCCACAGCTACAGAGGCGGTTTTGACGATGTTTTTAGTACTTTCTTCCACTGTAATCACGTAAAAAATACTTTACTATATAGTAGGGAATGCAATCCCGCAAATGCGGGATCCCTCTAAGATTCCGCGGGATCAAAGTTGCGGGATTTACCGTGCGGGATCCGCGGGATCAACACATTACCAAACATTACTACTGGGTAACCGAATCGATCTCGATTAAGATTAAACAGCTTCGTTCCGGGCCGATGTGTCGACGCTCGGAACCCGGGGGATTCCCCTTACGGCTTGGGTTAGATTTCTTTCTCGCGTATGTGCGTAAGTGAAGAAAAGCGATTAACTAGTACCGTATGATCGAATAAAAACGGCGTCAGCGATGGCTATGAAATGAAGATCGCTGTCATTTTATATGTAAAATTATATGGGAAATGTCATCGACCGTCATTTCCAAGACAACTGGACGCCGTTTTTTTTAGATCATACGGCATTTGTGGACAATTTCGTCAAATAAATTGCCGGACATAATTATTGGGACCAGCAAAATTTTAGGGTTGAATATCTCTTGAATTAAAAAAGATTTTGGGATGCGGTTTGGACCAGGTTTTAGATGAATCTATTGTGATTAAGATGCTGATGTGGTTTTCGAAAATATATTTAGCTCATTCTCGTATACAGGGCGTTTTATAAGAGTGTGAAAATTTGATCAAGAAACTTTTTTACCGCAAATTTACAATTTTTAAAAAATCGAAATTCGACAAAAAAAAAAGTACGACGAATCTGTATTGAAATTAGAAAAAACAATTTGATTTATTTGTTTAAGGAAAAGACGTTTTTCCGAAAAATATGCATTTTTAGTCATACGTATGGCCCTAAATGGTACAAAAAGCTTTGTAAATTCTGCATATGCCAAACAATTATTGATATAGAGTGTATCTAAAAGCAGATAACTAACACAAGTTAATCATAGTACTCTACATTGAAATTTAAAATGTCAACAGCTGACATGTTGGCAATGTCAAAAGTTGACATTCTAATCAGATTGTAATTTTCTATCAAATAAAGTAAAAAAATACCGAGTGGGTTATTTAAAAATCAAAAGTTGTAGTCATTTCCGGTGAAACAGGAAGTGACCGAAAACAATTGAATAATTTAATCAGTCCTCATTTATATGTCATATACTAAAATACCAAATCTCGTTTTTTTATCTGAAAAAATAAAAAAGTTGTAGGAGTGAACCAGTTTTGAAAAACACCCGGTATAGTTTTTAAAATCAGAATTTACAGAGATAGCTATGCTGTATATTTCTTTTATTCCTGTAAAACTGAAAAAAAAATCATACAAAAATATTACAAAGACACACAAAAAGAAAAAAAATATTACTATTTAAATTAAAGAAAAAAATAATAAACTTACGTTCCAATTTAGATCCATCATTGATCCTCTCCAGAATCTTCTTGGCCTCCTCTTCCACAAGCTGATTCTTCTTATCTTCCGCGTCGTCCTTTTCTTTATCTTCATCTTTGGTTATCTCTTTTTCCGTCTCTTCTTTATCTTTGTTTTCACCCTCGGTCTTCTCTTCGGACTTCTCCTCTTCGATGGCGTTATTGTTAAAGATTTTGTCTCCCGGTTTCTTTATATTTAATTGTTGCAAATGGTAGGCGGCGTATTTGATGAACATCATGTAGCGGGAATCGACGAAACTGTCGATCAGTTCCTGCCTTAGACAGCAGAGTTTGTGCTTGTGCTCGATGGGGAATCCCAGGGCTTTCACTTCTTTGGTTAATTCTTCCCCTTCCACTAGAATAACGTAATAATAAGATAGATTAATTCGAATGTATAGGCTTGGTGCATTTCAGTTGATTTCAGAAAATTCCGACAGCAGCGCCATAATATTTAAGTATTTTAGTTTTTTGCTAGTGCAGTTATTGGAACTATAAAACATTCAGGTACGAAATTTGTGTGATGTAACGCTGTTCCGGGTAGTAAAAAATAAGTGAAAAAGAATCCGAACTAGGCGTCGCACGGTGGAGTATGAAAAATGTGATCGAAATTCGAAAAAGCAAATGTGTTTAAGATTTCCCAAAAAAAAAATGATAAGTTAAATCATGTCTGCCATGAATGGCGTTGCTATGGGCACAGATTATACAGATTATAATCTTTGTTTTTTCTTTATTGTTTTTCGTGGTTCCAATTTTCGGAATCGGGCACTAGTTAGGTGACTAGTTTGCGCACATAGCACGCCCACTTATGGCCTCTAAAATTGTGCACAGCGCCTGACCGGCACAGTTATTAGAGAGATATCGGAAAACCGAATAGCGTTATCCAGTATTTACGCGTACCTTATCATGGTTACGATATGCGCGAGTCAACGCAACACCCGCTAATAACGTTACCGCCTGACGTAATTTGCGGATCAATTACACCAAGCGTTATTTCTAAATAACCTCTGATAACGTTTAAAAATTGCTTAAAAGGGCATGTGCGGGTATTTGACAACCGGAGCCGGCCGGCGAGATCTTTTATTTTAGGTTATGTTTGAATTGTTTTGAATTATTGCTTTAGTTTTATTAGGTAATATGATATTTAAGTAGCTGGGATTGGTTTTAATTAAATAAATATGGCCCAAAATATGGATTCCACCTCTTCCAATACTAAAGAACCTATAAAGAGTCTTAGGTTTACAGCAGATGACGACTTAGCCCTTCTAAGAGAATTTGTTGCTTGTTGCCCTAAACCCATTGGCAGACGTTGAACAATAAAGCACTGGAAATAAGCACTTTAGCCCTTTAGTTTTAAAATACCTAGTAAACAAAACAATTTCAAAGTTTTAAATTCAAAGTTAGGTTAAGTTTAAATAGCGGACGCGACGCGATCACAATTCTCTCCGATCCGATAACTATAAATGAAGAGAGTTAATACCACCTCACGTAAAGGAAATAACACCTGGCCTTATTAACGTCCATGCACGCTATTCGGTTTAGCGATATCTCTCTATTACGCTGTTTATTGTTATTTTAAGCGAGCTTATTTTTGCGCACAGGAAATTTGACTCGTTTGCACATCGTCATAAAAAACAATTTTCGTACCACGAATTAGGGACAAGATTTTTATCTGTTTAGTTGCGTTCATTTCTTTCAACGAAACGTCAAAGTTGTTACTTCTCACAGATAAGAGGTAGGTAACTGGCTAAATTTTATATTTAAAATTGTAAATTGTTGTTGTTTTTGTGCTCCTTTTATGTTTATAGTATTGTTTTGATTGAAAATGGCCCAGCAAGCTGCAGGTATGTATTCTACAAAAACATATTATTTATTTTGATATTCTCTATACTAACGATTTTTTTTGCAACTAAAAGTTAGGCGTTCAGAAAATTTGATTAAATTTGTGACATTTTTATTATACTTAGAGATTTAGTTTTTCGAAGAATTCAGCATATTGTCTATATACGTTTTACTTAGTAAACATTGGGCTTTCATACAGTAAAATAAAATACTGCGACTTTTTGCGACTTTGCTGATAAAATGAGAAAAACATTCTTGGTTTCATCTAATTTGCCAATCAGTGATATACTAATGCGAGGTGTAAAACTCGATGGCATTGTTGTGTACAAAGCGCATTAGTGCCATTAGCTGTATAGCACAATTTGGCATTAGTAGCGGCTTTAGTGGTATGGGCATTGGTCGCGGATCAGTCGTAGCATTAGTAGTATTAGTTACGATATTACTACTGGCATTAGTGGCATTGACTGTGGAAACACTGGAACAGTGATTTTTCTTTCTTTTTTAGAATCGACGAATTATCCTTTATTTTGTTTATATTATTTCCTTTTTAATTGAAAATAGCAATAATTTATATAAGGTCTACATAAAAAAATTTCGATCAACTATTGATGTCAAATACCCCACTGTGCGTCGTGTTGTGTTGTGACAATATTAAATGTTAATAAAAATGCCGAAAAAATGTTAACGCGTAAAGGAGGGCGTAATTAGGGCGTTGTTGGGTGCAATAACATTCAATAACTCAACTTTCCCGGATATTCAACTGTTCCGAAACAACATTTTTGTAGTTTCATAGTTTCTCACACCTATTGGAGCAAACAACGATGTGAGAGCTGGACACTGGATTCACAGACCGAGAAGAGAATAGAAGTCTTCGAAATGTATATATACAGACGGATGCTGCGAATCTCATGGGTACAAAGGATCACCAACAATGAAGTACTCCAGCGCATGCAGAAACAAAAAGAGATACTGAACACCATCAAGGAAAGAAAAATGCAATACCTGGGTCATGTGATGAGAGGTGGTAGATACGAAATACTGCGCCTAATAATAGAGGGCAAAGTGTAAGGGAAAAGATCAGTAGGAAGACGCCAGAACTCAGATTAAAGCTAAGAGCCAGGCTAAAAGATTTGAGGAGATGCACAGTGCTTCGAACATATGGGTCTAGTTGTTGTTGGAGCTGTGTTCCATCTAAGGAAATTATACTCATACTATTTATAGTATGAAAACGGTGTAAGTATTAAATAAATCCCTGTGATAAAAATGAATTGAAATAACATTAGAACATGATTCCTACAATCTAAGCCTAATATAAGATAAAAATGTTTTTTTTTAATGAAAAAGAAACATTAATGTTATATTTAATTAAAAAAACTTAAGATACTATAAATTTACTTTAGGACAACAAAATACATAGATCGTAACTACTCTGATTCAGAAGAATCACTGCTGACAGAATCTTCCAAATTTATAGTATCCAAATCACAGGTAGATGAAGTATCCTCACATATAAGATGTCTGTACATTATTTTCTAATATGTTACTTTTTCGCGTTGTTACTGTTCTTTTTGTTGGTATGAGGGGTTCGGATGTTAATAGTTACCTCTTTAATAGACCATATCCATATATTATTTTTTTCTTTTCTTGGGTATGAGGTTTTATAATAAATTGAAAGATGGAAACTTTTTTTTATGCGACGTTTCGCTCCAACATAGTGGGCTTTTTCAGGCACAAGTGGTGTCTCATTTGACTGGAAGGTTCATCAATATCTAATAAAGAGCACATTTTTTGAAATACAAATAATTTTGAGTTCTTGTCCTTATGATCAAGCCAAGTATTAATCGGCATTGCTTATCAATTTTACTCCATCTGAAAAGTATTATAAAATAAAGTTCGTCGCAAGGAGACGCAGGTAAACTATACAAAAATTAAAAGTGTATGAATATGACAACAAAAATATTCAATAAATACGATATGTTTTGATATGTTTTTTTTAAATGCCTTTTTGAAGTTTGAAAACGTAAAATTTTTATACCCATTTAAGAATCATCTTAAAAAATACTTAAAAACTAAAGAATCACGAACTTGTTTAGAAATAAATTTAAAGTACATACCTTGATTAACAATATCCATAGTGGCTTTCAATTAAGTATGTACCGTTTAACTCCATAATATACAGAACTACTATGAATGTTATTCTTTTAACTGATAAGATAATGATCGCAAAATTTATTTTTAGTGAAAATATTTGCTAACAAAAAACGGTGTTTATGAAAAATAATATACAGGATGGTTGAACATTGCTATAAGTATAAAATTACATATTCAGATATTAGTAAATTTTAACTTTTTTTTTCGATTTTTGTCCATGGGACGAAGCACTGTGAGATGGTTTGAACGCTCGTCTGCGGAAATCTTCCGGGCTGCAGTTTCCAGAGCCACAATTGCCATTTGGATCGCCAACCTTCGGCAGGAGAGGGCGTGATAAGAAGAAGATTGGAGCAAAAGCAAAAATGGATTCAAGCAGTTCAACGAAACAAGTGGGTAAACAAAGTTCTCGTTACATAATCAAAAAAATCAACCAAGCCTACTACTACTCCTAGTCCTAAAGTAATCGACATTAGGTTTGTTCCAACAAGTGACTAAAGAATACAAGGATCAATAACACGCCATACCAAATTGTTACCATATCGCCAAACAGTGCCGTAGCACGTATTTTCTTAACTTAGCTGCTTGAAAGGATATTTATATTTTTGATAAATGTTTTGACTACGCCTATGGTGTATGCTGCTTATTTAGGTGGTATCATACTAATTAATTACAAAAAAACGCATTAAAATGTTAACAAAAGGTACAAAACTAGTATCGACGACGTAAAATAAAACAACAAATTATTGAGTCTACCCTACATCATAATTTTTACACGTTTTGACTAAACTTAGAACGGCACTGGTAAAGTTTTTTGATATGCTCCTTCCTTATACCTATAATATTTTTATTAAAGGGTTGGAAGAAACCTAATAAAATTTTTTGGAACTTACATTTCAAAAAATTAACATCTGGCGGGAAGGTCCTTAAAAGATCCAAAATGTAATGACGACCGTCATTGCCAATGATACCTTTGCATTCAACGCTGGAACACAATTCAACAGCTTCGTCCTTGTCGTTCAGAACGTGATGAGGAAGACTCTTCAGTTGATGACCAGCTTTGTTCAACTAAAAATACGTTATTACTGAATATTTTCTATTTTTTTTTATTAAATATTTATTTTACCAAGTCCAAGTATTTGGGATGAGACAGGACAGTTTTGCCAAAATCTATGGATCCATAAACAACCGATTGTTCCTGTTCTCTTTCTAGAATACCGGGAATAATGGACTGCGCTGTTACACGGTATCCTCTGTAATCGATAACAACCGTGCCAAGAGTGTAGAGTCCTGGTAAGTCTACGGCGCTGTAGACTCTAACGCCCTGTAAGTCGTTACGCTGGAAAAAAATCAAAGAAAAAAAATGCCATTAAATAGTCCTACAAATACAGTATGATTTTCAAAAAATAGTGTAAAGATGTGAGAAAATCAGATTAATTTAAAGTATAGAATGTTCAACCATCGTTCAATGTTACGTCATATATTGTTGAACTCTCTTAATGACTTGCCAACCAGATGAAAGAGATTGGTGACGTCATTACGGCATTTTGTAAATTACTGCATATCTTTTTTAGTAATTGTCATTGTAATTCAATTTGGGGTTATAATTTTATTGACGGACATCGATCAATGTCCAGGAAGAGACGCTGGTCGAACACTCTTGCCCGTGGACGTCGCACAGTGGATCGACCCTATGCAATTTGCTGGACATTCAGCAATTATGCAAAATTTCTTAAGACATTTTTTTGAATAAATGTGTTCTAAAATCTTCAAATTTGTTAAAAATAGTCATAACTTTATTACAGATAACTTACTGAATAGTGCAGGGGTGTTTTTCCAGAATATATATTTTACTTGAATTTCCGTATTAAATTGACTATTACAAATTAAACTGTATAATTTCATACTTATTCCAAAACTTGATGAACTTTTTATCATATTTTTATTCTGTATGAATTACGACCTTGCGATTTGTCCTGTTCTTTAATACCAACATGTATTCAATAACAATAATTTTCAAAGTCTTAATTATTGTATAGTGTATCACAAAAAATTAAATTTTAAACAAAATTTTCCAAAACCATCTTTGCTGCAAGCGGCTCCAATAAAACTTTGTATTCATAAGTTTAGCATAAAATAGAGAAGTTATACTCACCAACAAATAATCGGGACTCGGTGGGACTTTTTGATAATTACGAAAGAAAGACGCAAATTATAATAAATTTCCCTGACAAATATGTATATTTTCACGGAGAATAGAGTTAAATAAACACACAAGTGTTTCAAAATTTCTTTTAAATTAATCGTTAAAATATGGGCTAAAACTTCTGTATGGGGCACATGAATTAAGTCATTTATTTAATCCATAATTTGCTCTATAAATTTCCCACATATTAAATATCTTTAACAAGAAACGCATATATTGTATACCATAATATATAGCTTTTGGTGAATTTTTCAATAAAATTCGACTTTAGTTAATTAAATTATGGCTTTCAAAATATGTATTTGAAGAAATTTGTAAATATTAAAAGTTTAAATACGATTTTAAGTGTTATGTCCAGCATCAAACATACGATCGTTCTACTGTGCGTATATGAATACATATATAAGTACAATGCAAAGGTGTAATATTCCTATGTAAAATACAAATTGATAACGTTTTTAAACAATATAGCGAGTTGCTGATGCTATAGAAATAGAAATTTTAACAGTCCAAAGGATTGGAATTAAAGAGATCGTAACTGATGAAGGGCTCAAGAAAAAAAAATAAATGCCGAAAAAAAAAACGGAACCCGCTCAATCAAAAATATAGGAACGTACTTAAAATTTTTTATAGTGCATGAACTGATCTCAGACAAACTCTAAAACTCATATTTGACAAATAATGATGACGCAACGGTGAACGATAGCTGAACAATCTTTAAAACTTGTTCCTAGATTAAAATATGTCTCAATCTGTCACAATTCTTCTGCATATTAAAATCTATGAATAGATGTAAACTTATTTATTATTAATATATCGAAAATGTGGTCTCCAATTCCTTATTGGTTGAAGGTAACAACTAACCTAAGATTTTAATGAAAATTAGATGGATTTATTGGTACCAACGGTCACTCCTGAGACCGTTATCTAGTCTCCATAGAACAGAACTGTAAAATAGTTTTTACAAAAAAATAAAACACTTTACTTACAGGAGCAACAAAAGCCGCAGCATCCCCTCCCAATTCCTTATAGTGGTCGCGAACGTCGAATCCCAAAGAGAAGAAAATATTATTCCATATAAACATCTGCATTTTGGCCTCTTCGCCAGGGTTGATGGCCATCACGTTGCCGTCAATAACGGCCATGGCGCCTCTGGTGGCGGCAGCAACGAAGTCACTGTGAACCTGTTTTGTCAAAAATCACACGTCAACTTATTAGAGTATTTAACCTCAAAAATATCTCGAAAGTCACCTTGAAGATTGCTCGTTCTCTCAATAAACGTTCCGGCAGTGTTTTCCTGGGTAGTTCCCTAGTGGCTTGCAGTTCTTCGTTCCAGTCTCTCGTCTGACCGGGGATGTGTTCTTCGTAGCCCAGTTTTGAAGAAAAAGCTGATGGAGAGAAAAATATATATACTAATTTTATACAAAACTTTTGTACAAGTATTCTACATTATACATTAAATTTTATCAATAATTGTGTACTACCCAAGTAGCATTTTTAGACACAAAATCGAAACAAGATCTCTGCTGAAAAACATTGCGAAACAGTTTCGTCACATTTCTGATACATATGTTTTGTAACATAAATCGTTTTCTGTTTCGAAACATTTTACCAAAATATGGTTTCGCTACATAAGCTATAACAATACAGATCTTAGTATCACAATTTTTTCGGAACTTTTAAGAAACAAACGTGGCTCACATTTACAGATTTAGTACCCGTTTTGTTCCTGAAAAGTTTCCATAATATATTTCATATTCTGTCCAACATAACCTTACTTTATTGCTTGGATTTTGTTCTGCAGTTTTTCTATTTGAGCAATCTTCAAGTTTTTATAGTACTATAATTAAAAAAGCAGAAGGAAGGACATATGGTGAGTACAAAAACAGATATTTTTCTTATGCGATTTTATAAATATTTATTATACGCATTACAGAAATGATTTGTTTAGGAATAAATGTAATAACAGCCACTACCCATACCCAACAGGCGACCGAAGATAAATGTTACCAGCAAACGTTTTTTCTCTTTCTTCCACAACGTAATACATGTTTTTATGTTTTAATTGTGCTATAATAAGTAAATAAACATTTTTTTATTATTTTGACCAGAAATCTTGATTGGCGATGTTGACAGGTGACTAGTTCGAAATTTCTACACAGACAGCGCTAAACGGAAACAATTTGGAAACAAGGTTTCCATTTATTGTCGATTCATTTTCGAAACACGCGTTTCTCTTTTTTTAGACACAAATATAATATAATGTAGATGATTTGTGGCCGACTCCATGTCAATTTTATAAAATAATGAATTAAAATTCCGCCATGTTGGCTAGTGATAGCGTTTTTAACTGAAAATATATGTTTTTATCCACTGTTGAGCTTTTAAACCGTTCTATTTACATTGATTTATATATTTTTATTTTCAGAACCATGATATAGAAATAGTAGTTGATGAACCATGATATAGTAAATAATAGTTTTTCTAATATAACAATATACTCACTGTCTTCTGCCCTGATCGCATCTACAGTATGCTCCATGGTAGGTGCAGTCCACGCATAAATCTGATAAGGGGTCGAAACTCTTTCAAAAGGATGCCTCTGGCTACGTTTTTTCTGCAACGATGCAAAATTCCTTTTAAACTGAGGCGATATCTGGTTCAAAAGCTCGATCAACGAATGGCACAAATGACTAGGCGACGACGGTTTCGGATTGAACTCTTCCACCAAAGACCTGATGGAAAAATTAGGTTATATTATGTGAAACACCATTTAAAAAAAAAATCGAAAAAAAAAAACGACGTCATAGTAACCTTCGAAGTGAGCTTATTCTCTCGTAGTCTACCATGACACCGTTTTTTTTTCGATTAAAATTTTCACGTACTGATTAATGTAGAATCCTCGCGAACAGGCCGATATGTGATAGTGTTTATCCTCCAAAGTGACGACATAAAGGTACATGAGATCGCCGTGTAGCTTTCTGTAGCCCGGCGGTGGGTTCCATGCCGATGTGGTGAGTACTTTGACGCACTGCGGCGTGCGTTGATCTTTAAATTGGGGCTGTAGGGCTGTCAAAGGTCTGTCTTTGCTGTCGGGCATTATGTAGTCGGGTGGGGTGCAGTCGACGCTCTCCGGTCGCATTTTTTTCTTCTCTGTACAAATATTAAAAAGAAACTCAAAAAAATCTCAAAATTTAAACCATGATACATACATACCGTATGATCTAAAAAAAAACGGCGTCAGCGATGGCTTTGAAATGAAGATTGATGCCATTTTATCTGTAAAATTGTATGGTGAATGTCATCGATGTTCATTTCCAAGCCAAATGGACGCCGTTTTTTTTCAATCATACGGTACTTGTTCTTAGGTAACTTTTCCCTGAATTCGATAGAAATACATACATATGTACAGGGTGGGTCAAATTCGACGCTTTTAAATGGAAACACCCTTTTCTATAGGAGATGACGAAAATTAATATCGATGTCTGGAGCTCAATTTTCATCAAAAACATGATGGTGAAAACCGCACAAAATATCTGTTACCGCTTCGGAGTTACGGGGTGTTTTTCAAAAATGTGTATTTTTAACAAATCGCTGTAACTTTTTTACTATGGAAAATTTTGTAATTCTATGAAAACATTTCCAAAGCACCTTTTTACGTAGAATTTAATGGTTTAAGTATAATTTTTATTAAATTAATAATTTAAGAGTTATCAACAGAAAAATTGATTTTTTATTTGGGACACCCTCTATATTTTTAATTAACTGAAAATAATTTAAAATTACCTTTCCAAGAATATAGCACACTTGATATTTTGTTATAATCCCCTTCGAAATTCAGAATTTTTAAAAGTTCGCCACTTTAACTAGTAGGCTTTGGACCCCTTATTGATGATATGCCCTTAATGAAACTCGAAAACATATTTTTCCAGCAAGACGACGCACCGCCTCTAAACGCTGAAGTTATCAGCAAATTTCTGCAGCCAATTTCAAGAATAATTGAGCTAATAGCTAACCAAGATCCCAGCCGTTGGCCGTCGAGGCCGCCTGACTTAGTGCCCATGGATCTAATCCTGTGGATATATTTGCGGAAGAATAAAGGTTCCTTATTCTTCCGTATAATCTAGACAAGAATTAGAAATCCTAAGCTGTTATGAGAGGGTATCTTTCACCCCTATTGAGTTAATGAATTCCGCGAGAAATGTTCAAAAACTGCCCCGTCTCTCCATAACAGAAGACGGTCGATATGTCGAACATCTGTAGAAAAAACTCATGTCTTGGTTTGCTATTTATTTTTATTGTTATTAGATATAATTTAAATGTGTTGATGTTAGTTAAATATATTTTAAATTGTTATAAAATTCTGCATCTCTCATAGCAAATATTATTTTCGTTTTAACTGATACTCACAGCTAGAATTTTTTTGCATTACAGCCGGATCCGTTCAAAGCCTACTTATTTAAAGCGGGCCGAATTTTTATATACTCTATATCTCGAAGAGGAATCGAGGAAAATATCAAGTGTGTTCCATTTTTGGAAAGGTAATTTTAAATTTTTTTCAATAAATTAAAAATATACAGGGTGTCCCATAAAAAAAATCAAATTTTCTGTTGAAAGGTGCCCGGTGGCGTAGAGGTACAGGCTCTCGTCTACCAATCTCAAGGTGTGGGTTCGATTCCCACACTCGGCATTTCATCAGCCGACTATTTTTATTGAAATAAAAATAGTTTGGGTACCTAGGTCGACTCAGCCTTAAATGAGTACTTGGGATTCACAATCCTGAGGTAATAATAGGCGGTTGAAGCATAATGCTAGCCACATTACCTTCCTTGTATACCGAACGGCTCTAGTATAGCAAGCTGTACCTCGCTACTCCCAAGGCGTTAAATGCTATATACGGGAGCTATTATTATATTAAATTTTCTGTTGATAATTCTTAAATTATCAATTTTAAAAAAATTATACTTAAACCATTAAATTCTACGTAAAAAGGTGCTTTGAAAATGTTTTCATAAAAATACAAAATTTTCCATAGCAAAAAAGTGACAGCGATTTGTTAAAAATGCACATTTTTGAAAAACACCCCGTAACTCTGAAACGGTAACAGATATCGATGTGCGGTGTTCACCATTATGTTTTTGATAAAAGTTGAGCTCCAAACACCGATATTAGTTTTCGTCTATCTCCTATAGAAAAGGGTATTTCCCTTTAAAAGCGACCAATTTGACCCACCCTGTACACGTTCAGTGATATCACAAACTGCACTAGACCAAATGTACCAAACTAATATGGAGTGTAGAGGTAAGGAGATAATTGTAGAGGAAAGGAGATAAGTAAGATAAGGTAGAGCAAGGATATCTTCGTCCATTAAAAAATGGTCATAAAAAAGGGAAGACTTAAGATGGCGCTGCTGTAGCAAAAACCTAAAATTTAAAATAAGCGCCGAAAATTTTTAGAACAGAAAATTATTCAAAAGAGATTAAATAAACAAATAAAGTCCCATAAGAGATATTTTTCCTCATCTCTACCACAGATTATACAGATTTTAAATTTTGTTTTTTCTTTATTGTTTTTCCTTGTTCCAATTTTCGGAATCGGGCACTAGTTAAGTTACTAGTTTGTGCACATAGCACGCCCACTTATGGCCTGTAAAATTGTGCACAGCGCCTGACCGGCACAGTTATTAGAGAGATATCGGAAAACCGAATAGCGTCATGCAGTATTTACGCGTACCTTATCATGGTTACGATATGCGCGAGTCAATTTTTAACGCAACACCCGCTAATAACGTTACCGCCTGACGTAATTTGTGGATCAATTACATTTTTGCTATTTCTAAATAACGTTTAAAAATTGCTTAAATGGGCATGTGCGGGTATTTGACAACCGGGGCCGGCCGGCAAGATATTTTATTTTAGTTTTATTAGTAGGTTTGAATTGTTTTGAATTATTACTTTAGTTTTATTAGGTAATTTGATATTTAAGTAGCTGGGATTAGTTTTAATTAAATAAATATGGCCCAAAATATGGATTCCACCTCTTCCAATATTAAAGAACCTATAAAGAGGCTTAGGTTTACAGCAGATGACGACTTAGCCCTTCTAAGAGAATTTGTTGCTTGTTGCCCTAAACCCACTGGCAGACGTTAAACAATAAAGCACTGGAAATAAGCACTTTAGCCCTTTAGTTTTAAAATACCTAGTAAACAAAACAATTTCAAAGTTTTAAATTCAAAGTTAGGTTAAGTTTAAATAGCGGCCGCGACGCAAACAGAATTCTTTCCGATCCGATAACTATAAATGAAGAGAGTTAATACCACCTCACTTAAAGGAAATAACACCTGGCCTTATTAACCTGTGCACGCTATTCGGTTTAGCGATATCTCTCTATTACGCTGTTTATTGTTATTTTACGCGAGTTTATTTTTGCGCGCAGGAAATTTTACTCGTTTGCACATCGTCATAAAAAACAATTTTCATACCACGAATTAGGGACAAGATTTTTATCTGTATAGGATACCTAATCTGTGTCTCTACACTCCATATACCAAACCTAAAACAATAATATTTACCTAAAATATCTCCCTGGGTAATCATATTCAAAAAACTCAACGAATTACACTCAACCCCATTATAGGCATCGGCGGGATCCAAAGACTTCAACAGATCCCTGACATGCCTAACATGAATCCTAGCCTCGCGCATAGTATAGGGCTCCTCCACCACCTTAATAACCGAGCCCTCCTTCAGCCCCTCGATGTTCTTCAACTCGGAAAAGTTGTCCAAAGTATTTCCTTCCAGTTGCAGGGAAAAACACGTCCTGTGACACGTGTCCTCCCTGTCCATCAGCAGCTGATGGATTTCCTGGACTAATTCCATGCTGGACACTTGGATGTCGAAGGGCTCGATGCCCGGGCTGTGGATTTTGACGGTGAAGCCGACGTCTTGGATGAAAACCACTTCGTCCTTGTTCTTGTCCTCGCTCTCGTCCTTTTCTTTTTCCTCCACGTCTTTGGACAGTTTGTTTTCTGTGTAGATCAGGTAAATTAACATGATTTTTGGGATAGTTACTTTGGAAAAGTAATATGTTGCAAAATAGGTTTAAAGAAGTTTGAAACTTTCTTTGATATTTTTACTGACAATAATTTTACTATGGCAACAATATACCGGGTGGTGCATCATCGTCGGAAACATAGAAAATTGCATGCAAAATTGAGCTGTAAAATTACTAGGGGAGCCAATATTTGGACAGTTCGCAATTTGCATGGGGGATTTTCTGTTTCCAACGACGATGCACCACCCGGTATATCCTGAGCCGATGCCTTAACCTGGTATAGAAATATTTACATATACAGGGTGTCCCACTTAAGATGGATACAAGCCAATATCTTTTGGTTGTTTGTTGAGCAATCTTTTTCTTTTTTGGCAGGAGGCTGTATGGCTATAAAACGTACATTTTGCCCAGGGTAAGAAATGCGATACCTCATAGACGTACGTTTTAATGGGGCTTGATATTTTTCGAGTTAAGAGTAAACTACCCTTAGGACAGTATCTATTTCAAATCTGATAAATTATATTGAATCCTCCTTGCCCAAGATACTTAAGTTCTAATTTTTATAAATATTGATACAGGGTGTGTTATTAAAATAAGACATTTTTATTTTTATTATTATTTTTTTAAGTACTTACGACGCCACTGGATAAACAACTGGTCGTGGCTAACGTTATATTCAAGGCCTGACTGTTTTGACAGTTCTACTGAAGTGGTCCAGAATTAGTAGTCGTAAACAAACCAATTGTTTTCATTAGTTTCGCAACAAATCTGTGTTTTTTACGCGTTTCTATGCTAATAAAATTATACTAAATAATTTTGAGTGAATCGTGAACTATCTAGATCCGATTCATAACATCCTACCCGCGAAAAAAACCATACTTTCGGTAAACATTATAGTAACACCGGCGATGCCGGCTGTGTGTCCGTCCTAAACCTACAGAACATGCTGTGCCTACAATTTTTCCAAATCAACCCTGTTATGGACCCTCTGTGCATGTTCCCATAAAGAGAAAACGTCCCGATGAAAGAAAACAAGATTTGGAAATTCAGGATGAAATATATATTGAAAAGTATTATTATTATTATGAAATATATATTAATATTATGAAATGGCATTATATTTTAAAGAAATTAAATGAATTTGTACTTTATTTCAGTATTTTATACAAAAAAAATTATATCTTTATCTTTTTATTTACGATTTATGGAGATGGTTACTTGATGAACATCGAACTACAAATTACTTAATGTTAATAGTTAATTCTATCTGATATCCACATTTTTTAAATATGTTAGGCAGATTTTTACAATTATTTTTAATTAAACTTTAAAATGTATCCTGCCCTTATCATATACATTTTATTAACTTGTCGATAAAGTATAGTTTTCAAATTTTTTAATATTTGGAAACTTTATCACAAGGTATATAATTACTAGCTGCTAAATACTCGCTAACGCAATTTTAGGACATGCTTTTTATTATCTAGATTTTATTTTGTTCATCTTATGCTGTAGTTTATTTCATATTAATATTTGTGCTTTAGATCTAAATTTTAATGCTATTCAATTACTTCAACGCGATAAAAAGTTAATGTTATTTTTTAATACCTTTCTGTATAAAATTTTTCATATTTATATCTGGTAAAACTATCAATAAATACTATTATTTATGCAATAACTATATGCAGTACCATATAGCACAATACAAAAGCCGGACTAGTGCGGTGACGTCACAAATCGATGTCTCTGGCCTGTCTGTCATGTTGGTTATGAACTGGTTTATTATCGATAATCAATTATCAATTAATAATCGTTTTTTTTATGGTGGTTTGGTCGAAGATGTTGACTTTTAGTTCGTTATAGTTTTATAAATCTTTGTTTAGAGCATATTTTTCAAAGTTAATAGTGATTGTTTTAAATATCTAACTATTTGAATTTTTAAAAACATTCCTCAATAAAACAAATAAAAATCATATTTCAGATTCCATTGAAACTGGGGTTTTAAATTATTTTGTAACTCATTTTATTCATTTGCATTAGCAAACTTAAAAAACAATTTTTTAAACTAAACAAAATAAATTGAAAATATTTAGTTTTTTTGTATCGTATCTTAATTATTATGGAAGCTATCTGAAAACTTAAATCGATTACTAATTGATAATTGGTTATTGATAATAAACCTGTTGTTTATCCAGTGGCGTCGTAAGTAGGTACTTAAAAAAATAATAAAAATAAAAATGTCTTGTTTTAATGACACACCCTGTATCAATATTTATCAAAATTAGAACTTAAGTATCTTAGGTAAGGAGGATTCAATATAATTTATCAGATTTGAAATAAATACCGTCCTAAGGGTAGTTTACTCTTAACTCGAAAAATATCAAACCCCATTAAAACGTACGTCTATGAGGTATCGCATTTCTTACCCTGGGAAAAATGTTCGTCTTATAGCCATACAGCCTTCTGCCAAAAAGGAAAAAGATCGCTCAATAAACAATCAAGATATTGGCTTGTATCCATCTTAAGTGGGACACCCTGTATATACTATCCATTTGTTAAATAATAAATAACAATTAGAGATATCGTTATTAGTTTATTTCTTGTGCTAATCCTAGTGATTGAAGTATTTGAAATAAATATAAATTCAAAAAAGGCTAGAATATACAAAACTAATTTTCTAAGTCTGGACATGTAGAAAATGTACAAAATTAGTTGTAGAAAATTGATTTTCTACGTGTAGAAAATACGGTAGAAAATATAAAATTTTCTACCTACCCAACCCTGATCGCACATCTCTAGAAAATGTGTTTTTTTTCGAACGTCAAAAAACTATTATTAATTTATGCAACGTGATTGACAATATACAAAGTCCTTTTAACGCGTAGGCATAAAAATAAAGCACAAAACATCCCCAAACACTAAAGCACTTTTACGTTTCTACGGAGAATATTTTTAATACCCTACCTTTAATACCCTTTTTAATATATAAAATTAAAATAATTCTTTGGTTTCTAATATCTGACTAAGCACAAATACACCATGTAATAAAAAAAAATGGCGTCAAAGATGGCTGAGGAATGACACTCGATGATAATTTTGGCGAGGTCAAGGCACAAATGTCATCTACTTGGTCTATAGGGTCCATTTAGCTGTCAAAATTAACAAATTTTCTATAAAATAAAGTGCATATTCTGCTTTTTAGATTAAAATATAGAGCTTAGGTGAAAAAAAAAATTTCTAACCTCAAAAATATTTTTTTGGAAATAAATTTGTGTATCTTTAAACGTCCTATCCTTTTTGTAACGTTTCTAGTTAGTTAGTGTTCATTTTTAACAAGTTTTGTGCCAATTTTTGGCCAAAATTACCATCGACTGTCATTCCACAGCCGTCTTTGACGCCGTTTTTTTTCGATCATACGGTATAAAATCTCTCATAGATGGTTAGAAATAAATAAATATATAAAATTCATTTAAATACCTGTTTCTTCACTTGTTCCATTTGCTTTGGCATCATTATTTTTGTTAGTATCTGAAAAGAAAAAAAAACTATGATAAAAATATATTTTTTTAATTTTATAAAAGAATTATTTAAGAAAAACATACAACGAAAAAATGGATAATCATATAAACCATACATCATGTTTAATAAATTCAAATTCAGTCTGGTCGACATTTAAATGAATTAAAATCACATCAAATTTACCGAGAAAAAAGTAAGTAAACATTTGGATTTCGGGAAATAAAAGTGTACACGTCGAGGTCATGATGAAATAATTTAAAAGATTTATGTCAGATTATTTAAACCTCGTATACAGGGCGACCCAGTATTCAAAAAAAAAGTTCCACATTAGGTTTTCTAGCAAAATAACCCATTTTAAATCTTATACTTGATATACAGGGTGATTTAAGCAAATTTTCCTACAAAAATGTACTTTTTTGAATGATAATTGCACACACAACACCCTGTATATAGGTATACCATGCAATACAGTGTATTTTAGTATAACTAGTTTATAAAAGGACACTATTTTAAAATACAATATAATAAAAAAAACGGCGTCAGCGAAAGCTATGAAATGAAGATCTCTGTCACTTTATATGTAAAATTATATGGGGACTGTCATCGGTCGTCATTTCTAAGCCAACTGGACGCCGTTTTTTTCGATCATACGGTAGTTGCAATTAAAATAATAACAATAATGTGATATTTTATTTGTTTGGTATAGCTTAAATGAACAGAAAATTTATTGAAAAAAAACGACGTCAAAGACGGCTGGAGAATGAAAATCGATGACTTGTCAAAAATTAGGGCTTGATCTCGTCAAAATCATCACAGATTGTCATCCCAGCCGTCTTCTTTTTTACCGATCGTACGGTATTTTAAACGCCCTGTATATCTATGAAAATTCTTCTAAAAATAAGTTCTAAAACGTCCGCTACATTTGACGGCATATTTTACAAAAAATTGGATTGAAAATCTCAAATAGCAAAACTGACATAGAGTTTTTTGAAAGACTGGTTCACCTTGTATATATTTATGCATTTTTTTTAAATTATTAGTAGGGGATGGTAGTGCATTTCTCGACACAAAACAACTTTTCTTTGATATGAATAATCGTGCATTTCAGAATTATCTCGAAACATAAAACGATAAGATTCTATTCACAATTCTTTTTCCTTCTATCAAAAGCTTGTTAGTGAATAACACTGATAAACGCACTGTTGTAAAGCAAAGTTATTGATTTAAAAATACACAATACCGCAAATCTTAGAAGTGTTTTATTGAAGTGAAGAATACATAGTTTTATATAATTCAGATTCTACTGCTAATTTTATAAAACTGTCGGAAAGATTTAAATTTACATTAGGAATGCTAGGTTATAAGGCGTTATGTAACATGCACTAAAAGCAGTTTATTTCCCGAACTACATTAAAACAAAGAGTAATAATTTACCATTGGAATTTGTACTCTCCTTCTGGCTTTTTTTCAGCGTCTCATTATCAGATTTTTCGGTAGAAATGTTATTTTCACCGTTCTCGACTTCGTTTTCCTTGGGACCCAGGGCCATATTCTTAAATAAAAATGCACCGCACTTTCTATCAGTCCATAAAAACCGAAACGCACGAATTTAGTTTTACAAAACAATTTTTTTCGTAAAAAATTAGTCTTTCGCACTTGAGAAGGCCCAAACACGTGCTTCGGAAGAGCTAATTTACCCCCTCTAAAATTACAGCACATTCATTAAACACAATTTTCTATTCTAGATTTTAATTTAATTGCTTTATCTCACTCATAAAAATTGATGGGAAAAAGATAGATATAATTGTATGCGCTCAGATTTAAGTTGAATGATTGCACAACTTATTACGTCAAAGTGTCTTAAGAAAAATGGGCGTGGATATGCATGCGCCGACGTGTGATTACGACGAAAATTTCTCTTCACGAGTTCTTCAATTATACAAAGCCCATCCCTGTTGTACTAATTCATTCAATTAGCAAAGGAAGAAGAAAAGCCCTTTGTTTATTGCTAACTTCACGCCAATATGTGTCAAAATATGACGAAAAATTTTATCAACAAAGAATTTCTTTAAGTATTTGACTCAAAATGTAGTCGTCACAACTTAAGAAAAATATTATATATGAACTGAAATACCTTTATAACAGACTTATTATTTAAATAATAATATGCCACAAACGGATCAGTATTCCCCTTTGGTACATACATTAAAAAACATACCAGTAGACATGTTATAAAGAAAAACACGTTTTTAGGTGGGATTAGTCTATGTTTTCAATTTAATTGTCGGCACTGGAGCCCTAACATTACCCGCAGCCTTCGCAGATGCTGGTTGGCTCTTCAGTACATTCGCCTTAATTGTATTATGTTTTGTAAGTTTTATTACGGTGACCTTCGTGATAGAAAGCATGGCTTGCGCCAACGCTACTATTCAGTGGAGGCGGATTCAATCGCATAAAGTCGATGTAAGTTTTTTATTACAGACTCAGACTTGTTAAATATGAGATTACATTACAGGAGAGTGAAGTTCCTCTGAACAGTGATTCACAATGCGAAGACAGTACTGAAGAGACAGCTATACTTGTTCACAGAACAAGACGTTACTATAATTTGAACAACAAAGTAGAACTGAGTGAAATAGCTGGTCTATATCTAAGCAAAATGGGACACGTGTTCTTCTTTCTTTCGTTAAGTGTATATTTATTCGGGGATCTAACAATTTACACAGCAGCCTCAGGCAAAACTATAGTCAATTTGAGCTGTAAGACTTCCAATAATACAGAGAACTTTACAGAATCATGCTGGGAAGATTCAGACTTCACCAAAATGGATATGTATAGAATTTATGTAGCATTATTTGGACTATTAGTCGGACCTTTTGCTTATTTTAACGTACAAAAAACTAAATATATACAAATTTTTACCATGAGTATTCGGGGGGCAGCTTTCAGTATTATGATAACTCTAGCCACTTTGAGACTTATAAAGTTTGGACAACAAGGTCACCCGAGTTTAGTGAATTTAGCTGAAGTCCCTGCTCTAGCAGGTTCAAGCGTTTATAGTTTTATGTGCCACCACTCCTTACCCAGTCTTCTTATACCAATATCAAATAAAAACCGCCTAATGAGAAAAATAAGCTTCGATTTCTTCTTAATATGTTCGTTTTATTTGTTGGTCTCTCTAACCGGTTCGTTTGCATTCGAGTCAATTGATGTGCTGTATTCTTTGAATTTTATTCAAACTGAAGACTCTGGTTTTTTGATGAAAACCATCGGAATGTTTCTGGCAGCTTTTCCCCTGTTTCCTATGGCTGCTAGTTTTCCAATTATAGCCATAACCATGCAGGCAACCTTGAAGAATTTATTTTTTGAACATAATGCCATTGATAGATATGGATTCTTCGTGAAAAAACTGTTTTTCCCAAGTTTAGCAGTACTTCCACCCCTCATTGTGGCGCTGTGCACTCACAATTTAAAAACTTTAGTTGAAATTACAGGTTCATATGCTGGGGTGATGGTTCAGTATATTGTACCTGCTGTTTTGGTGGTTAGCGCCAGGAAACAGTGTCGTAAGGATTTTGGGAATACCATCCACAGGTATGCCAGTCCCTTTAAACATTACGGCTGGTTTTTGTTTGTTGTAATATGGGCTTCGATATGTATTGTTTTCGTGACAGTTGATTTTATTATTAACCATTAAAAGAGCCAATGGAAGGCACAAAAATAGGTGCGTTTACTGTATTTAATACTGTAAATATAATAAGCAAGTAAATACCCAGTTTGTAAGATACCAAAAAGCAACAATAACATTTATATTTCTACGTAACTGTGATAATAAGAATATTTTTTTATTATTGCTTCTGTTTTTACCACAAAAATTAGTCAAAGTAAGACAAAAATTATATTAATATAAGATATAGATTTTAATTTAACATAAATAAAGATTCTAACTAGTAAAATTTCTATTTTTTCTTCTTGCCTTTATTCTGGAACCCTTGTTTCGACTTCCTTTCTAACTGCATTTGTTTGAGTTTCATGTTGAGTTTAGTTTGAGCTTGGTCGTGTTTCTCTTTCGTTAACTTTGGTTCTGGGTGCATGTAGTCTCTTCGTTCATCTCTTTTAACTGCTTCGCCGCATCCGTGAATTTCCGGCAGGCCGTGCGTGGTGCAAAATCTGCCTTTGCAAAACTTGCAATCGATAGCAATGAGGTTCGTTTTGGCCTTGCACTTGACGAAGTTACAAACGTTGTCGATTATTTTTACCTTGTCGATAACTTCGTCTATGTTTTTCGAACTGGTGGCTTCTTTCAAGTCTTTCTCTTTGTTTTTTAATTGGGAAGTTTCTGTTTTGGTTACGGTTGAGGACATTGTTACTCTAATATGGATTTGTTATTTTAAATTTCTGAGAAAAAAATGGAAATTTTTAATGCAAATGTTTTTTTGGTGTACGATGTATATTTAGTTGCATAACTACTTTGACATGACATATGACATTAATATTTTTTTGGCGTGTCTAATTGTCCGTTAAAGTGGAAAATAGCTTCTATTTTTCTACGCTAAGGTCCTGGGTTTTATAGGAACAGTTTAATGTTCTGGCTTATCTATTCTCTTATTTATAGTACGTCTGTTATAATCATATTGTAGTATTATTCCTAAGGTATGTCAGTCATATCAGATTTTTTATTATTTTACCTGGCACATATTGATGTGAAGTTAGCAATAAAATAGTGTGTTAGTTTAATGGCCACAGTTGCCAGGGCTATCCGGCCGGTAGTTAACAATAAGCAACTCTTCTTTTTTTAATTGATTTAAAAGCCTAAACTACTAGGACTATCCGGCCTGTTAAAATCCATTAATTATTACGACGCTTGTTTATCTCTACGACATTAAATTAACAGGGATGGGTCTGTAAAATACATAATTTGTTACATTACACTTAATTAACGTAGTAAACTAACAAGAAAAATATCAAATTTAGAACTTTTCTATTTTATTGATCAAAAAATAACAATTATTGACAAAAAGTTATTATGTAAAATAGGTTTTATGAAATAATTATAATTCGTAAAGCGTATCTGGGACTAGTAATTCTTTATAGACAAAATGTAGCCGATGTAGTATTGATAGCGTCATAAATAAACGTATTATTTAAGGGTTTATATTGATGAGTGATTATTTTTATAACTTCTTGCGCCGCACAGCCTCCCAAAATGGCCGAAACTGAATGAAGTTCAGCCCCTCCATACCTACAAACCTCATGAACCCTTTCGTCCCTTAATACATGGGAATATCCCCATTCATTGAGCAATTTCCCAATGATTCCTTTCAGTTTTAGCAGGTCTGGTTCGACTTGGTCGTCTAGCTGGCCTGGGTAAACGTTATATTCGCTAATAAATCTTTCTAGGCCTCTCAAAATGATGTAGTAGAATATGAGGCAGTCTGGGTCTTCTAGATATGAAGATAAATCTAAATTCGATTTTTGGTACTCGTTTGCTATGCAACTACCGCGTATTACGTGCAGTTCGCTGGCGTGTTTACAGAAATACTTCACCTAAAATCATTTAAAGATATCATAAAACATGTACCTTATGATAGGAAAAAAAAAACGATGTCGAGTTACTTTGATGATCCTAATTTCTAAGCTAACTCGACACTGTTTTTTTTTCGATAAAATAGAAAAAAACAAGATTTCGACAGATGACAATAAAAAAATGACAAAAAAAACTACTCTTGCATTAAAGCAAAAGACAATTATAGTCTTACTGCATTATACAGGGTGGGTCAGTGTTCTGAAAAACATCATCAAGCCGCCTGTGTCAGAGTTTCACTCCAATCTTTTTTATAGAAAATAATAGCACGCATTTTCAAAATATTTTTATAGATATACAGGGTCATTCAAGTATATTAATATTTTTAGAATGATGTATAATCTAATGCTCAAGATACAGCATTTACAAATCTACAACTTTGGTTTAAAAATATATTTGAATCACCCTGTATATCGACCGTACATAAATTCGAAAGAAAAAAAACAGCGTCCAGTTGTCTTGGAATTGACGATAGAAGACATTCTTACATTTAAGAATTTATAGGGTGTTCCATTTAAAAAAATACAACCTTGATATTTTTTATTTATTTTGGACGCTCTGTATCTTGTAAAAATATTTTTAAATTGCAACTCTAATAGTCCTTCAACGAACCCAAAATATACAATTTGTAAAAATCTAATCGTTTCGCTACAATACTCCGTGTCGTATGTGGTGGACAACCCTGTATAAAACCAGATAAGGACCTTTTTCAAAAAACTGTCTCACCCTGTATATCATTAATTCAAAAATATAATTACATACTTACCTCACTTTCGGTAACCCAATCTTGAGGCAACCCCAAATTCCTAGCGATTTGCTGAGCACGCCTGTACACGCTCTCTGCGTGATGCTCTGCCCTTTTTCTATAAATATTTTGCAGAGTCACGTAGCTTAACGTGTCCGCGGCCATATCGGGTAGAGTACCCTTTACCGGTAGTTCCCCTTCGGCCTGAACCAACTCCCTTAGTGCAGCGCTCATTATCCAGAAGGACGAACTGTTTTGCGTCAAGTTCGTACATGAATCGTCATCCAAGATTGCCTGAATATATTTTTAAAATTTTCAGAATTTTTATTTGTTTAAACCAGGGATGGGTAAATCAAAAATCCTAATATAAAAACTGGTATTTTTACGCGTAAAAAATGTAGTTTTTTGTTTACCCATCCCTGTTTTTTGGTACACACATAAAGAAAAATATTAAAAGGGGTAGATTCGCCGGAAAATGTTTTTAAGTAAAAAAAAGAAGGCGAATAAAAAATCCTCAAACCTAACGTAAACCTAACGTAAAAAACGGATTTTTACGTGTCACTGTAGTTTTTAACACGTAATAAAGAGTACAAAAAAGTTTTTTACTCATCCATCCTTGATTTTTTTATTTGCTCTGAACTTTTTGGTACACACTGTGGATAAAGAAAAAAAAATGAAATTCCTTAACATGGTCAAGGATAGGTTCGCCTAAAACCCTAATGTAAAACACTGTTCTTAACAAGTAAAAAACGTTTTTTACGTTATTTTTTACGCAACTATTCCTGTTTTTTCTATTGTAGACTTTTTGGGCACACATTATCTACAGGGTCGCTGTTATGTATGGAAACGGTCGATTATTAGGTAAAATATACAAGGTACCGCAAAAAGTTAAATACAAAAGTTATAGAATTTTTAAATATCTATTAGCGAGGAATAAATTTAAGAATACAGGGGTGGGTCATAAAGTCGTGGCACATAAAAGTTCCATTTTTTAAAATAGAACCCCCTGCATATTACTGCCATATTTCAATTGTTCCTTCAATTCTAAGCAAAAATCGAAATACACACAATGTACCTCAAACCAATAACCGTTTCCGAGTTATTGACTTTTGAAAATATCACTTAAGCAATTTGATTTAATTAATTTCGATATGTTCAGTTTTATTTAACGATGCCATTCTGCCAAAACTGTGATACTTAATAATATTTGACATTAGTTCTCAAGTTAGCATTTATAGATGTATAAAATGAGACTATATCAAGTCTGGAAATTAAAAAATTTTCGTTTAACATATCAATTCTTCAATTTATGTACATTGTGTATTACGATTATTGCTTAAAATTGGAGGAAGAATTGAAATATGCAATAATATACAGGGGGTTTCATTTAAAAAAAAATAAAGTTTGATGTGACACAACCAGGGTTCGGAAGTAGTTAATTAAGACCTAATTTACCTGATTAACTACGTGTAGTTTTTCTTCAAAAACTACGTCTTTTCCCGTTCATTAACTACATGAAAACTACGTTAATAAACTATGTATTGATATTATGAATAATTTTGCTTTGTATGGGGGGTCTAAATAATATGATGTGTGGATATTATATTTAAAGCCATATTTCTTCGGTTTTCTTAAATACATTGTGTTTTCTAAAGCTTCAACTTATTATAACCTCACCTCAGACCTTTGATATTTGAAAGTTACATACATAGGTTACATAAACTACACCCTCTACATAAACTACATTAACTACATGTAATGTAGTTTATGTAGTTTTTAAAAGTAACATGTAGTTTTCCGAACTCTGGACACAACTTTACCACCGACCCTGTATACTTAAATTTACTAGTAGCTAATAGGCATTTAAAACCCCATTACAACAACAGTATCAAAGTTTCGGCAGAATGGCATCGTTTGAAACTGAACATATTGAACTTAATTAAATTAAATTGTTTAAGTGATATGTTCAAAAGTTAATAACTCGGAAACGTTTGGTTTGAGGTACATTGTGTGTATTTCGATTTTTGCTTAGAATCGAAGGAAGAATTGAAATATGCAATAATATACAGAGGATTCTATTTAAAAAAAATGAAACTTTGATGTGCCACGACTTTTTGATCGACCCCGTATACATATATTTATTACTCGCCAATAGACATTTACAACGCCTATAATTTTCGTATTTAACTTTTTGCGGTACCTTGTATATTTTACCGAATAATCGACCGTTTCCGTACATAACAGCGACTCTGATGGATAAAGAAAATAAATACAGTACCTTAACATGATCAGGGATGGGTCTCGGAGTGACACAACTGTTAGCGTAATGCAAGGCCTGTTCAAAATTCTCCTCCAAAATAAACCTGTTATTCCCCTCCTCTGAATGACCGCTGTCCCTGATCATTTGCTTCAAAACTTCCTTCTCCGCTCTCTTACTGGGTAAAGCCCCGTTATGACTGTTCTTATACTTGGTTAAATAATAATGCAATATCGCCAGAGGGGGTACGTGACTTTTTTCCTTTTGATCCAGCTGTTCTATGTTGATGCTGTCCAGATATCCTTTCAGGGCTGTCCAGGGTTTGTCCAGACGTAGGTCGGGGCTTTCGCTGTCCGGATGGGCCTCGATAACCGTGTGTTCTTTGATTTGGAGTCTTATGTAGCCGAGAAAGCCGATGCTGTGGCACACGACTAGGGGCACGTCGCATTCCCAGAGATGTTTGGACAGAGGCAATAGAACTCTAAAAGAAAATACAAAAGTGACATACATTTTCTATGCCGTTTGTTTACTAAAAGATAAAATTGATATTGATAAAAATCAAACCTCTACGATAAGGAGGGGTTTCTCGAATCTCTAATTCCAAGAGGGTGAAAACGCCCCTCAAATATTACAATATTTGTTATTTAAAAAACGGTTAGTCTTTCGGGAAAACGCTTGGACACACATAATTTATTTTGTTTTTTACATATTTTGAAATTTTTTAAAAAATCATACAAGATGTTCCAAAAAGTTGGGTTATTGATTAACCACGATTCTGCTTAAACTGCTTGACGTAAAAAGCTTATTTTGGCAAACGGATTTTTCGAAAGTCAAATTCCAACAAGATGAATCTACCCCTCAAATATTACCAAGTTATATAATAATATCGCCATATTGTTTTTTCTCATGCTGACATAAATGTGAGAAAATTGTATCCAGTTTGTATGTTAATGGAAACTCTTGCTTTATCATCACCATTATAAATGATTAATTTGACGCGAACGAAGTCGCGGGTACACGCTAGTCTTACAAATAAAATGATAGCGATCTTCATTTCAAAGCCATCGCTGCCGCCGTTTTTTATACAGGGTTAGGAAATAGTGCGTCATCGGGCATATGTAGCTATTAGAATAAAAAACTTGGGAATTTTGTTTAAGTGCAAACCAAAAGTATGCACGAGGACATATTTCAGGAAAATATTTTAACTTTGGCCCAAAAAAGTATGAGTGGATCGGGATTAGTGATGGGCAAAACTGTTATTTTTAGATAACAGTTGAAACTGTTATAGTTATTTATAAAAAACAGCTTAAAATAACAGCTTAAAAATAACAGGTTTCTTTATTTTATTGCTAAATATCTGAAAGAATATGAGGCGGTCACCGCCAGGCGTATTAAACAGTTGCAGTTGCAACAATGACGTGCTCGGTGGTAGTATTTCCAGGGTGTCATAACATTTCTAAATATCGATTGTTATCTAAAATACCTCTCTAAAAACGGGGGTTGTTTACAAATAAGCGCTGTTTACAAATTGCGATATAAAAAAGCCAAAATGCCGCCACTCGTCTATATCTATAAATTCCGATCTACCTACGCCCTACTCCTCGATCCGCGTAGAGGGGCGTTTTCACCCTCTTGGAATTTGAGATTCGAGAAACCCCTCCTTATCGCACCTCTACACCCCGCAGTCAATCCGTTTACCAAAAATCAGCTTTAAACGTCAAGCAGTTTAAGCAGAATAGTGATTACTCAGTGGTCATATTTTATGAAACACCCTGTATATATTTTGTAAAAATCTCAAAATATGTAAAACAACAAAATAAAATATACGTGTTTAAGAGCTTTTTCGAAAAACTCACCAGTTTTTAAATAAAAAATATTCTAATATTTGAGGGGTGGTTTCACCCCCTTAGAATTTGAGTTTCGAAAAATCCTTCTTATCGCACCTCTACACCCTAAAGTCAATCCGTTTTCCAAAAATCAGCTTTTTACGTCAAGGGCTTTAAGCAGGATCGTGATTAATCAATGACCAGATTTTTCAAAACACCCTGTATACATTTTCAAAAAATCTTAAAATATTATTCTGAAAATTTTTCAGAATAAATAAATACTTAAATATTGAAACTTAATAACAAAGTATTGAAACATATAGCGCCATAATATCTCGACCTCCGTCCGTTATGCTCGTAACAGGTTGAAAAACAATATGTATCTAAAACAACTGATGCGTTATTCTCCAACCTGTTTCAAACCTCCGATTATCTCGAACGCCGTTCTGTTATGCTCGTAACAGGTAAAAAAACAACATAGCTAAAACAACTGATGTGTTATTCTCCAACCCGTTGCGAGCCTCCATCGACAATCGACCGATGCAGCAGCGCTCCTTTCCCACTCCTGTTATCTCGACAGCCAGGCGTTATGCCCGCAACTGTTTCAAAAAAGCTGCTTCTTTTTATATCCCTATTATTTTTAAGCTGTTGTCAGCCCAACACGACGCGCCGCGCCGTAGCGCATACCCCACTCCGTTGTCCGTTGTATCTCGCCGCCTGTATCGATGGTTGTCGAAATAATAGGTTTTCCATCCATACTAGTTGTTTTTGGAATTGCTTCGAGCAGCATCGAATTTCGTGGCGGTGCAGAGCGCCGACTTCGTTTCACGAACACTCGATCTCTGCGTGTCGTTATTTTATATCTGTTATTTTTTAAAAGCAGTAACGGTTGCGTTATGTTATTTCTAAATAATTGTTATAAAATAACAGATAGTTAAATAACAACCCATCACTAATCGGGATGATTTTTTGTAAATGGAACACCACCCTGTATATTATTGCATTTTTGGCTTCTTTTCACATCACTTTAAGATATAAGTAAATATATTTCGATAGTTTCAGAGATATTAATAAATAAATAAAAAATATATTTTTTTCAGGCTTTCTTAAAAAAATTATTAAAAATACAAGAACTGTCCTAAAATCAAAACTATATCAGGTATTTAGTTTAGATGGTCTATACTTACTTTGCTATAAATATCGTAATCTTAAATCATACAGGGTTGTTTAAAATTCTATGCCAAACTTTCTAAAATATAAAATAGTTTTTCTTTCTTTTTTTAAATGTAACACCCTGTATACTATTTTTTTATTAGATGGAGAGTTAGAAAATGAACATTTTTTGTATTTAAAGTAAAGTATGGTACGCAGTATTATTTCATATGGCGCTTTTAACGGTAAAATACGAGAGAAAAATCAAAATGAATATGAAATATAAAACCGCGAATATCTGCGAAACCGTTAAAATTTTTGAAATACTCTGAATACAAAAAACGTTCATTTCTGAATTCTCCATCTATTAAACAAATCATATACATGGTGTTCCATTTAAAAAATAAAGAACAATTATTTTATATTTTAGAAAGTTTGGCGTAGAATTTTGAACACCCTGTATGAATTAAGAGTCCGATATTTATAGTAATGTAAGTACAGACCATCTAAAATAAATATCCAATATAGTCTTGATTTCAGAACAGTTCTTGTATTTTTAATAATTTTTTCAAGAAAGGCTAAAAAATATATATTTTTTACGTATTTATTAATATCTCTAAAACTATTGAAATATATTTACTCATATCTTAGGATTATGTAAAGTGATCTTAAAAAGGATCCAAAAATGCAATAATATACAGGGTATTCTAATTAAAAAAAAATAATCCCGATCCACTCACTCTTTTGAGCCACTCTGTAGAAATATTTTCCATTCTTAATTCCATGTAGAAACATTTTCCATTTCCACATTCTAGAACATACTTGAGGTCTGCACTTTTAAGAAATTGGCACTTATTATGTTTTTCCCCTTGACCCTTCGTATTATAATTTTATTTAAAATTTATGCCAGTAAATAAAGTAACTCAAACAATACTTGACAAAAAAACATTATTGTTTTGTTAAAATTTCACTAATAATAATTGTCATTCACATAATTAAAAATTGATATATATTTTGTATAGTAAGAAGAGTAAGAAGTGAGAAGATAAAAAATACAGAAGTTAAAAAGTACTAAACATCTCTTTTATTAAAAAAAACTATAAAATAAACGTAGGTACATCAAGTATACAAAATACAACAAAACCACTCCCCTATGCCTCTTATTTCTTCTTCAAAGACTCAATATAGAGCCCCAACCCTTTCTGTACAGCGTCCTGCGTAATAACTTGTATAAACCTCTTCAAATCGTTCTCCCTATCTTTTGACATTCTCTTCAACGTTTCCCCCCTAATAGTTTGCTTCGATACATTCCTGGCAAAGGGCGATATTCTCGCAAACTTCCCCAGAAAAGCATTAGCTTTTTGCAGGCCCTCATCCTTATCCTGAACCACTTCATCGATAAGACCCACTTTCAGAGCTTCGTCAGTTGAAAATAACCTTCCCGTTGTTAAGGCAAGCTCTGTTTGCCTTTTGCCTATAATATTTTCCATGGTACTAGCAAACCATGGAGGTGCAACGATGCCTAATTGTGTCTCATTCAGCCCGATGATTGAATTCGGAACCATAACTCGATATTCACAGCACATTGAAAGCAAACAACCTCCAGCTGGTGCAGGTCCGTTAATAACTGCAACTGTCGGATACGCTGAACCGTAGAGAACTTCATAAACGTCTTGCAATGTATTCCAAAACTTTGAAGCCCTTTCTATGTCGGGTTTATACATCTCGGTTATATCTAAACCAGCAGAAAAGGTCTTGAAAGCTGATGTTATTATAGCACCACGGCTCTTGTTTTTTCCTAGTTCTGTTAAGTTATATCTTATATCTGAGAGTAATTCTAAATTCAAACTATTAACAGGGGGTCTTTGGAGGGTTACAGTGGCAATACCAGTTTTATCATTTACTTCTACACTAACTAAACTAGCTGTTGAGCTTAAACTTCTGGCACCTTGGCGAACAAAGTTAAATTTAGTTAAAGATCTTAAAGCCATTTTTGGTAGTTAGTTTTTGAACTTATTAACCGCTTTTAAATATCTGTACAAAGTTCAAAACTCGTAAGTTCATAGAACAGTTTAAAAATAAATAGATAATAATGATAATTTTCTAACCTCAATTTCTTACAAGCAGAGAAGAGAGAAGTTAGCCGCAATTGATATTTAAAAAAAATACAAAATTAATAAAAATTTAAGAAAACTAAAGTACGACCCTCTATAAACAAGGGTACTAATAACTAATCTTACTTTTCGTGGACTGCCGTTGCAATGACTACATCGAAGTTCTTGAAAAAATTCTGTGTGTTCGAAATAATATGCTCCGCAGATTCGTCTATGTAATCCCCTCGAACATCTGGGTTCAGTTCTAATAAGCACTGCGTAGCTACGTGAGCTCGGGGTAATCCAACAGAATCATTTTCAAGGAAAAAACTAAAAGAAACATGCCCTATAGTGTATAATAAGCTAGTCAAAGTATCTTTTCAACTATGCTTCAATTACTTCGATCCTATATCTTCCTCGGACACTTTTTCGCCATCCACAATCGTAAACGAACCAATCCCTGGTAAAATAAGGCTTTTTAATATCTCGGTGCCCAAAGCGGTGGCATTTATAAGGCAAACTTTCGAGTTTTCTAGTAATTTCTGTCCGTGATCGCCCCATAGTCTAAAATATGTTTGTAAAGCAAGGAAAAACTGTTTTGAGTTAAAATATACAGTCAATTACCTGAGTTGACGGTCGTATTTCTTGCTTTTCTCGTTCTGTTCGGGAGATTTTGGAGCCGGAGAAGACATAATTTCTGTTTTGTTCGCTTTATTTTGACGTTTAAAATTTTAGGTTAGTTTTTAAAATTTCTTCTTTTCAAATTCTCGGAGTCTAATAACATTGTTTTTTATAAAGAGCTCTGGCTGATTGTCTTTAGTGACGAACAGCCATGTTAAAATATAAGAAGAAGAATATTTACTATAGGCAACTCAAAATACACGAAATAAAAAAAGAAAACTTTTTCTTGGTTAGTTAGTTGTTAGTTCAATGGATATTCACCAGGGTACGCCACCTGTAATATAAAAATGCGCCTTAAAATTTATTTTAAATATCTCTAGCAAATTGGGTAATTTCTAATATTTAATAAAAAAAAACACTGCAGAAAGTTAAATTTGCTTATCATTAATGCAATGAATTATTATAAAACTTTATATGCATTTTATAAACAAAATCATTAAAGATATGGAATTTTTTCATTTATCTTAATAACAGTAATTAATCATTTTTTTTTGTCCATTATATCGTATTATAGTGTCCATTTCATATGAACCGTGATATCTGTGAAGAAGTAACAGTTATTTTTGTGTTTGAATCACAAAGCAATTGTTGTTTGTTTGCATTAGAAGAAAGTCATGAAGCTGTAAGTATAATAGTATTTATTTATGTTTATTTTTATTGTAGAGACTTATTTAGGGCTAATTTCTTATTTTTATTTATTTTTTCTATAATTTATAAAAATGTTTTCGCTTTATTTAACATATTTTCTGTAACATTTTAAAACAATTCAACTAAAGAAGGGTTATTCTTAATATTAATCTTAGTTTTGCCACATAAAAAAGTAATTTTCCTACTACTAATTGATTTAAAATAAAATATAAATATTTTTATTATTTCATCTATGTGCCACCTATAAAAATATTATACAACCTTTTGTACTTAATAACACCACTATTGGCGTCCCCGTGGACTCTGTGAAATTCTTAGGACTTGTTCTAGACAACTCGTTAAAATGGGAGTTGCACATCGAAGCTTTATCAAAGAAACTAAGCGCTGCCTGTTTTGCGCTAAGATCAGTTTCTGGGGAACTTAACTTATCAACCTCTAGAGTAGCCTATTATGCCCTTTTTGAGTCACATCTTCGTTATGCCCTTCCATTCTGGGTACTTATTGCTGCGCAACAAAATTTGATCGTATTTTCAAACTTCAAAAGTGCAGTTCGATATTTATTGGGATTGAACAGTAGAACTCACTGCCAGAATTTCTTTAAAAATTTAAAAATACTGACTCTTCCTTCTTTATTCATTTTTGAATCCGTTTGCTTAATCCGCAAGCACATATCTGCTATTCCCGAAAGGCCATCTTACAACTATCCACTTAGGAATGCGGAGCACGATCTTTATCTGCCAACCCCGAGCTCAGAACTAGTTAAATAAGGCTCAATACCGTACAATCCAAAAAAAATGTACAATCATCTGCCTTTGAATATCAAGTCGCTTTCATTCTTTCCCGCATTTCGCAAAGCTCTGAAATCATACTTACTGGAGAGAACCCTATATGCGGTAAACGACTTTTTGTTGATGTTCAATCATGAACAATGTTGAATCTTAAAATTTTGATCATCTCACACACTGGTTAAAAGTCTAGTATTTAATATTTTATGTATGTTCTATTTGTAATTTTAATGTTGTATGTAAATTGTTTGATTTGTATTGTATGATATTTTTTATTATTTGTATATTTTTTGTGCTTTTGTTTGTTTCGTAAATGCTTTGTCGATGAAGCTATTTTGGCTTTTTGTACAATAAACCGTTATTTATTATTATTATATGTTCTAGAGAATCAGAGATACGATTTCATGTTGGTGACAAAGAACATGCAGGTAAAACAATATACTAACAAAATAAAAAAGTTTTATTCGCTAAAAAAAACATTTCTTTTTCATTTTTTTAGTTAAAACTAGTGATGTAGCTTCAGATATGACCCTAAATACTTATTTAAGAGACAGGATGCATCTAACAGGCACTAAAAAAATGTGCCTAGAGGGTGGTTGTGGCACATGTATAGTTGCAGCAGAAATGCTTGATAATAATGGAATGAAAAGAACCTTATCAATTAATTCTGTAAGCCATTTTATTCTTGAAAATAATTAAACAATAACAGATCGTTACATGATGGAAATATTTTTATTTATTTTTTCTAGTGTCTAGTTTCGATATTCTCTTGTCACGGTTGGAAAATACTGAGTAACGAAGGAATAGGTGGCCCATTAACCGGATATCACAAAATTCAAAGAGCTTTAGCAGATAACAACGGATCTCAGTGTGGGTAAGACTATAATTTTTATCCAAAAAAATCCTTTATGGGTATTTCGCCACTGCACTACAAGAAAATCTACAAAATAAAATAGTTATTTTTTGTAAACACTTCTGGCGTTGAACCTAAACGGACACGTACTGCTTGTCAGAAGTTATAAATTCTCGCGAATCTACCATAAAGTTTACTTTAGAAGTAGATAGAGGTAATCGTTTGCCATTTCTTGATGTTTTAGTGTCAAAGTTTCAAAATAAACTAATTTTAGATGTTTACAGAAAACCCACAAACACAGATAGATACTTAAATTTCACATCTAATCACAGTATAAGTGTAAAAAAAGGTGTTATAAAAAGTTTATATGATAGGGCAAAAATAATATGTACAGACGACATTTCACTAAACAGAGATATATACCACATAAAAAATACATTAAAAAAACGACTATCCACCATATATAACAATACGTAAAAATTAAAAATAATCATACAGAAAGTTTGGGGCTTTTTGGTTTTACCTTATTGAGTAATTGTTATCAGGTAGTAATTGTTAATTTTGAAGTTTAACTTGATATAATGTCATTTTAACAGAACGTCAACGGTTTTTGTAGACGTATCTGTTTAAAAAAACTAAAATGTTCTCGAATAGTTGAATTTAAACATTTTAAATAGTTTTTTCCTTCATTCTTTGTATTTTTTTCGCTTCCGACGACGGAAAGAGATAAACATTCCGAAACGTTATGCATTTTTTTGTTCGTTAGGCGAAACATGGGCAAAACACAACATGCCATTAGAACTAATACTTCTAGTAGGCATGTTCCTTCATAGCTTCCTCTATTTTGAACTCTTCTATTTTTTACTATACGGCATTTTTATTCCTAGCTTTTGTTCATCTGGTATGGTAATGAACATGTATGCTCTGAACCAATCAGGAAAGCAAACCAAAGAACAAATTGAAAAAGCCTTTGGTGGAAACTTGTGCAGATGTACAGGGTATCGTCCCATTTTGACGGCCTTCAAAACTTTTGCTTCTGATGCAGGTAATCAAAGAATAACAAAACTTTTAGATATGAAGTTTTGGTAAAAACTTGAATTTTTGATATAATGAGTTACTTTTGTATGTTGATATGTAAAAAACACCCTGTATATATTTTAGACAAAAAAATTGAGCTAGATGACTTGGAAGATATTAAACCATGTAGAAAATCAAACTGTGCTAATGACTGTGCAAGACCATGTTCTCAAAGACCGGTATATTTTGAAGCAGGTGAATCCAAATGGATGAAGGTCTACCATCTTCAGGATTTGCTAAACGTCTTAAAAACTGTGGGCAATAAAACGTATCAGCTAGTCGCTGGAAATACTGCAAGAGGTGAATAACTACCCAACAAAAACTATTAACTCTTTTATTTTTTATCTATTTTGAATATCTACAGGTGTCTACTGGCCAACATCTCAGCCTGATGTTTACATCGATATAAACAACGTTGCTGAATTAACAACTTTTACAGCAACTGCTGATAGTGTGACATTAGGGGGAACATGTTCTCTGTCATACATTATGGAGAAATTCTACGAAACTGGTAAAGCCCAAACTCAGTTTTCTTATCTGACCAAAATGGCTGACCATCTGGACTTGGTGGCTCATGTACCAGTTAGAAATGTAAATATAGGTCTTTGATTATATAATGCATACATATAACATACATATAACATACTTGAGTATAACATACTTGAGTCTAACATACTTGAGTCTAACATACTTGAGTATAACATACTTGAATCTAACATACTTGAGTCTGGCATACTTGACTCTAATATACTTAAGTCTACTATATGCTTGAGTCTAATGTACTTAATATGCTGTACTATTTATTTTCACTGGAATTTTATACTCACTCACTAATTAACTACTAACATAAAAAGTGTGAATATTTCTAGATAGGGACTATAGCAGGAAATCTAATGATTAAACACCAACATCAAGAATTTCCCTCAGATGTATTTCTCATTCTGGAAACAGTGAATGCTACGCTTGTTATAGGTAAAAACATGTTTTAAAGAAAAGCATTTTTTTAAAGTACCTATCTATTTTAGTTGATTTGGAAAACAATATTGAGATGGTATCTCCACAAGATTTCCTCAAAGTCAATATGAACAAGAAAGTGATTAAACAAATAGTTTTGGATGCTTTTGACTCGACTTATTCATACACAAGTTACAAGGTAATTAATTTTTTTCTCGTATTTTTGACTATATGTTTTTTTCGTATAATTCTTGATTAAACTTGTAGATTATGCCAAGAGCTCAAAATGCTCACGCTATGGTCAATGCAGGATTCTTGTTCAAACTTGACACAGCGAACAAAGTTCAATCAGCAAGAATAATCTACGGTGGAATCAACCCCAGTTTTATACACGCCAAAAACGCCGAAATGGTGCTAAAAAGCAAGAATCTTTTCGATAATAGTACTATACAAGCTGTACTAAAAGCTCTGGACCTGGAACTTGTACCGGATTGGGTTTTGCCAGATCCCAGACCAGAATTCAGAAAGAAACTCGCCAAAAATCTGTTTTACAAGGTTTTAAAATCTATTATTTACCATAACGAATGAAATAAATGATGGTTTTATACATTTTAAGTGCGTATTAGCTCTAGCCAAGGATATAGCCCGTCCAAAGTACCGAAGCGGCGGTTCCTTGTTGTTTAGGCCAGTTTCAAACGGTACCCAACAAATCTATAGTGAAAAGGACAAATTTCCTCTGACTCAACCGATAATCAAGCTTGAAGCACTAGCTCAGACTTCTGGTAAAGCTTTTTCTTCGTTTTACAAAAAAACTTCACCACAATATACTTTATAGGTCAAGCAAAATACATCCTGGACATTCCCAACCTTCCAAATCAGTTACATGGTATCTTAATACAAGCCAGAGCCGTCGCAGGATCAACTTTGACAGGTGTCGATGCTAGTGCAGCCCTAGCACGTCCAGATGTCGTTGGATTCTTCTCTGCCAACGATATTCCTGGTGTCAACAATATCGCAGTCGCTAGTCTGTCTATGTCAGTAGTGGAAGAACTATTCTGCAATGGAAAGGTTCTTAAAATTATATAATACCTACTAGAAAATTATACTTGAGTTTAAAATACTTGATTTTGCTTGATACTTGAGTTCAAGAACTATTCTGCAATGGAAAGGTTCTTAAAATTATATAATACCTACTAGAAAATTATACTTGAGTTTAAAGTACTTGATTTTGCTTGATACTTGAGTTCAAGACACTTAAATATAGACTAGGGTATAATATAACTTAGTTCATTATACTAGAGTTCATGGCTGTTAAAAAGACTTGAGTTCGATATACTTGAGTTAAATATACTTGAGTTCACAGCCGTTTGAGTTTATTATTTGTATTGTTAAAATAGATTTAAAATATACTTCAGTATGCTGTGCTTTGAGTTTCATATACTTAAGATCAAGACACTAAAAAAGACTAGAGTATATTATACTTTAGTATAATAAACTTTAGTTTAATATGCTTAAATTTATTATACTTGATATTACTATATTTAAGTTCAAGACAGTCAAATAGACTTGAGTGTAATATACCTTAGTTTAGTATACTAGAGTTCAAAGCAATTACAATGGACTCGTGTATGACATACTTGAGTTCAAACCAGTTAAAATATAATATGCTATACTTGAGTTTAAGGTACTTGAGTTTAAGACAGTTAAAATAGACGAATTTATTATACTCTGGTACAATATACTAGACTTCAAAGGTCCTAAAATTGACTTGAGTTTGATATACTTGAGTTCACAGCCGTTTAAATAGATTTGAGATGATTATTTGTATTGTTACAATAGATTTTGAATATTCGAAACAGTTAAAATATACTTCAGTATGCAGTGCTTTGAGTTTAATATACTTAAGATCAAGACAGTTAAAAAGACTAAAGTATATTATACTTTAGTACAATAATTTTTTTAAGTTTATTATACTTGATATTACTATACTTAAGTTCAAAACAGTTAAATAGACTTGACTATAATATACCTTAGTTTAGTATACTAGAGTTCATAGCAATTACAATGGACTTGTGTATGATATACTTGAGTTCAGTATATTTGAGTTTAATATACTTGAGTTCAAACCAGTTAAAATGTAATATGCTATACTTGAGTTTAAGCCAGTTTGGTTTGGTCTCTTAAAATTTACTTGTGTTTGACATACTTGAGTTCATCAGTTAAAATAGACTTGAGTGACTTAGACCTTAATTTTGATACTTGAGTTTAATATACCTGAATCTAATAACGATTTAGTGTGTTTAATTATTATTTTTTAGGTAAAATATTACTCTCAACCTGTTGGTATACTGGTTGCTTCAACCCATGATGCCGCAGTAGCTGCGGCACCCTTTGTAAAGGTTTCTACGTCACCGTCCAATACCAAACCATTACTAAATGTCCGCGATGTCTTGAATCAGGGAAAAATGGACAGGGTAACCCATCAAACATCTTTTATTCGTAAAAATAAAGGCAAGAAGACATAAAAGTGTCGTAACTTTGTCTAATCGTCCAAACATTTACAGGAAACGATATAAAAACAGTTATCAAAGGAGAAACATACATTGAAGGTCAGTACCACTTTCATATGGAGACACAAAACTGTCTGGTGGTACCTACAGAAGATGGTTTGAATATATTCCCAGGAACTCAATGGATGGATCATCTCCAAGGTGCTGTGTCGCAAATTCTTAACGTACCATCGCAAAGGTAAGGGATATTTTTGCTCTTAATTACTTTGCGGTACTTCAAAAGTAAATATTTACTTATTTCATAGAATAAACATGTTTGTGAGACGCCTTGGTGGGGGATTTGGCTCAAAACTAAGTCGTAACGCTTTTATAACCGGAGCAGCAGCCCTGGCAGCTCAAAAACTGAACAGACCAGTGAGCATATGGATGCAGTTTCATGAAAATATGGATATTATTGGCAAAAGATTCCCTTGCTTATGTAGATACGAGGTTGGCGTTAACGCTTCAGGAAAAATCCAGTATTTAGACGTACGTAACTAGCATATGGTACCACCATAGTAGAAGGAAAAGAGTAGTTGCACTCTCCCAAATATTTTCTGCCAGTTTTTACAATCTGTCGAATATCGGCAGATTGCAAGGCGTTTCAGTTGAGTTCCGTCCGTCGAACTGCGGGTTCGAGCGCTGCGTCCCAGCACAGAGACGGATTGACAAAAAATGAGCGCCTGTGTGTTGCTATTGGTTGTAGTAGTAATTCAAAAAATTGTGCTTTAAGTTTTTTTTTGAGAGTCATTTGTGATCATATTTGCGTTCAGGTTAATTTTCTCATGACTGAATAATTTGATATTATTTTCATTTAAACCTCAATTTTTTATCGATTTTACTTTTGACAACCATCCCTTGCTTGCTGTTTAACGAACTGCACCATCATTGAACAAAAATTTGCTAGTACCGAGAAAAAAACTGGAAATCCCGGTTCCTTAGAGGCATGGTACCGAAATTACCGGTTTCGAAATACAGCTCCGGTTCCGGAAACGCTATCACGTACCATACCGTGAATCGCCCTATACAGGGCGAGTCTTAAATAAGTGCAAATATTTTTAGGGGTAGTATATTTTGGCCCTAGAAGTCAGACTTTCCTGCGCAATTTTTTTTGAAAAAAAATCTGGAATTTTTTTTAGTTTTTAGTTAAAAAATATAATTTCTTGATAATATGGTAACTAGGGTTCAGAACCGGAAATTCTTAATTCCCGGTTCTTTCGGTACCTTCGGGACTCGCTAATAATAACTAAACAATTATTCTTTTATTACGTGAGAAAGTAGTTATGCTATTTCTCATTGCCCTAGCTTCTTTTCTCTTTTGAAATATCTGTAAATGTTTATTAGCAATTATTGAAGTTTAAATATGTTATTTTATTATTTAGTACAATGTGTTGTTCAAAGTATTAGTTATCCAATGAAAATCACCTAACCAATATATTACTACAAAACAAACACATTAATGTTAATATTAAACTTGTTTTAAATTAAAAAAAAAGTTGTAGAAAATCTTTGAAATAGATAATAATATAAAAATATGTCATTATATTGTAGCGTTTTTTTTAAACATTACCACTGCGAACGGCAGCTTTTCATCGGAGAGCAGTCGTGGGTAAGGTATTTCACTAGAGAGAAAACTAATCAATAACAATAAACAAAAAAATACAGATATTGGGCGCCAGGCATGTACAGAGAAAGAAAACACAGTTGTATATTACTTAAAACTAATGACTATATTTATTCATGATGGACTGTGATGGTAAATAGCATTGTACAATTTTAATAATTATTATTATAGTGGTTATATGCCAACGAAAGTGGTGCTAAGAATTGTACTAAATATCTATGAAAAAAACTATGATAAAATACAAGACATGTAACGTTTAAGAGAATTATGAAATGTAGCATTACTTTAATTAATTTGATATATTTTATATGATGTTAGTGCAATAATAGATATAATCTATAAAAAAGTAATACTATTACAAGGCGTAATGTAATGAAACCTAAAATCTAAATCATATTGTAACTACTAAATCGACATAAATGTTTTTAATAATCTAACCACTAAATATAGTCTGTACGATATCGTTTAAAATGTACGTTAAGTTAAGACTGAAAATGTGTTAAATGTTAAATGTAAGCTAAAACTTAAATCTAAACTTAACTGTTCTTTATGTAATCTTGCTTCAAACAGTAACAGCGTGAGTTGGGGCTCGCATCTCTGTACTCGGCCATCCAATACAACAAAAGGGGCCAGAATGAGGACACCATGAATTGGAACAGCCGTAATTACTAACTAGCTTATGGATGGGAACGAAGCAGCATGGGGCTCAAGCTACATCCACGCTGGGGCACTTTATATGCAAGAAAAATCATTCCTACTGGGGACACTCGTTCACAGGACATCCGTACATAGGATAATGGTACAAGGGAACACTACCCGTACCTTGGACCATAACTTAGGACTATAACCTTGGAAATAGTCCGTACCTTGGATACTACTAGGACCTTGGATAATGCCCGTACCTTGTAAATGGTCCGTACCTTGGACCCTAAAAATACGAAACTCTTGTTTAAAATCAAACAAGGTCTAATAAACAAAATGAACCTACCTCGAATTACTTCCGAGGGCTCACTAAATAATAAAGAACATGTCCTTTCTTCCATGTGACATTCTGAGGACAAAAAGAAAAGGGACGCCAACGTGCCAGCAAAATACAAATACAAGTTAGGTTGGGACATCCAAACTCTAGCCTAAAAATATGCAGTAATAATATCGAATCTAAAAGGATAATATTTCATCTTTACCTGTTGCTTTGAAATAGCAGCTGATTCAGATTATACAGCAAGATTTAAATAATCACCATTTCTAAAAGCCGGGATGGTTAGGTTAGGCTACAGAGCGCTAAAAGCACGCTAAAAGCAAAAAGTCAGTCGACAGCACAGAGAGTTGACAGAAGCGATGTTGACAGCGCCTCCACAGAGCGATAACAGGGTTGTGTCAAACGATAACAGGGTTGTGGACTAGAGAACGTAAAAATTCGTCAAATAAATTATCCGGCCGGAAAGATAGGGAATCCGGTGATGATACGCCAGACATCATATATTATATATAAAAAAGACATGTAACGAACTAAAAACGTTACAATATATTTTTTCCGCATTTCTTCCCATCAGAAGATTTTCAGATACAGAAGAATTGTTACTTACACCAAATGTGAAAATATTCTGTTTTCAAGCAAATTTTTACTCGATGATCAATTTTTTCTTATTTTATTTTATTGTGAACTCATGTTTTCCTAAATACGTATCTGTGAAACTATGGCGAGTGTCGCGACTATACTTTGCCTAATTATAGACCACGACTATACAGCTACGTCAGTGGTCACGGGACGCGAGAACAAGGTCATATAAAGTGGCAGAAAAAGAACAAAAGATTTAACAAGGAGCAAAGCTACTAGTTTCCTTATACTATGGTACTGTATGGACTAATGTATACTATGGTATACTGTATGGACGTAATTTAAAATTTAAAAAAAAAACACGTTCTAGGTCAATCTTTACAGTGATTTTGGAGTAGGAGGTAACGAGTCTGTCGATAGCAATATCATTGCCCAATTTCAGAATTGCTACTTAGTTGACACGTGGAAATTTGACACTTACACTGTTACAACGGACAATTCGGCTTTCTGTTATGCCAGAGCACCAGGTATACTATACAGGCTGTATCATAAATAAGTGAAAGTATTTTGATGAGTTCCCTTTATACAGGTTATTCACCACATACAACAGGGAGTCTTGTAGTAGAACGATTAGATTTTTACAAATTGTAAGTTTTGGATTAGAGCTACAATTTAAAAATATTTTTACAAGATACAGAGTGTCCCAAATAAATAAAAAATATCAAAGTTGTATTTTTTTAAATTGAACACCCTGTATGTTATTACATTTTTAGTTTCTACGATTAAAATAAATGTAAATTTGATTAAGGTTTACCGCATTTTAATCTTAGCGTTTTTGAAATATTTACGTTTTTATTAAAATACAGTAACAATAATTGTTATATTAAAATTATTTTAATGCTTCATTTACTAAATTTTGTGTCCCAGTAATAAAAATTATACTACCTTATACAGGGTGTCTAAAAATTTATTTTAAATAATTACTAACTTTAAACGGCAATAACTTGTTTAATTTAAATGGAACACCCTGTATATTACGAGAATCAGATGCACAATTTAATTGTCTATCAAATTGTATTATACCATTTTTTACCTATCTCTTCAACTTTTCGTAGAAAATGCATTTTCTTCTAATTTAGACCTCATTTATCAATACCCATGGAATATTGACATTTTAGATTATTTTTAAAGATGTAATAAATTTTCAAAGAGTACAGATACTAATATTGTCGACATAGTTCACTAATTTCATTAAAAAATAATAAAACTGTTTAAATATTATTTGCTAAAGAGGACCAATTAATATGATCCCAATATTCAAACTACATTAATTGACTGTTTGCGTTGATTAATAATGTCTGGTCCAAATACTAAAAACTGAATTTTGTATGTGTATTATACAGTGTAGTAAAAAGTAACACTTATTTATTTCAATATAATTTTTATTTAATTTTTTGACGTACTGTACATCTGCTGGATCTGTGTCTATGAAAGGAATGCGGACAAAAAACATTTAAATAAACAGCAATATATTTTATACGTCGACTTGACGAGTACGTCACCGCAAATCGCTCCGCCCACTCATTTTATTGGCTACATGCGAATTTGTCGAATTTTTATTGATGAGACGCGTCGTCTAATTTTTTACGAAAAACATGGAGAGAATATCGTTTCCCCTCTCACGGATACCCCGTAGCTACAGAACGGACAGACGAACTGTACATTTCGTACATTTGTTGCTTAAAAAAAATCTGAAATGTCAATATTCCATGGGTATCTTGATAAATGAGGTCTAAATTATAAGAAAATAAATTTTCTACGAAAACTTAAAGAGACTTAGTTCCTCTGGGTTGGTTAGTAACTAAACTACCGATTAAAAATTCTTGCACTTATTTATGTGACACCCTGTATATATATTTTTTTAAAAATAAAATGTAAGTTATATTCGGTTAAACATTTAGGAAGCTTAGAAGGATTGGCATGCATAGAAACCATCATGGACCATATTGCCCTAACATTGAACTTAGATCCATTAGATGTCCGAAAACAGAACTTAGACAGAACAAATAATCCAATAATGGTGGAAATTTTGACAGAAATGGAGACAACGGATGATATTGCTAATAGGAAGAAAGCCATTGCCGCTTATAATGAAGTAAGTTCTTATATACAGTGTGTTGTATTAAAGCGGAATGTCTGGTATATTTTTTGCTATTAATTATAAATTCTTTTAGGCTAATAGGTGGAAGAAAAAAGCATTGAGTGTCGTACCAATGAAATATATCCTGGAAGTACTGGGAACTTTTACAACGCTAGTTTCTATCTATCATTTGGATGGTGGTGTAGCAGTGTCCCACGGTGGTATAGAGATGGGACAAGGAATTAACACAAAGGTAGTACCAACAAGATTCTTGTTTCACTACCCATACATCATAAGACCGAAATGTTGATAGATTGATAATTTCAAAGGGTTCTTTACCTTAAAGATACTTCAAAAATCATCTTGGAAAATATCTGACATTTTTACTGAAACCTCCTGTATAAAAAAATTGTTTTAGGTAGTCCAAGTGTGCGCTTACAAGTTTAACATCCCCATAGAGAAAGTTTCTGTTAAACCAAGTTACAACGTTGCCGCTCCTAACTCTTTTATGTCTGGTGGTAGTTTAACTTCGGAAGCTGTGGTTTATGTATGTATACATTGATTATTGTACTTTTTAACGGTATTTTTTTGTTATTTTATTTATATTTTAGGCTCTATTGAGAGCATGTGATGTGTTGTTGGATAGAATCAAACCAATAAGAGATAAAAACCCTACGGCAACATGGGAACAACTGATACAACTTTGTTATACAGCCAATGTGAATCTCAGCTCAAATGGATTGTAAGATGTTTCAATACATTATTATTAATATGGTCCTAAATTTTCTGTTTTTTTTGTGGACGTATTTTTTTCCTGATCATTACGAAAATTTTACTAGGAGACACACACTATACGTAGAGACATACAGTGTATACAGGGTCCTCAAAAAGTCTGCATCAAGTGGATTTTTTTAATTATTAAAGACAGGAAAAATTTAAAAATGTCTACAGAAGTTTATGCTATATACATTGCCCTACTTAAAATAGAACAATATGACATCGCCAAGACAGTTATATTCTCTTATTCATCAAGTGCCCTAAAGAAGATAAGCAAAACTGGAATAGACGCTGAAACGGACGAATTAACACTGGTCACAAGAAGGAAATTAATAAACAAAAGGGACGTACAATTAGCATGGATACCAAGTCATACAACATTTATGGAAATGAGAAAGCAGACAAGTTGGCCAACGCTGGGCGGCTCTTACCTCCCACACTAACACCCAAAGCAGATTATAAAACCTTTATACCAAAAATGAAAGAATTCATATATAATAAATGGAAAGAAAGATTTGTAGCGATTGGTAGAACGAAAGGGAAAGAATATTGCACTACAGTTCAGCAGCCATACAGGACACCATGGTTCAAACCATAGACAAACTAACAAAAGCAAGACGCGTCAACGCTGTACTGCAAAACGGTAACAAGTTTGATAAGAGTTTATTACCGCGCTTGCGTCAACTGGCCTTTTAGACGAGGACGGTTTACTTATGGATTGTGTATTTTGTAGTAGCCTTTTAGACAAGGATGTTTAATTAAAATGCGTTTATTAAAATCAAATAAATTTATTTCCATCGGTAAAATAAACAATAATTTCTGGACATAACAGATATAAAAACAAAAGTTAAATAAACGAAAACGTATTCCTCTTATTAAAATAACAAAAAAGATGATAAAAAAACAACAGTTATGGTAAACGAAATAAAAGCATTATTCTTCAAAAGGTACAAAAAATAATTATGTATATTATAATATTAATAATAGGAACAACAAGAAACATCTTAAAAATATACAACTTTTTCAAATATAAAACAAAAACATAAACTTCACATTTTCACAAGAATTTAAAAAATATTAACATTTAGAGTCTATTATAAAATATAAAGCACGAAAATTCAAATCATAAAGAGATTTAAAAGATAAAGATTCTTATAACTTACAGTCAATTTGTAGGACCTTCGTTTTGTGTACGTTAGCGATGTAATCACAATAATATGTATAATCACAGTAATTATTATGCTCTTCATAAGTGTAAAATGTATTACATTATTTGTTTTCGTTTTGTACGCTATAAAATAATAGTAATAAGCAAACAAAACGCAAAATCAGGAATTCAACAGTTCGTTCAAGGATGGTTCAAGGCAAAAACGTTTTTCGTTTTATTTAGGTTAGGTTTGACGAGTGCGACTGCGCGATGATTTCTGACTCAACTGGCCAGCGCAAAAACAATAATTCGACTTCCTCAATCCTTTGAAAAGTCTTGCTTTTGTTAGTTTGTCTATGGTTCAAACTATATAAATCCTTGACAAAGCAACAAATAACCACCATGTATCGACTCAGATCAAACCATTGCTTATCCCCGTCACATCTCTATAAAATCAGAATTAATAGAGATAATTTGTGTCAGTGTGGAGAGGTTGCTGATGCCTTTCATTTGATAATTGCTTGTCCACATAATTATAATAACCAAAAAATCTTATATTCCTATTTCGACAATGAGATAGAGCAAAAACCGATTTCCCTGCATGACATCCTTTTTAAATTCAACAAGACAGAACACATAAAACAAATCGCTTTGTTTTTGAATGTTAGTAATTTAAAACTCTAAATATTTACTAATAACAAGCCTAACATTAATTTTATAATCAAGAAAAAAAACCTAGCCCTAAATTGGAAATGTCATAATCACATTTTCTTGAAATGCACAGTAATTATTGGGTTCAATCGTAGAATGCATGCATAACTGAATAGTTGCAGAGCTTAAAGCAACCTGTTTAATAGCCTCAATAATTGTTAGTCGTTAAGAAAGATAAATCGGTGAAAGTACATAAAACGTGACCACCCAAAAAAAAAGAAAAAAGAAAAAAAAGCAGAAAATTACTTTTCCAGAATGGTCCTAGCAGCCTAGGCAACGCAACTCTCTCCTGAAAAGGAGAGTTTGAGAAGAAAGAAGAAGAAGAAATCAAATTAATTATGAAGTTTATGGTTGCTAGGGTAATTGAAAGATTCCAAACATTCGATAATTTGTTGTCAACTAATGTCAAATTTGTGCCTCAACTCTTGTAAAATGATGGAAAGTGAAGAAACTGAGTGTTTCCAAGCAGAAATTGAAGAAGCGGCTAATAGAATTACTTTTGATTTATTGCCCAGCAAGTCCAAGGATCAGTACGAGTTTTCATATAATCGATTTTGAGATGGTGTGACCTAAAAAATGTTATAAGTCTCTCCAACGAGAAGATTCTTGACAGTGATAGATGTGTCTGTCATTTAAATTTCAAAATAGTTTATTTTATTTTACAAAGAAATAAGTTGGTACAACTGGAACGCGTCGCATAGCAGAAAATTAATATATTTAAAATTTGACTGACAAGTGATTACTTCAAAATATTGTGAAAAAAGCTGTATAAAACTGAAAAAATGTAATCGAGTTATTTTATTTAATAAAAAAACGGTATGTGTATGTTAATAAAAAACGGTATGTAATACAAAACAAACAAGACACCACATACCAAAAAAATATAAAAAAGAACTATTTCTGACTTTCAAGCTTTATGAAACTTCCCGCATTTATGATTATATTTATCAATATAACTTATGTACAAATACATATTTTTAATATTCCACAGGAATAAATAAAACAACATAAATAAAACATACTATTTCATTAATAATTACACTTACCAAATTTTATACCTTCAAGGTTGATTAATTAACTTTAATCTTAATTTTTTTTAAACCAATACCTTTTGACATTATTTTTCTGCAGTACTAAAATCCATTATTTACCTATCATGTGATGTCGATATTTTACAGCTACTCCAGTTTTTAGTATGTGTTTAGAGTATGGTCCTCCTACCATATTCGAGATGCACTTATCTACGACGAGATGGTATACGAACTTTATTGATGGTAACTTCATTTTTCCTCCACTTGACTTCAAAAGTCACAAAACACACGTAATAACACGAATCAAAATGCATCATCTTCCAAAACGCCGGGTATTTGACAAAAGTTGACACAAAATTATAACCTATACTTTGACAAGACTTTGACAAGCGTCAAAAATCTAAAGGCGAGTTCATACGCATCGGCGTCCGTTTGTCGCTTTGAATAAGAAGACTAAGGAAGGAGCATATCAAAAATCTTAGGTACACCGCGATGGGCCTCAAATATGGCCGACTTAAATTCCGGTTTATCAGTGTCGTTCTAATTTTATTTAAAAAATGTAAAACTATGATGTAGGGTAGACGTGGGGTAGACTCAATAATTTGTTGTTTTATTTTACGTTGTGAATAAATGTTGGTAGTTATTAAAATTGTTATAAAAATATATAATTCTAATAAAAATAGATAAGTTATAATAAGTATTTATTAACACAAACATCCGATACGCTACTGAAGCAGGTAAGTCAAATTAACGTATCTAAATTCTTTGACATCTAATCTCTGACAAGTAATAAATAAAAGCTAAAATGCAAAGAAAAATATATAATTTAGTTAATTTAAATTGAATTTCATAAATGATCGGTTTACTACGTATGTATATTATATAGTCACTTACTAGCGAAAAGTTGTTCCATTATTTCACTCAATTTTTGCCGAGATCTACCGCACGCTACACAACCAACTATTTTAGAGTCTTTTCGATAAATCACGATAGTGTCACTGTTAATTTAAGTTCTGCCACAATTTCCATCTAGATTTACTACCTTTATACAACTATCAGTAGTAGAATAAATAATAAATAACATAAAATAAGCTCCGTAAAGACTGACAAATCCACAAAATTTCAAATCAAATTCAAATGTGTCAAATGAATCGTCAAACAGAACTGTCAAGGATCCCCACCCTAGAGAGCTTTTATGGTGGCTTTTCCGCCCACCATGCATGAATACATGGATAGCATTATGCTCCTTCCTTAGTCTTCTTATTCAAAGGTTTGTCGTTCATCGTTCTGTCAAACCAATAAAATTGAAATACGATCTGTCAATTTTTAAATAAACCAATAAAACTGGTTAAGAACAACAAGAGACGACGTATGACTGATTTATATTTAAACCCATCCATAGTTAACTTAAAAATTATTAGAAACTTTTTTTAGTAAAATAAATAGATTGGTATGGGACGTCATCTGCTTTTCTTCTGTCATCGTCTGTCGAAATCTTACCTGAGAAAAAAAACAGAGTATAGTGGCACTGGCAAGTTCAGTGAAAAGTACTTTCGGCATACTTCGAAGAAAAGTCCAAAATATGGAAATCGTCAACGCTTTGGTCAAATTATTCTTACTTACTTTTAAGCGAAAAGGTGTGGGATATCGTCCAAAGAAGTCGAAAATATTGACCAGAGAATCGACAAATTTCTTGCAGAGGCCTCGGATGAAATATACCTTATGGCCTTAGTATAATATTATATACCTTATTATAATTTTCGGCATATTTGGAGCCTGCCGTCGTGAAGAAATATATTATATACTATGCAACTTGCCATTGAATAATATCGAGGATATAGGAACTTCATTAATCGTACATATTCCAGATACAAAAACTCATGTGGAACGAACATTTGTTATTACTGATACATTATATTTGAATTATTACAAAAAGTACATAGCTCTCCGTCCAGCGACCATTAACCATTCAAGAGTATTTATAAAATATATTAAGAATAAATAAATGTGTCACGACTCCAGTTGGAATCAACACATTTGGTAAGACGCCTGCCAATATTGCTAAATTTCTAAATTTGCCCGATTCTCATCTTTATACTGGACATTGCTTCCGAAGATCCTCTGCTAGTTTGCTGGCAGATTCTGGGGCTAATCTTAATACAATTAAGCGACACGGTGGATGGAAGTTCAGTACCGTAAAGGAGGGTTATATAGAAGACTCTTTACAAAATAAAATGAGTATTGCAGGTCAAATTTTATCCAGAACCTCAGCGGATACTACCATTGCATCTAATCTTGGTACAAGATTCACGTTAGAGATAACTTCTACTTGTACTACAGCTATAAATGAAATTGGCCATGGAATAACTTATTCAAATTGTAATTTCACTAATTGTACATTTAATTTGAGTAAATAATTATTTTATGTTGACTTGATTTTTCTTATTTTTTTTCAATTATCGCTTCAGTGTTAAAAGTAAATCACGTGACTTTCTTTTAGCACCAGTGCTAAAAGTAAATGACTTTTACCATCAGTGACATAATGTCACATTTTAGGCACTGACAGCATGCGTTAAAAATTACATTTTTACTGACGTTTGTAGAAAAAATCTATTTTAATTATCTAATTAATGTCTCTAATAATTATAACCAAAAATTCTATTTGACGCAGATTTTTTTTTTGTAGAAAATGTACATTTATACATACTTACTAATATTTTTTTATTGTAGTTTTTCACCGGCAGAACCAAACATCCAAGAATACCCAATCTACGGATGCTGCGCTTTGGAACTGGAAGTCGACATACTCACGGGCAAACAGGAAATCAGCAGAGTGGACATCATAGAAGACGTAGGTCGCAGTATGAGCCCTCTGATAGACATCGGACAGCTTGAAGGTGCCTTCGTCATGGGCTTGGGGTACTATTCAACTGAAGAACTAGTTTTCGACCAAAACACCGGAAGACTAACCAACAACCGGACGTGGAATTATAAAGTGATGGGTGCTAGGGATATTCCTGCAGATTTTAGGGTGAAATTTACTAATAACACGTACAATCCTGTGGGTGTGTTGAAGTCAAAGGCTATAGCTGAGCCTCCGACGTGTTTGACTATATCGCTGCCTCTAGCTATTAGGTCAGCTTTGGCTGGAGCCATGTGTTATAACTGTTTTGAAGCGTAACCTTTGTCCCTACCTGTATAAAACTACCGAGCGAAAAAATGTACATCTCTGTGACTTTTTACGTAAAAAATGTCTCTTTGTAAAAATCGCTACGAGCAACCGTTCTTAAGATATTTAGAATGGAAATAGACAATACATGTCATTATTGACGAAAAATAAACACGTTGAGTAAATAGTTATTTCACTGAAATAATAAATTTGGGAAATTTTTATTTTTTTAAATTAATCATAAATTTTTCTGCAAAAAATGATGATAAAACAGTTTCTGTTGAACTTTTAGCACAAAAACATTTCAAGTTTATGATTTCAGTCTAATAACTATTTAGTCAACATGTTTAATTTATATGTCAATGATGACAGTTATTGATCATTTCGATTCCAAATATCTCGAAAACCAATGCCCGGCGAACCAATGAATCTATAATCCAAGAACTGAACATCACAGAACGCCTCTCAACTTCTATACAGTCACGTATGCTTAAATATTTCGGTCACGTTATGAGGAGGGATACTGACTGTATGGAAAAGCTCATTATACAGGGCAAGGTTCCGGAAAGAAGACCAAGAGGCCGCTCGCCCTCCCGATGGATAGACCAGCTATCAAAGATCACCCACAAGCCACTGCACACGCTTGTACATGAAGCACAAGACAGGGAATTATGGAGACAAACCTCACACATCACCTGACCACTACATTCCTCTTGTAGGAATAAAGATAGAGAGAGAGATTATATAACTTGGTAATATTTCAGGGGTAGTTTCGTCTCGTTGGAATTTGACTTTCGAAAAATCCGTTTGCCAAAAATATGCTTTTTAGGTCAAGCAATTTAAGCAGAATCGTTTTGGAACACCCTGTATGATTTTTTAAAAAATTTCAAAATATGTAAAAAAACCAAATAAATTATGCTTGTCCATGCGTTTTCCCGAAAGACTCACCGTTTTTTAAATAACAAATATTGTAATATCTGAGGGGCGTTTTCACCCCCTTGGAATTTGAGATTCGAGAAACCCCTCCTTAACGAACCTCTACACCCCACAGTCAATCCGTTTGCCAAAAATCAGCTTTAAACGTCAAGCAGTTTAAGCAGAAAATCGTGATTACTCAATGGCCATATTTTATGAAACATACTGTATAAATTTATAAAAAATCTTAAAATATGTAAAACAACAAAATAAAATATACGTGTTTAAGAGTTTTTCCGAAAAGCTCACCGGTTTTAAATAAAAAATATTTTAATATTTGAGGGATAGTTTCACCCCCTTAGAATTCGAGTTTCGAAAAATCCCTTCTTATCGAACCTCTACATCCTAGAATCAACCTGTATGCCAAAATTGAGCTTCGTTATGTTTGAGCAGGATCGTGATTAATCAGTATGTCAGTCTCTTAAGGATTTTATATATTAGTATAGATTTTTACGTATGTTATGTTTACGTTATTTGTATAATGTTTTTGTATTCTCTTTTGTTTGTTTGTTTGTTTAGTTTACCTTTGTCTACAAATTGTAAACATTTTTGACAATAAACGCATTTATTTATTTATTTATTTATTCATATTATGTTCTTTAAAATCAAAGAAGCGATTGCCATACATTACTAACATCTACAGATGCATCAGCAATACATTTATTGTTATTAGATTGTATTAAAACAGCCTCTTTTATTTTTCTTTTAGAGGCTATCGCTTCTTTCATTATAATTTTAGGGTTATTAAAATTTATTCTGTGCCCTGTGTCCCACGAATGCTGGCAAATCTTTTAAGTAATCTTTATGTTCTTTAATTCGAACATTTAAGGGTCTAGATGTTTCACCAATGTAAAAATATTTTTTTCTCTATCGCCAAATCACCCTGTATATCTGTCTGTAAAATCTCTTTTCTAACAAGTTTGTTTTTCCAAAGACCAAAAATAACATAAACGCCGAAATAGCATTTTCGGAAAGTAAGATATTAGCATCGACTTGATAAACTTTTGCATTTTTCTCAAACGATATCTCGTTAAATTACGAATACAAAGTTTGAAATAACACACAAAATTAGTTTTCCACCCAATATCATGGAGATGTAAGCAAACATTTTCTTGTTTTTCCTAAAAAAATATGTTATTTTTAAACGTTTTTTTATGTGTTTTTTAGACAAAAAGAAATTAGGTTTTTCGTCGATCACAAGGAACATACTGGTAGGTGGATTGATATTTTATTTTTTTGAAATTAAGGGCATATTTTTAATGCCTTTAATATAAAAAATCCGTTTTATTTTTTGCCTTTTTTGTACCGTGATAAAAAGAAAATTATTCTTGGAAATGTAAAAAAGCTTTATTCATCATGCTGAAGGGACATATTTTGAAAAATAGTTTCTTAGTACCCACGTTTTTCATTTTACGTTACCTAATTAACAAATTTTTGAGACAAACAACCGTTTCAGCCCTTATTTCACCCTCTTAGGAGGTGAATTTCCAAAAAAATCGCTTTTAAGTACTGACTTTCGCGACTTAAGAAACCTCTATACAAAAAATCATACCCCTAGGATTAATTTTAAAAAAAATATATACAAAATTTTACCACCAATTTTACCCCCTTATTTATGTGTGAATATCCAGAAATTGCTCCTCAGTTCTCAGTTATGTCACCCAAGAAACTCGGTGCAAAATGTCATACTTTTAGAAGCGATTTTAACAAATTTTTGTACAAATTTTTACCCCCATAACTTTACTTTCGTAGGGGATAAATTTCTAAAAACGGAGTATCCACTTTCGTCACTTAAGAATCTCTGCGCAAAATTTTATACTCCTACGACAAATTTAAAAAATCTACAAACTTCCACCAGTTTCGGTAGACCATAATAAACAAAGATATTTAAACTCGGGAGATGCAACGATCCATTCGTAAAACGCTCTAAACTTTCATCACACATTGGTTTGCGAAAACCAACGAGTGCGAGAGAGAATGGACAAAGAAGGGAAAAGGGTATCGGCGCAACGGCAACAATGTAGTTGTTTACAAAGATTAGACGGTTGAGGTCAATTTCCAGTGGCGTGCCGATCGACCGAGAATATTTTAAGGAAATTAAAATAATTGTTTAATAAATTTAAAAAAATAATAATAACACTTACATATTTGTCGCATTGTAAAAAGTTGAGGGAGGATATTAATAGGAAAAAAATAAGTTGCGGGAGGATAGCGAAATAAATAAAAACCGGCATAATTTTTTATTATAAGATGGCTTTTCACATAAGAATAACGATTAAAAAACTCAATAAACGTTTTTTACTTTATTTTATTAAATAAAATATTAAATTTTGGGTGTATTAGTCAATGCAGTTTCAATATCTTGTTCCAAACCTTGTTCATCTCCGGTGAATGAGACTCCCTCTATTAGCAATAACAAAATAAAATAGTTATTTTAACCTAGTAACACAATATTTTACCAAAAACTAATATTTGTAGACTTCACATATTTTTGATAAAAACTTTATTATTATATGTATATTTATTATATACCTATATGAATTTTACAACTACTAAATGTGTGTCTAAAGGGATCGCACCGCGATTAAAAAACCGATACAACCAGATTGGTGCGACCCCAAAAACAAAATAGAAATAAATTAAATTATAAAAATAAACAGAATTAAAAAAAAATTAGATAAAAAAAGTGAAAATATAATTTTATCAGGGATGAGCGGAGATAAGCAGAGAGGCAAAACGAAACAGTGTAACCGGAACAGCAACCAATGACGGGCATATCAGAAAAACAAGAACCTCACAAATCAGTCGAAGAAATTATAATTTTTTAAATGATTTATTGTTATGAATTTAGTAAATGATTTTTAATTTGTTTTTTTTTATAATCTGTAAAGGTTTGAAATTTAAAGTTATTAGAAATATTATTCCACAAATGTGGCGCTATGAAACTGAAAGATTTTTGGAAGTTAGCTGTTCGGAGCTAGCTCTTGTACAGAAATTGTTATTAAGTTATTAGTAATTAGTACATACCATGTACCCTTTTCTACAAATAATTTAATTAATAAATATATAATTTAAAAAACATAATAAATTAATAAATATACAATTTAAAAAATAATCCTAAAAATAAATATAATTTAGAAATCTGCTATTTTTTATGTCTAGGTCCGCCTCTGATCTACAGAGAAAAGGATATAATAATATACCTAACCCTACTTATTTTTATTTACCGGTGAAAAGTTAAATTTGGATTTAAATGATACACTCTCTTGTACACCATACATGAATGCATCATATTTTCAAATTAATGTCCACAGAAGTCCACAAAATAACGCAAAAATACTATAATACTGCAAATAAAGAATACGGAGCTTGATCGGCGGCATAGCAACATCGCAACATCGCAACAGGAGAATCTAGGAATTTTCATTCATCCACGAAATCCGTTTAACTACGCCGGCATATTTCTAAAACTGACGTTGCCAAACTGCTTTTTATTATTAAAAGAAACACGATCATGATATTTTTATTCCATTATAAAATTTAAAATAGTTAAGCAGTTAAGCATTAAATGAAAAAATTGACGTTAGCAAATTAATGTACTTAATATATTATAGAAATATAACGAAATTATTTATTACTTAATAATTGGTTGTGGTATTTAATCGAATACTAATACCAATATACAGGTAAATCTTGCAAATGCAAGAGGGATGCGAAAATAAGGATAGAATAATGGCCGATGAAGGAAAAAGGTAAACAATTGTATCTCTTGAGTTTAAATATCTTTGATAATAAATGACTTAAAACCAGAAGAAGACCAAAAATAACCTAAATACAAAATATTTTCATGGTGTCTGTCTGTCTGTTTGTCCGACACGATAACTCAAAAACCGATTTTAACCAAATTTGGCTCAAAAATACTGTGGCACCCGAGAATCTGGCCATTACTTTTTGTTAGGGTTGGGGGGTTGGTAAGGGGTAGGGAATGCAATCCCGCACCAAATTCTCAATCCCGCAAACTCGCGGGATAAAAGCAATAAATCCCGCGGATCCACAAAATTGCGGGATTGTAAACAATAAATGCTCTTCTTTTCTCTCTCCGATTTGCAGTTTGGACCAGGTTTAGATGCATCTATTGTGATTAAGATGCTATGTGGTTTTCGAAAATATATTTAGCGAATTCTCGTATACAGGGTGTTTTATAATAGTGTACAAATTTGGTCAAGAATCTTTTTTACCGAAAATTTACAATTTTTAAAAAATCGAAATTTTAACTCTGTACGACTAATCTGTATTGAAATTAGAAAAAACAATTTGGTGTTTGTTTTAAATTTTTTGTTTTAAAGAAAATACGTTTTTTTTTCGAAAAATATGCATTTATAGTCATACATTTGGTCCTAAATGGTACAAAAGGCATTGTACATTTTGCATAGGCCCACAATACAGGGTGGCCCATCGAAAACGTTCCGCATGGCGTAACGGCCAGGGTATTTTTTTTTCCAAAAATCCAAAAACACGTCAATTTTGTTTATGAGGGGGACAACTTTTGCTCCAAAAATGATTGCAGAATCTTCAACCCTCTAAGCGGGGATGTCATCCCCCAATTTTTTTCAAATTGGAAGGGGGGTCAAGTGGTACCGCAATGAAAAGGGCTTTGAAAATATGAACGATTGAAATTTGAAAAGTTTATTTAAACATTTATCAGAGTAAATGATAAGGATAAATTGCTTCGACCAATTTGCTGTTTTTTCTTATTATTTCTAGATGTTTACGTATTTTTTCACTTGCCACAAGGTTGAAGATCAGGTGCGGTAATTGCTAGATAGCTGTTCTGTGATTTGTGCGTTGAAGTTCTTCTCAATATCGTTAAACTTTTTAACAATTATGGTGGACTCACTTGCAGAAAAAGTAGAAATAATCGAACTTTATTTTAAAAATAAACTTTATTTTACTTTATTTTAAAACGTCTTCGTTGTGTTCTTGTACCAACTGAATTTTGTACGAGTGGAACTTGTGTTTTTTTTAATATCCTTTGGACGCTTGTACGATTCACGCCGGTCTCATTGGCTAATTTTCTTGTACTCAGCGTACTATCCATGGCAGCTTGGCCCAATACGAACACCTCCATAGCTTCATTCACTACAGGATTTTCCCTCTGCCTCTTTTTATTCATAACGGAACCAGTTTCACGAAATTTTGCTACTAACTCGCGAACAATTTTGCCATAAAGGCGTTTGTCAGGAAGGATCGTTCATTGAATATCTGCACAACCCGATTGCCATATTCATTATTTTTAAAATAAAGTTCGATTATTTCCACTTTTTCTGCAAGTGAGTACACCATAACTGTTAAAAAGTTTAACGATATTGAGAAGAACTTCAACGCACATATCACAGAACAGCTATCTAGCAATTACCGCACCTGATCTTCAACCTTGTGGCAAGTGAAAAAATACGTAAACATCTAGAAATAATAAGAAAAAACAGCAAATTGGTCGAAGCAATTTATCCTTATCATTTACTCTGATAAATGTTTAAATAAACTTTTCAAATTTCAATCGTTCATATTTTCAAAGCCCTTTTCATTGCGGTACCACTTGACCCCCCTTCCAATTTGAAAAAAATTGGGGGATGACATCCCCGCTTAGAGGGTTGAAGATTCTGCAATCATTTTTGGAGCAAAAGTTGTCCCCCTCATAAACAAAATGGACGTGTTTTTGGATTTTTTGAAAAAAAAATACCTTGGCCGTTACGCCATGCCGAACGTTTTCGATGGGTCACCCTGTATTGTGGGCCTATGCAAAATGTACAATGCCTTTTGTACCATTTAGGACCAAATGTATGACTATAAATGCATATTTTTCGAAAAAAAAAACGTATTTTCCTTAAAACAAAAAATTTAAAACAAACACCAAATTGTTATATAACATAATACAAGTTTTAATGCCTAACTTTTCGTTCTTTTTAAGAAATATTTATTCAATGATACCAATTATATCCTTTTAGAACGAAAATTAGGACAAAACTTTGTATTTTCCAAAAGTATTTCGATCGTAAGTTCAAGAGAAGTAGCCTTAAAATTGTTCCATTTTTGTTTTGTATTAGATGTACCATTTTTCTTCCATAAAATGGATTAAGTGGTTAAAAAATAAAATTCTTATATTTCTTTATATCATGGAATGCAATAGCGCAAATAACACAATAATAATAATTATTTACTCTGCAGAAACCAGAAGTAAGAAAACACTGTAAAAGAACAGAATTTGTATCAAAATGTATTAAAAATATAAGTACCTAGTATAACAACATACTAAAATAATAAACACTGGTATATCGCCACGATTTGGTGGACCTCGTTTAGTCATTTTTTTTTCTCCTCTTTTCCCTCCAAGCAGTTGGTTTGTTAGCATACTCATTCATCGAGCATTCTGTTGTACTTTGTTGTATTTTATTTCCAGATTAACAATCTCACCCTTAAATTTTATATGAAACTGATTATTGAATATTAAACATATCTGTATATTGATCCATCCATAACTTACCGAATATCAGTGTAAGAAGTTCTTTGAAGTGTTTAAATCTTTCTTTCTCTGGTCCATTTAGATTTTTATTATTTCCAAATTAAAAAATTATAATATTGCAGAGTTAACTCAGCTAACCTCTTTATCATTATATGAGAATATTTGGAGTTTTCATTCATTGGAGTCAAAATTTGGTAAATTGGGTATCGAGTAAGGGAAGAGTAGCTGCTATAATATTAATAATACTCTTAGGAAGGTGTAACAAGGTAATTAAAACTTGTCCTTACCTTAAAATCTCTTTTTAAACTACACACAAACAGAACATTTATATAGAGCTCCGAATGATAAAACAATATAATGGCTGCTAACACATACTACCCTAGAAAGGAAAAGGAGAGGAGGACATAAGATACACTTGGTCGGTGTATCTACGCTGAGGCTATCCGCGCATGCGCACACCTTCATTTCATGTGCTAGAATGTAGACACAACAGTACACGATTACAAAGTGTCTATATAGATATTTATATTATGTGTATACGTCACATATTTTTACAAGGTGTGTACTATAGGTACAACTATGATACGAAGTATCACACATACATATGACTTATACATTGTATGTCTCATGTACCGACGTCAGATTTCATCATTTTAATAATTATTTGTTACGTTACAAAAAACTCTTTAGAATCTTGAGTACATACGGTATACAACTAGTAAACACTGTATCACACAATTCTATAAATATAAACCTGCGTGTAACTCATATGTATATGTTAGAACTAGATGAACACTTAGATTCACTTTAACATATTTTGTTTCTCATGTGTCTCCCTTGTAGAAACGTAGTTTCATTTGGACGTGCTATATGGGTGATCATTCAACGTTGTGGCAAGTGAAAAGATGCGTAAACATCTAGAAATAATAACAAAAAAAATTGGTCGAAGGAATTTATCCTTATTTAATAAACTTTTCAAATTTCAATCCTTCATATTTTCTCAGTGACTCTACCGATTTTCGAAGCGGGAAGTATAGAGAATAGAAAGCCCTTTTCATTGCAGTACCACTTGACCCCCCTCCCCATTTGAAAAAAAATGGGGGATGACACCCCCGCTTAGAGTGTTGAAGATTTTGCAATCATTTTGGGGGCAAAAGTTGTCCCCCTCACAAACAAAATTGACGTGTTTTTGAATTTTTTGAAAAAAAAAATTACCCTGGCCGTTATGCCTTGCGGAACGTTTTCGATGGGCCACCCTGTATAAATTTGGACCGATGTATTCAGGGTGTTCAAAAAATATATTTATCAGATCCCGCACGGTAAATCCCGCAACTTTGATTCCGCGGAATCACAGAGGGATCCCGCATTTGCGGGATTGCATTCCCTAGTAAGGGGGTATGGGAGGGGGTTAAAAACTTTAAAAAATCGTAACTCCAAAATTACAGTAGCTAGCGAAACGCGGTTTTCAATTTAAAATTAGGAATAATATTGTGACAAAACTTTCAAGATTTTGTCCGTTATCATGATAGTGTGGCCTTTATATAATTTTTATAATTAAAATAATTTATTGAGCGGTAGGCAGAACTTGAATTAATGAGAACACCGTCTTTTCAGAACGCAAATATAGATTATCGTTTATATATAAAAAAACAAAATATAGCCAGCTAAAAATAGAAATTAAGGTATCGCACTTTTATGGTAAGAGTTCTTTCTAAATTAAGTTACTATAAACTATATTGCCACTTACCTTATTACGTCAACATCCGTCAGCATTTCATCAACAACAAGAACCTGTCGAAGACTTCATTGGTCCCCATGTAGATCTACCGCTTCGGTCTTGGACTCATTCTTTAGATTAAACCACTCGACCGGTTATCACAGTGTTCTTTTAAATAGTTTTAATATTTTAGTAAAAAGGTGAGATTAAGAAATAAAATGCCGAATTTTCACAACACCTAACTATATATTTAATATAAAAAAATAAATAAATAAAAATAAAGAAAAAGATTTAGCAAGACATTTATAATTAACGAAATATAAAAAAAGGAAAGAAATTTAATCAAAAATAATTAAAGAATGATATTAAAATTCAGAAGTGATAAAGTTAAAAATACAAAATATTCTTCTTATTAGTCTAATCTAAATTATCTAAAATTAGCATACAATTCAAATCTCTCTTAGAATTTTCGTTGCCTGAAAATTAATATGTCAAAAAGAATATTAACTGAACAATTGGATTTAAATTAGAATTTAATAAAAAGAACAATTGCAAAATAATCATTTGTGTGATGACATTTAACTTTTACTAAAGCCTTTAGAACAAACAGAAAGTCTTAAATCGTTAATAAAAAATATTAAAGAAAATCTAAAACAACAAAATAAAAATCTTTATACATGAAATGTTTAAAATTTCCTAACTTGAGAATTGAATATTTAAGAAAATCTTTAAATCAAAAACTTACTAAAATTATTAAAAAGAAACCACTGGATAATATAAGATCTACACGGAGAAAATTCGACCGTCTAATTTAAAAGTCAGTACCGAACTGATCCAAAAATCTATTTTCCTAAACCTCGAAATATCTAAAATGGGCGGGTAAAAAGAATAGGGAACCACCAAAAGCCGAGCCATTCTCAAATCCTCTCCGGGTTCGCTTTTCAGGAACCGCCTGATTGGTCTGAGAAAACCTCAACTACCCTGTCGTTCCCGGTCTAGTTCGCCCTACTTATCACAGATGTAGTTACTATGACCATTTCTACGTTATTTTCCAAATTATTACTAATATCCGTGTAAATATTATAATTACCGTAAACACAATTACACATGATTAAATCTAACCCTAACTAAAGTATATTTAAAGGTCTGTCCTTAAAAAAAAACCAAACAAATCACATTTATAATTTGATTTCATTAGATTCCACTGTTTTATCTTATATGTTTATTTATTTCACATACTCTTGGATGTTTTGGATAAAAAAGGAGGACAGTCCTTAACTTTCAGAATATCATTACGTGAACTTTACTTTAATATTAAATTAACAATTATACTTGTTTTTATCCAAAATCTGTTTGTATTGGCCCGTGGGAGGTCTATCCTGATCGTGAGAAGGGTCTTAGAGTTTTATTGCTTTCTAGGGGTTTTGCTTATATAATCTCGAAGTTAAAATTTAGGGTTTTAAAGCTATAATGATTGATGCTAGTCGTTTCTAGCTGTTTAAAAGCAAGTATTATATTAATTTATGGACGTGGGATTTTAAACCCAACAGAAAAATATTTAGTTTTTCCCAGAGAAACGGGTCCTTCATTCTAAACAGTTTTTACGATCTTTTGAAAAAAAAACAATTTAAGGGCGGAAACACATGACAAACTTTTAACAAGCTAGGTTTGTTGTCTGCTCTAAAATATTTCATTACAATATTTGCAACAAAATTTGTAATAACATCAAAATCAGTCAAAGTGGCAGTTTTTCAAATAAAAAAAAATTGGAAAATTTCTTTTACTTTAAAACTAAAAGAACTGCATAATATTATACCAACTTTTTATTAACAAATTTTAGTATGGGTGGCTATGCTATACGTGCCTCCCGGCGCCATTTTTTTTATTTGGCATATAAAGGTGCGTATTCATTATCCGCACGAACGAACGAACGAACGAACGAACGAACGAATGTACGCTAGTGGTATGGACGGGGACCGCACGAGAAGACCGGAGGCATTTGTTGGCGAACGCCTTTGATGTACCGACTCGAAACGGATGGTCGAGCGAACGAACGAACGAACGAACGAACGGCCGCATGCGTTCGGTCCCCGTCTAAATATACCGCACGTTCATTCGTTCGTTCGTTCGTTCGTTCGGATAATGAATACGCACCTTTAAATGTTTTTAGTGTCAAAATTAAAAAAAAATCTTAATTGATGTGTAAAATAAAGAAAAATAATTTTAAATAAGTAACTCTTCAAAAGTGTTTTTTTTTCTACTTGTAGTTGCAATTAAAAATGTTCCTCCTGATACAACCCTCAATACCTATCTCAGAGACAACATGCACCTCACAGCCACGAAAAAAATGTGCCTGGAAGGAGGTTGTGGCACGTGTATCGTGGCGGCAGAAATGCTGGACAGCAATGGAACCAAAAAAGTTCTAGCTATAAATTCTGTAAGTATGTGTATACAGGGTGTCATTGAAATGGTGTAAAAAAAATCGGAGGGTGATAGTACTCCTAAAAATAGTAAAAAAAGTTCCTAAAAGTATAGGGCGGAAAATGCAAATTAAGGGAGTTAGGGGCACTGAAATGGTGAATTTAAAAAACGGTTGTTTTGAAATTGTAGGCTTAAAAAATGAGATAAGACTTCGAAAAAAAAATCTCTGCCATAAATGTTGACCCTAATACTGAAAAATTATTTGGAAAAGCGGAAAGGGTAGTTTTTGCAAGGGTAGGGGTTTATTTCGTGAATAACTTTTTTGAGGTTATTTTTTTTGCAACGTGGGTTCATTTTTTGAAAACTACATACTTTTTCCTACAAAAAAGGTACTCTCGTTGCACATCGCCCAGAGCGATGGTTTTCGAGAAAATTGAAAGCAAAGAGATTGCTCTGATGGGTTACTAACCGGTTAATCAACCTAAACTTATGAAAGTTATGGCGGTTTAAAAGTAACCAAGTAGTTATTAAATAATTAATTGGAAAAAAAAATTTCATGATTTTTAAAACATCTTATTGCTTTAAAAACGAAATAGACTTTTTTGGTTTTAAAAAAAATTGGTTTGCTCAGTGCCGATTAATACTGTTGCGGACCCGTGTGGACTCGACCTAACCTAACTATATGTCCCGCCCTCAGATGACCTTAACATCGCATTAAAGAATAGACACAGTAATGATTCATTCGTTCGAGAAAAATCGAGTCCCACTGGAATGGACTAGTACATACGAGAACATTCGAAAACCTTCTCTACGCACCTAACGATCTATGGACTATTCTAGAGTTCTTTACCTGTCGGTATAAAAGCCGGCGGCTGTGGCCTACAGGGGGCAGTTATAAATATACATGTGCAGTTGACGCGCTAAAATTCAAAATAAATTCTTAGTTATAAATCGTTTGTAAATAGTTCTATAAGTCTTTTATCGTTATTGTTTTTGTTAATTAGTGTTAAATAAATAGTGTTTAAATAAATTGTGACTTTCTATCCACACGGAACCGACGAAAAACGTAACAATACTGAAAAGCAACTACGGCAACGCATTATTGATTGTTCCAATCAAATTCGGACAACACCAAGGATATTCCACAGGGTATCTACGCAGATCGTAGAGAAGAAGATCAGATGTCTACATTGAAATGAATGATGGTCTCTTTGAACATTTACTATGAATGAATTAAGGAATGCATTATTTTAATAAGGAATTTTGGTAATTGGATTATTTCGTTTTTTAAAGCAATAAGATGTTTTAAAAATCATGAAATTTTGATTTTTCAATTAATTATTTGATAACTGCTTGGTTACTTTTGAACCGCAATCACTTTCATATGTTTATGTTGATTAACCAGTTAGCAACGCATCAGAGCAAACTCTTTGTCTTCAATTTTCTCGAAAACCATCGCTCTGGGCGATGTGCAACAAGAGTATCTTTTTTGTAGGAAAAAGTATGTAGTTTTCAAAAAATGAACCCACGTTGCAAAAAAAATAACCCCAAAAAAGTTATTCACGAAATAAACCCTATACTTGCAAAAACTACCCTTTCCGCTTTTCCAAATAATTTTTTAGTATCGCCATTTGATTTAGGGTCAAAATTTAGGGCAGAGGATTTTTTTGCGAAATTATATCTCGTTTTTTAAGCCTACAATTTTAAAACAAGCGTTTTTTAAATTCACCCTTTCAGTGCCTCTAACTCCCTTAATATGCATTTTCCGCCCTATACTTATGGGAACTTTTTTTACTATTTTTTGGAGTATTATCACCCCCCGATTTTTTTTACACCATTTCAATGACACCCTGTATACCTATATACTGAGGGTGTAAAAAAATAAGTGCAAAAGATTGTTGCACTATAATGTTTATTTTTTATAGTGTTTGGTTTCGGTATTTCAATGCCATGGTTGGAAAATTCTTACCAATGAAGGAATAGGCAATCCGACCATTGGTTATCATAAAATTCAGAAAACTCTGGCTGATAATAATGGTTCTCAATGTGGGTAAGTCAGTGTTTTTTAGAATTTTCATTGCAGTGATAAAGCTTTATGGGGATGAATCCTTATTAGGCGACCTTAAACAATCGGCAATATAGACAATAGACATTTTTTACGTAAAAAATCACGAAAATGTTTATTTTTTTACTCAGTAGTTTTATACAGGTATGGACGAAAAGTTATTACTCTTCAATCCATTTAAAAATATGTAGGTGGCGCCCTCTACAAGTAGTAGGTCATATTGACATTAAAATCAAATTCCTCATGTCGAGAAACTCCCAGAGTCCAATTTTCACTTATAATATCACAAGAGCTTAAATTATTTTCGGAAATTTTTTTGAGGGCACGCATATTTTGAAAATTATCCCGAGTCGAAGACGAGGGATAATTTTCCTAAAATATTCGTGCCCGAAAGAAAATTTCCAGGAATAATTTAAGCTTGCGTGGTATTCGGTAAGAAAATTTACACCTAAATTTGAAAAAAAAATATTAATCAACATGACATTTTAAAATAATTTCAATTTGTTAAGTTGGCCAAAGGTATTGATGTTTTTTGACATATTATGTGTTTTGTCATTTTTGTTTGCGATTCTGTCATTAAGCTATTACTAGTTTTAAAACGTCTGTACGTAGAGTAAGAAGTGTATAGCGAAATGTCGCGATTTGGAAAAGTAAACCAACAAGTCATTAAAGAAGAAATTGAAAATATAAAACCAGATAACACCCGAAAATCAAAATCAAGTGTATGGAAACAGTTTGTTGAATTTTGTGATGAAAAGTCGTATAATATTCATGAGTGTATGAGTGTAGTACAGCTGGCTACTATACTGGAGGACTACGCATTTAATATGAAAAAGAAAAATTTTGAAGATTATAAGGAAAGTGTGGTCAAAGTGATGTGGAACTCTACTGCTAAGCAGTTGCAAGAAATTTATTACGAAAAATATAAAATAAAATTTAATCCGTTTTCTGATGTGGAATTTGTGACCGCCAGAGCTGCACGCGATGCTAAGCGCAAAATACTACAGAGAGATTCAGCAAAAAGAAAAGTGAGTGCTTCAGCCTTAACCAGTGACGAATACAAAAAAATTATTGAAATGTGGGATGAAAATACTCCAGATGGGTTGCAGCGTAAATTTTTTCACATAGTTTCACATGAGCTGGCATGGAGAGGAGGGGAAGGACATTCTGCTTGTATCCAATACTTCAAAGAAGAAACTGATAATTTCGGAAACCCAAAAGGTCGGATAGAATATAATCCAATTTTCTCTAAAACCACACAAGGTGGTTCTAAAAAACTGTCGGATAGTAAATGGTTGATTAGAAATTTCGAAAATCCACAAATGTGTCCGGTTCGCTTGTTTAGAAAGTTGATGGAAAAAAGGGGAAATCTTATTCAAACCGACAGACTATTCTTAACACCAAACCCATACTGGAATCAACCCAATTCGAAAGGATGGTACAAGAATAGCCCAGTTGGTAAGAACATTGTATCTTCATGGTTTAAATCAGCAGCTTCAGATATAGGAATTGACACTAAAAAAGTTAAAATAACCAATCATTCTGCAAGAGCAACAGCTGTTTCGAATTTGGCCAAGAAAGGAGTTGGTGAACAACAGCTCATTAAAATTACTGGACATAGTAATAGTCAGTCGATCAAACCTTACTTACAGTTGGACGCTGAACATCATCAACAGATGATTGAATCCATGAGGAGCATTTCATCAAGTACTAGCCAGTTCAATCATGATCAGAGCACAATGCAAAATAAAACAGAAAATACCCAGATTCAAACCACCAATTCAAGCCAGCCTACAAACATTTACAATAATTGTGTTTTTAATATTAATAAAACCTATAATTACTAAATGTGTTTCGTTATTATTTTGCTATATTAGTCGATATCATTAAAGATTTGGCATTGAAGATAATTCAACATGAAATAAATTCTAAAAAAATCATATAGATATATCCATCATATTTCGTTAAATAGAAAAATACCAGCTTTAGTTAAATAAAGGCGGCAGAACTATATTTTTTAGAACATGGCAATTTCGAAGAAATTCATATGTAGGTATATCTAACATATTTCCTTAAATAAAAAATATTACCAACCTTAGTTACATCAAATGCTAAAACTCAAATGGGTTTTCAATATATAGACATTGTAGTTCATTCACATTATGATTGTAGATCTTATGTTTACCTTTTCAACTGTCAAAAAATTTCCACTAAAGTTTCGTGGCGCCTCGAAAAAATTTCCGGAAATTTTTTCAGTTGCCATGGTAACTAGTCAACATTAAAGCATGTTATTGGTTGAAAAGTAGAGGTGTGAAATTTTCATCAAAATATTAACGTTACTTAAAATTATTTGGAAAAAATTGAAATAAAAATGAAACTTCTACACCCTGTATCTCCGAAACGAAGCATTTTAAGACATACATTTATACGAACTTTTTTTACTTATTTTAATCTGCAGAATATGCTGCCAAAGATTCCGGAATATAGTTTGGACCACCTAGTATAACAATAATAACAAATCTGCTAATAATTATCTATATTAACCTTAGAAGCTTCGAAAAATAGTAACAAAGGATTTTCTAGCAATTCGCAATGACCTAAGATAAGATATTAATGTTTATGTTTAGGTTTTGTTCGTCTGGCATGGTGATGAACATGTACGCGTTACTAGAATCCGGACCAAAAACACAAGCTCAAATTGAAAATTCCTTTGGAGGAAACCTATGCAGATGTACAGGGTACAGACCCATATTGACAGCTTTCAAAACACTAGCCTCTGATGCTGGTAATTTATTTTTATTTTTAAAAGCCACGTTTGACTTTGAAATAAAGAATATTATGTGGTCTTTTTTCTGGCCTAAGTTGAATTAAATGATGCAAATTTTGAAAATAAAAGGTGTTTTGTAGATCCTAAAAACAAAATAGAGGATATTGAAGACGCCAAACCTTGTAAAAAATCCAAATGTGTCGACGTTTGTACGAGAAACTGTAAAAAAGCTCCGGTTTATTTTGAACTGGGAGAATCGAAGTGGATTAAAGTGTACACACTAAGCGACTTACTCAATACCTTGAAAACAGTTGGATCAAAAACATATCAGTTAGTTGGAGGAAACACTGCAAGAGGTATAAAAAAATACAGGGTGGGCCACTGAAAACTTACAGGCTATAATTTTTAAACCAATAAAAATATCAAAAATAATAAAAAATACCGTTTCTATGATATCGAAGGGGAATAAATATGACGTATTTTTTGAACCACCCCGACCTAACCCTTAGGCGGCACCCCTACTCACTTGAAAATCTTAAATGGCAATACCCCACTTGTGGCGCCTTTTTGGAAAGCCCATGAAAAATGCTAAACGACGATCATAACGTTTTTAGGGTGAAAGTGAAAAACTACCCCTTACACGAAAAATTAGGTGGACATTAATGAAAAAAGTAATTTTTTCAGCATAAGTTACAATTTGGGACCCAGCTAAATGAGGCAAATGAGGCATTTTTTAAACCACCCCAACCCACCCCTAGGTGCCATCCCCTCACTTCTAATCTCATCAATGCCATTTTTAAATGTAGATAATAAAAAAGGCAACACAAAGATGTTTTTACAGCCTAATTTTGCGATAACGCAAATTCTTCCTTATCATCTATTTTTTTACTTTCAACAAACAGGAATCTTAAACCGGCATATCTTTGCGTTTTTGCACTGTCTTCTATCGATTTTCAATCGTTAGCAAATTTGGTGGTATTTTAAACGTTTATTTGATTCGCTTATTTGAAAGAAAAATGGTTTATACTGTGGAAGAAAGGATTCAAATAGTTTTTCTTTATGGTGCTGAAGGTATGTGTTATTTGAGAACGACCCGTGCTTTCAATGAGAGAAATCCGGACAAAAACGTAAGTCACGTTTATATTAGAGATTTGATTTTAAAGTTTCAAGAAACTGGGTCGGTCAAAAATAAAACAAGGACAGGGCCCAGGGTACTGAATGAAGAAATGCAGATGGAAGTTACTGGTCAGGTATCGGTCAATCCAGAAGCATCAACACGCCAGTTGGCATCAATCACAGGTATACCTCGAACATCTGTCAGGAGAGTATTGAAAACGCACAAATTCCATCCTTACAAAATGAAGATTCTGCAGGAACTTGGCGACGACGATCCAGATAGAAGGATTCAGTTCTGTGAACTAATGACGGAGGAAATTCGAAGGGAACCTTCACTTACTAAAAATATTTGTTTTAGTGATGAGTGCTCATTTTTTTTAAACGAAATTGTGAATAAGCAGAACTGCAGATACTGGAGCGATGAGAATCCGCATATTGTTGTTGAAGGACACACCCAACATCCCCAAAAGCTCAATGTTTGGTGCGGAATACTAGGCGATAAAATTATAAGTCCATTTTTCATCGACGGAAATTTGACTGGTGATGCTTATGTGGAAATGCTGAACAATTTGATAGAGCCAGCCATTGTAAATGAGGTTGAAAATCAAAGAGATTTGGAAGGAAATTTAACTCTTAATGAAAACCTCATACACTTTCAGCAAGATGGAGCCCCTCCGCATTATTCTATTGTCACAAGGCGGTGGTTGGATAGATATTATCCACGGCAATGGATTGGCAGAAGGGGTCCAATCGAGTAGCCGCCAAGGTCACCTGATCTCACTCCTTTAGACTTTTCCTGGTGGGGTTACACTAAATCCATAGTCTACAAGACAAAACCAGATTTGTTGCAAGAATTGCGGCAGTCGAAATATTCCGAGAGAGACTTTCCATAAAGTGAGAGAAGAATTTGAAAATTGTTTGTATTTTTGTATGGAACAAAACGGCTGTCATTTTGAGCAATTGTTAAAATAAATTATCATTTTAAATTTCTTTCAAATTGTCAAACCTACATTTCTTATCACTACTTACCAGTAATTGTTGAAAGAAGACAGAAGTTGAAATCTGTATGATCATCGTTTAGCAATTTCAATTAGCTTTCCAAAGAAGTGTCACAAGTGGGGTATTGCTATCTTGAGATTAGAAGTGAGTGGGTGGCACCTAGGGGTGGGTCGGGGTGGCTTGAAAAATACCTCATTTGCCTCATTAAGCTGGGTCCCAATTTGTAACTTATGCTGAAAAAATCACTTTTTTCATTAATGTCCGCCTAATTTTTCGTGTAAGGGGTAGTTTTTCAATTTCACCCTAAAAACTTTATGATCACCGTTTAGCATTTTTCATGGACTTTCCAAAAAGGCGCCACAAGTGGGGTGTTGCCATTTAAGATTTTCAAGTGAGTAGGTGTGCCGCCTAAGGGGTAGGTCGGGGTGGTCCAAAAAATACGTCATATATATTCCCCCTCGATATTATAGAAACGGTATTTTTATTTTTTTAATATCTTTTTTGGTTTAAGAATTATAGCCATTGTAAGTTTTCAGTGGCTCACCCTGTATATTAAAAACGTTTTACATCATGATAAAATATTTTTTTAGGAGTATATTGGCCAAATTCTTTCCCAGAAGTCAACATAGATATCACCAGTGTTGGTGAGTTGACTTCATCAAGCGTGAGCGACGATAGCGTTATATTGGGAGCAAATTGTTCACTGACATTCACGATACAAAAATTTCAAGAAATCGCATCACAGAAAGCTCAATTTTCGTATTTAAGTAAAATGGCTGATCATATCGATCTAGTAGCTCATGTACCTGTTAGAAATGTATCACAATATCTTGATTTTTTCTTTATTTAAAGTTGATTTAAGTTGATTTTAGATCGGGACTATAGCCGGGAATTTGATGACCAAGCATCAACATCAAGAATTTCCTTCTGACATATTTCTTATTCTAGAAACAGCCGATGCCACTCTGGTTATAGGTATTCGTTTTATTTGTTATTTTATTAAATAGGTATTGCAATATCTTGTTTTTAGTTGATCTGGAGGGGAATACAACTATGGTTTCACCCCAAGACTTTTTGAAACTTGACATGAACAAAAAAGTTATGAAGCAAATTATTCTCAATGCTTACGATAGCAACATATATTCATACACCAGCTATAAAGTACGTCTTTAAATATTTTGTAAAATCGCTTATTTCTGGGGCTTAAGCTTGATTTTCATGCATCCGTTGTCCGACGATACGTTGATACGATATTAATTTTATTGGTTTAATTTAAAGATTTCGATTGGTTAGAAACGGTTAACCAATCAATGTCCTTAAATTCAACCAATAAAATTAATATCGTATCAACGTATCGTCGGACAACGGATGCATGAAAATCAAGCTTTACTCAACCGGGTCTCACAATGCAAATTCACCTCAAATAGGCAAGCAGGCTCTTGTTGTACATGAAAATAACAAAACAAACATTTACTGATCTGGATAAAATTGATAGTTAAATAGTAAAACTCACCCGGGGGTACTCCGCCCCCTAGCCACTGGTATTCTATTCAATATATCCCATTCCATATCTTCCATTTAATTCAAATATTATTCGGATCTATTGGTTAGACTAAGACTCGCATCCTTCATAGTCATAAAGACTCGCATCCTTAATAGTTATAAAAACCCAACCTAACCTAACCTAACCAAAGCAACCTTAGTCTCGCATCCTTTATAGACAAAAAGACTCGCATCCTTAATAGTCATAAAGACTCGCATCCTAATAGTCAAAAGACTCGTACCCTTAATAGTCAAAAGGACTCGCAACCTTAGTCATAAGACTCGCAACCTCCAAATGTCAGTTCTGTGACAAAACACAACACAACACTACTTTACAGCCGGCCGTCCCGTCTACTACTGGCTGACCCGCCGCGCGCCGGTAAGCTAAGCCTCCTCTTACATCACATTTTTACTTCATCACAAATATTTACTTTGCTTTCCAATGAATCATACTATTGTCTCTAATCGGCTTTTAAAATAGAGTGTTTTAGCATTACTAAATAAATAAATAGAGAGTTTCCGAAGGAACGCATATTCTTTATTAGAATAGTGAATAATAAAAGCATTATTATAACGAATTTATTTTTCAAGTTTTACAATTTTATATGTAAAAAACTATTTTTTACGCAAGGTGTATGTAGCGCTAAACTGTATTACTAGTTGCATAACTGCATTACTGCTATATAAGCGCAACGTGCATTGAGGAACCTGGCGAATTCGCCAGAAAGTAAAAGAAAACTACAGAATTCTTTAGAACGTTCCAGAAACACTCGCCAGGGGCAGTTGGCAGTCTGAAGTTTGATAATACCGCATTTTAAATTGTGAATTAATTAGCGAAGGTGCCAGAATCGTTAGAGTAATAGTAGTTGCATAAATTGTGTTGTAATTAGTATAAAATTGTGTGTACAGAGTGAGAAAGAAATAAATTCGTTATGTATTTTATCGTGAGTGTAAATTAGTGGACCCACGGAATCCGTAACAATATCTTCAAAATATTATTAAGGTTGTCTACCCTTCAAACAAAGATTTTCCTAGATATTTTAATTTTTATGATGTTGCGTCAGTAGATCTTTATTATTTGTAAAAATCTAGAGTGGCTGTGTGATATACCTTTTGTTAATTTTTATAATTTTTATAATTATGTGACAAAAATTAGCTAGATGAAATTAAATGCTCAAAATGCTTTCTTTCCTGTTAACTACAGAAAATGATTGTCTTTTCAAAAGGATCTTTTCATTTTAAAAGGCATATGTGGAGTTCTACCTGGAAAAGCAGCTATAATAATTCCTCTCATGTTGTCGACAGTAGTTAGTCGAGTTTTGTAAACACTGTCTTTAACATATCCTCATAAAAAAAAACTCCAGACTAGATAAGTATTCTATTAATTGGTGAATGCACACTGCATTCAGCAACTAATAGAATCATATCAGTTCTCTCTGAAGTAGGACATGTTTGCATTTTCGGCAAATTTCTGAGAAATTTTTTTGATTTAACTGACACAAAATGATAACTAGTTGATAAAGTTGGACAAATTAGACAGCTATGTTGAAGTAACGTCAGACATATCACAGCCACCTAGATTTTATCAAATAATAAAGATCTAATCAGATCAAATCATGTAAATGAAAATATCTAGGAAAATCTTTGTTTGAGGGGTAGGCAACCTTAATAGTATTTTGAAGAGACATGAATTCTCCATTGAATATCGGAACAATATACTGGGTGTTCCATTTAAAATAAAAAAGTAACATGCTTTTAAAGGTGAGCAATGTTCAATATTAATTTTGTCTCACCCTGTATAACTTTTTGGATCAAGTTTTAATTCGATTTAAATTGTACAATAGGTAGTTAATAATTAAATATTAGGCTATACCGGGTAAATTCCAATTTAGGTAGCTTTTATTGTAATTTAAAAAATGTTTTTATTTCTAGAAAATGTTAAATATCAACCAAACCAAAAACCTTACATTTTAGTCATATACTTCTCTTATAAAACTCACCTTTATTTTTCTACCAGAATCCAAAAATCAATTAATATATAGGGTGTTCCATTACAAAAAAACACAACTTTGATATGTAACTTTTTTTGGGGACACCCTGTAGAACTCTCTATATTTTTAAAAAGTGCTCTGAATTAACCTACATATGCTCACAAAATTTAATTTCAATACAAACTGTCGTTCTCCTAGTAGCCTCCGGGGAGTATGAGAGGCGCCACCCTGTACACTTTTTCAAACATTTTCTTCAAATCCTTCAATTTAATAGCTGTTAGTAAGAAGTTTTACTCCAAATATGTGCACACATAATTTTTTTTTAAATCCAAGTTACTGATATTTTTTTGCTTAATTTTTCATAGATCATGCCGAGAGCCCAGAACGCGCATGCTATGGTCAACGCGGGATTTCTACTGCGTTTCGTACCATATTCCATTCCAAAAAAGGTACAAACAGCCCGAATAGTCTATGGAGGCATCAACCCTAACTTCGTACATGCCAAAAACGCAGAGACTGTACTCAAAGGAAAAGCAATATTTGATAATAGTACTTTGCAAGCTGCTTTTAAAGCTCTAGATGCTGAAATTGTTCCTGATTGGGTACTACCAGATCCCAAGCCAGAATTTCGTAAACAATTAGCTATAAATTTATTCTACAAGGTACATTATATTTGTATTATAACTTTATAGTATTTCTAGGAGCATTTTATCCACGACAAATCTTAGATTTGCTCAAAATCGCCCTTTTTAAATAATCTTTATGTTCTTTAATTAATAAATACACATTTTTTTCTTTAGTACGTCCTAAGTATAGCCCCAACGACCCTACTAAGCTTAAAAAATCGAAGCGGTGGTACTATACTCTCCCGATCTGTTTCAAAAGGAACTCAACAAATTTACAGTAACCAAAGTTTATATCCTTTAACTCAACCAATGATCAAACTAGAAGCATTGGCTCAAACTTCTGGTACTATAACAATAAACATTAAAAAACTCCTTAATAAAATAAACCTTTACAGGTCAAGCAAAGTACGTTTTGGATATTCCCGATCTTCCTAATCAACTCCACGCTATTTTGGTTCAAGCAAAGAAGGTACCTGGTTCTACAATTACTAGTATTGATACCCAGGTTGCTCTGGCACAGCCTGGAGTAGTTGCCTTTTTTTCTGCCAAAGATATACCGGGTGTTAATAGCTTTGCTGTTCCAAATTGCTTTCAGAATATAGTAGAAGAAGTGTTTTGTAGTGGAACTGTAAGTACTACATTTTTTTTTTTTAACTAAAGGAACTAAAAGATGATTTTTGTCTTCAGGTCAAGTACTATTCGCAACCAGTCGGGATTTTGGTAGCTGTGGACCACGAAACAGCTACCATTGCAGCTAATTTAGTAAAAATAAGTGTTACAGCACCTAAGGAAGCTCCTTACATTAATATAAGAGATGTTTTGTCAAGGAATGCTACTAGTCGTGTAAATCACAAGACTTCGTTTATACCGAAAGGCAAAGGTAATTTATATCATTACAGTTGGGGATTGGATAGTTTATATTAACAAGTTAACTGTTTATTATTACTAAAAATGTGTTTCTTCAAAAAGGTACAGACATTAAAAAAGTTATTAAAGGTGAAACCTACGTAGGAGGTCAGTACCATTTTCACATGGAAACTCAGACGTGTCTGGTAGTTCCTACTGAAGATGGACTGAATGTTTTTGCATCCACACAATGGATGGACCAAGTACAAGGTGCAATCTCTCAAGTTTTGAACATGCCCTCACAAAAGTAAGATTAACCAAAAAAAACGTACTAAAAATAACTAACATGATTCTACATGACATCTCATACCTTGTTGTAGTGAAAAAACTGCATTGTGAGACTTGGCATTTTTTACGTTTTGTTTTTGCTATGATCTCATTTCTTTAAATGTTTTTGATGGAAATATTTTGACAGGATCAGCGTTATTGTAAGACGTTTGGGTGGTGGTTTTGGAGCTAAAGTTAGCCGATCAGCCTTGATCGCATCAGCAGCTGCATTGGCAGCTTCGAAACTGAACAAACCCGTGAGGATTTGGATGAATTTCAACGACAACATGGACATAATAGGCAAAAGGTTTCCTTGTCTATGCCAGTACGAAGTTGGAGTCAACAGTTCTGGAAACATTCAGTACTTAAAGGTAACAAAAATATATTAACAGTTTTATTTTAAAAGATTTTATTAATAAATAATGAAAAATTTGTTTAAGGCTGATATATACAGTGATGTTGGTGTGGGGGGTAATGAATCCATAGAATTACTGATTGTAGGACAGTTCCAGAATTGTTACATAGGAGATTATTTTGGATACGACACATACTATGTTACTACGGATAATCCAGCAAATTGTTTTACTAGAGCACCAGGTATGATTAAAGAAATTCTACATAGTACAACAGTAAACAAAAAAAAATTAATGATCATCATTTTGAGCTTATTCATACATTTCCAATTATGGTGTAGCCTCTTGAAAAAAAAATGAAACTAAAAATTTCATTGTTATACAGGGTGGTCCGAACTGTATTTCAGAAACTTCGGCAGCATATTCTGCAGATAAAAATAAGTAAAAAAGTTCGTATAAATGTATGTCCTAAAATGCTTAGTTACGGAGATACAGGGTGTAGAAGTTTCATTTTTATTTCGATTTTTTCCAAATAATTTTAAGTAACGTTAATATTTGGATGAAAAATTAGTGCCTGGGAGTTTTTTGAAATGCGAAATTTGATTTTGATGCCAATATGACTCCTGCTTGTAGAGGGCGCCAGGGTCACAACCTACATATTTTTTAACTGGTTTGAAGAGTAATAACTTTTCGTCCGTACCTGTATAAAATTGTTGAGTAAAAAAACATACATTTACGACGATTTTTGCTTAAAAAAAGTGTCTTGGTAAAAATCGCTACGAGTAATGGTTCTCGAGATATTTGGAATCGAAATTATGAATACCTCTGTAATTAACATAAATTAAATTTGTTGACTAAGTAGTTATTAGACTGCAATCATAAATTTGAAATGTTTTTGTGCCAAAAGTTCAACAGCAACTGTTTTATCATCATTTTGATAATTTAGGAAAATTTATTATTAATTAGATTTAGTAAAATGATCCCAAAATGATTTCAGTCAAATAACTAAGTATGTACTCAACATATTGTCACAGCACAAGAACAGTTAACCTAATAGGACTGCTCATTCAGCCAAAAGTGTCCGCCAGGTGCATGCGAAAACTATTCGCTTTGTGACGTCATTGTAGCCCTTGTCATGGTTATTAGTCCTTATCCGGCAACCAATAATACACACACGTGCATTATTGGTTACCGAATGCAAAACGTTCATTATTTAGTTTATTTATTTAAACACCTTATATGTATGCAGTATAGAAAATTAACTGTATAAATCGTATTAAATACTCGGATAATGCATTTTTAAGAACAGCAGGTCCCAGCATCACCTTTTGCAAGCATTCTTTTTAGAGTACTTCCATATTTTGCTTTAAAATAATTAATAAACAAAATCGTGGGCACTTAGTATGCACTTTGTCACAATCCATAACACAAAATGTTTATAGTAATTTTACTATTTATAGTATATTTATTTATTCGTTGCCTACTATATTATAAATTTTACTTATGTGAAATTATAAAATAAATTAAATCCAAACTGAAAATATTTGTAGGTTAGAATTAAGCTTGCGCAAAGCCGTTTTCACATAAAATAAAACAAGAAGTTAAAAGATAAAGACTTCTTATTTTATTTGTTATTTTATTTGGCTGTATGAACGCATGTACGGTATCCCATATAACCAACTTTCTTATTTTATTTTATTTTATTCTTATTTTATTTTATTTGCTTGTATGAACCCACCATAAAACAACACAATGCTGTGATATTGTCAAGTATGTGGCGCCATCTGTCGGAGAAGCGAGAAACTAAACGGCAATGTGTATTTCTGGTTGCCTACATTGTCAAGAAACCTTGCGAATTGAGTAGCGCGCCATCTCTGAGATTTAGTGGAAAATATCGATGATCTAAAAATAATTTTCTAGCAAGTAAAAGAAATACAACAGAATTCTAGAAATAGAAGGTTTCAGAAACCGTTATTAGAGTATATAAAGCCCGCGCTTGGCAGTTGGGCCCGTTTGAAGTTTGAAAATACCGCGTTTTAGATTGTGAATCGTGACAATTTGGCGAAGGAATTTTATAAATAGTTAATTGTGTGTTGTAATTAGTATAAATCTAAATCTGTATAAAGTGAGAAAATAAATTCGTTAAGTATTTTATCGTGAGTTTAAATTAGTGGGCCCACGGAATCCGTAACAATATGTTTATTTTTTTGTCAATAACATATATTGACTACCGATTTCCATTCTAAATATTTTGAGAACGGTTGCTCGTAGCGATTTTTATCAAGAGACGTATTTTTTACGTAAAAAATCACGGAAATGTATATTTTTTCACTCGGTAGTTTTATACAGGTACGGACGAAAAGTTATTACTCCTCAAAACAGTTAAAACACATGTAGGTGGCGCCCCCTATAAACAGGAGTCATATTGACATCAAAATCAAATTTCTCATGTCAAAAAAACTCCCAGACACCAATTTTCATTCAAATATTGACGTTACTTCAGCAATTATTTGGAAAAAATCGAAATAAAAATGAAACTTCTACACCCTGTATCTCCGGAACTAAGCATTTTAGGACATACATTTATACGAACTTTTTTACTTATTTTTATTTGCAGAATATGCTGGCAAAGTTTCCGGAATACAATTTGGACCACCCTATATAAAGACAAACTACAAAATACGGCCTGTATGAAGTACTTTTTTAGGAAATTGTGAGGCAGTAACTTGTATAGAATCGATCATGGACCATATAGCTCACGAACTGAAGCTAGACCCTGTATCTGTTCGTCAGGCGAACCTTGATTCGAAAAACAACACTATTTTGTTGAACATTTGCAAAGAAATCGATCAAACTGACGATATCCAAGCCAGGAAATCCAATATAACTTTGTATAATCAGGTTGGATTCTGATTTTTTGTTGTATTACCATAAATAAGAAAAAATTAACGCTTTTAGGCTAATAGATGGAAAAAGAAAGGCTTGAGTTTGGTACCGATGAGATGGGACATGGACGTAGTCGTTAGTCACATGACATTGGTATCCATTTACCATCTGGATGGGGGAGTTGCAGTTACACATGGTGGTGTTGAAATGGGCCAAGGAGTTAATACAAAGGTAATAACTAGATAACTAGAATTTCTAGATTATCTCAAGAAACTTTTAGAAAACAGAAAACCCACAAATACAGATAGATACTTAAATTTCACATCTAATCACAGTATAAGTGTAAAAAAAGGTGTTATAAAAAGTTTATATGATAGGGCAAAAATAATATGTTCAGACGACATTTCACTAAATAGGGATATAAACCACTTAAAAAATACATTAATAAAAACGACTATCCACCATATTTTATTGACAAAACATTAAACGAAATACAAACCCCAAATCATAGACACAATGATAACAATACACAATATATACAACTTACAATTCCATACATACGAGGCATTTCGGAAAAAATAAGAAGGATATAGGAAAACAGTATAACATACGAACATCTTTCAAAACACAAAATACACTTAGATCAATTTTATCACATACTAAACCAATGAATACAGAACAACAAACAAAAAATGTAATAAACAAAATACCATGTGAATACGACACGATAAATTTTACATCACGGAACACAGGGCAAAATAAAAGAGGCTTTTTTAATACAATCTAATAAAAATAAATGTATCGCTCATGCATCTGTAGATGTTAGTAATGTATGGCAATCGCTTCTTTGATTTTAAAGAACATAATATAAATAAACATAACGTACGTAAAAATTAAAAATAAACATACAGAAAGCTTGGGGCTTGTTGGTTTTACCCGTTTTACCTTATTAAGTAATTGTTATCAGGTAGTTAATTGTTAATTTTGAAGTTTAACTTGGATATAATGTCATTTTAACAGAACATCCACAAAACATCCCCCTTTAGAACTTTTTCTTTAATGGCCATAAGCGGGAGTAAAAGCCCAACCGCCCGAACAAACACTAGAGGCGCCATCGGTCATCAAATGGTGTAAAAATTGCGAAAATTTAATCATCTAATTTTGACACAAGGGGTCGCGCTTAACTTTTTCAATTTTAATTCATTATTCATTGTTTTCAAACTATATTATTAGCCTTTGTTGTATTTTGTGAATGTATAAATGTTTTCTTAGTATAAAGTTGCATTATAGTAATTTAAATTATATTACATACATATTTATGATTCAAATATTATGACATATATGTCAGTTGCCGTCTAAATGTCATCTTGATAACAAAAAGTTAGTTATTGTCAAAAGTAGTTAAAATAAGTTATAATTAGATATTTTATATTAGTTCAACAACAAACACATAATAGTACAGCGTAATGTTGATATGCATGTCCAAAACAAAAAGTGCCGTTATATTTTTCAGTTTTCGTTGTCAGCCGCGAAAGTTTCAGTGATTTTAGTGTTGTCGGATATTTTTATTTGTGAAATAGAAATATTGCGTTTGGATTGCAAAACTAAAAGTGGAAGTTTTATTGCAACGTAAGTAAGCGTTTGTCCATTTTATATTTTACTTTTTTCATACCTATGACAAATATACATATATTGATATTTTATAATTCGTTTTTTTTAAATGTTAGAAAACAAGGTTGTAATCAGGGTTCGGAAGTAGTTAATTAAGACGTAATTTACCTTATTAACTACGTGTAGTTTTTCTTCAAAAACTACGTCTTTCCTCGTTCATTAACTACATGAAAACTACGTTAATAAACTATGTATTGATATTATGAATAATTTTCCTTTTTATGAGTTGTCTAAAAAATATGATGTGAATATTATATTTAAAGCTATATTTCTTCTGTTTTCTTAAATACATCAGGTGTTTTCTAAAGCTTCAACTTATTATAACCTCACCTCAAACTTTTGATATTTGAAAGTTACATACATAGGTTACATAAACTACACCCATTACATTAACTACATGTAATGTAGTTTATGTAGTTTTTAAAAGTAACATGTAGTTTTCCGAACCCTGGTTGTAATCCTGTAATTGACATAATTGTTATGTAATATATGCCATTTAAATGTAATATATGACTTTACAATTAAAAAAATGTACATTTAAAAAATATATTAAAAATATATACAGGCATTAATTGAAATTTTTTGAGTGCCAACAAACACGAGAGGCGCTTTATTATTTACTTTCATTTCTTAACATGACAGATGAAGTTCTAAAGGGGGATGTTTTGTGATAATGTCATTTTAACAGAACGTCAACGAACTGTATGGAGTATGGTCCAACCATTCGCTGTTGCCTTGCTTGAAAAACTCAATAGTTTTTCAAGCTGTGTGAAAACTTGCATTGTCTTGGTGGAGGATCATTGTTGAGGGTTGGTTTTTCGAAACTCAAACGCAAATACTTCTGGGAAACAAATAGATATGCACCAATCAGCAGTAACAGTTCTTTAATCTTTAAGAAGAATTGTTGATACCTGACCCGCTTTTGGGACAAATGTTGCCGCAATATTTTTGGAAACACTTCGAGAACGGATAACTTATTAAGAGTAAATACAGGATTCAGCACCACTGAAATCCCCAGCCGTCTTTGACGCCGTTTTTTTTTCAATCGTATAGTATTAAACTTTAAAGATCATGTAATTTTAGGTGTCGGCTTTTTCGGGACAGTCTGTATATAAGTTCATTTAAGTATTTTTATCAAAGCGACGTTATTTTTTTCAGGTTGCCCAAGTCTGTGCATACAAATTTGGAATACCCATGGAACAGGTTTCAGTGAAACCCAGTTACAACGTGATAACTCCAAATAATTTCCCTTCTGGGGCTAGCTTAACTTCCGAGGGAGTTGTTTTTGTAAGTAACCAAAAACTTCAAACCTTTTGAATAAATATACCATAAAGAATATGTTTTTTTTTATATTTAATAGGCATTGTTGAAGGCTTGCGATGTGCTTCTAGACCGTATTAAACCCATTAAAGACAAGAATCCAAACGCTAGTTGGAAAGAACTGATACAGTTGTGTTATGCAGCAAATGTCAATTTGAGTTCAAATGGATTGTAAGTTGTCTAAATTGAAATAAATTTAAAGCATCTCTTTTTAAAAATTTTCTCTTGATCATTTTCAATATAAATTAATAATAACGGGGTTATTTAACTTTGAAAATTAAAAAAAAATATTGCAACATTTTGATAACAGCCGTCAGCAATCGATAATCCGGAGTTTAACCATAGTTTTTTTATTGCAAATAATTAATCTTCATACAATTTTATGACACCCGTATTTTTTATTTTACTTCAATTTCATCCCATTTTTTTAAACAAATTAATCAATATTAAGAATTTCAAATTAACACTTTTGCAATCTCTGACGTCACCTATCAAAAGTGTCACGGTTTGCCACCAGGTACAAAGGTAAATAAAAACCATTTTTCTAAATGTATTTTAAAGTAGATATTTTAGAATTTTTTTTAGAATTTAGAATGAGTGGGAAGGGGGTTAATCACTTCGACCTTACAGATCTATTGTGTCCCCCTTTCTTGAATCATAACTCATCATACAGTCCCAGGGCTTTGACAAAAGCCAGTATCTGGGACGGTTTTATAGAGGGTATTTCTCCATCTCCAATATCAGTCGTACCAAAATTCATGGCACGAATGGTTGTCGTCTCGGCGCACTCAGTGATGAGGTGTACTGGTATTTCACCATCTTCCCCACAGAATCTGCATTCGCCGTTTCTTCTTAGTTTCAATCTACTGAGGTGTTCATTGAGGAGACAGTGTCCTGTTAAAAACCCCGTGACAATCCGAAGATTGTTCTTACCCAGACCCAGGAAGATCTGTGATTTTTCTTGATCATAAGCCCTCAGAAACTTCTTCGAGTGTCTTAGACCATTGCAAGATTTCCATTCCAGGTTGCGGATGGAATCTTCCAAGTTCTTGAGTTCCGCCTTGAGTTGGTTACCACTTGGAAAGCAGAACGGTTCTGGTCCAGTTAGTGGAGTGTTCGCTCCTTTTCTAGCTAGATTATTTGCTTTTTCATTGCCTTCTATCCCTTGGTGAGCAGGCACCCAGTGTAGGAGGACTTTGTTTTCTTTGCCTAATTTATTCAGCTTCTCTATGCATTCTTTGACCAATTTCGAATTGATTGATACTGAGTTGATCTCCTTTAACGCTGCTTGACTATCAGATAAGATGTAAAGTAGATATAAAATTAATTGTAAAATAAAACTTAAGGAACTTACGTTAAAATGATCTTCACAGCAAAATCTCGTACTTTTGCTGACATATTGTTGTCTTGCCGCTTCAAACCAGGCTCTTCGACGGCTTTCATCCAAAGGAACAGTTATAAAAACTTTTTCTGAAGAGGCTTCAGAGTTATTTAGACAGCCCTTCACAAAACAAACTTTAATACCCTTCATTACAAAAATAATAAAGAGGGTACAATAACACAAAAATGAAAACTCAAAGTATTTAACGCCAACGCAAAATCAACAACATACAAATCTAACCTCGAACGCCCCGAACATACGAACAACTTTGGTAGTGTTTAATGCTTCGATAAAAATGGCAGTAACCTGTTAATTATAAAAATTTAAGTTTTAATTTCTAGTAGTGAAAAATATAAGAGTAAATTTAATATTGGGGTAATAAAGAATAATCCCACATAAAAACGTATTTTTTAACGATCTTAATAAAAATAGAAAAATCTAACGCGATTTTAAGATATATGAGATTTTAATATGCAAGAAATTTCAAGAGTCTTGCAAGATTTCTTGAATTCAAGATTTCTTGAAAGTTGGAAATGATAAATTTTTTTAAGCGATTTATTAGGTCTTTGCGCAAGTTATGCCGGGTTTATACAATATTTACATGGTCGTAATTACAATCATAGTCATAATCATAAAAGTTAAATTTTTCAATTCCTATAAACCTGTTGTCATCTACCACGAACTTAGCCTTTAATTATGTTACCCAACTTCACTGATATAAAAATTATGATTATGAAAATGTTCTATAAACGCACATTAAAATTGCGTTGTGATTATGACGATGATTAGGACTGTGATTATGATTACGACTTATTCAAATGTTGTATAAACCCGGCATTAATATTGACCAGTGTTCATTTTTTTTTCTATCATAGCCAGTGTTTTAGAGTTGAGAATGAAATAAAATAGAGTCGAGGCAACAAACCGTATATTGGTAATTGGTATTATACACAAAATTCTATTGGTATAATGGTATTATAAAAAAAATTAACGGTAGAAACCAATGATGGGTTCGTGGAGCACGCTATTTGCGCTATTTGGTACTACTTTTCATGCACGAAATTGCTCCGCGAACAAAAAGTAGTATCAAATAGCGCAAATAGTACACTCCAGCATGACCTTTCCGTATTCTTATTCAGCTTTTATTTAGTAATGGCTCCTGTTTCGCCAAACGGGCGAGTTGACGTAGTTCGTTTGCTGTCTGTTACGATTTTTTTTTCTAAAATTAGCATCGTTGTTGTTCATTTTTCCGTATTACATTTTGTATACGACGCTTTCTATAAAATAAAATATAGAAATATTATTAGCTTTTTGTTAGAATGCAACATTTTTCAAGACAAGAAATTTCAAGAGTCTTGCAAGACAAGGCAAGACTTTGCCATTCAAGAAATCTGCAAGATAAGACTTTGAAAATTTCTTGTCTTGAATTTCAGACAAGACAAGAAATTGATTTTCAAGACAAGAATTCTTGTCTTGTGCAACACTACTGTTTCTGGGGTCGAAGTTAAAATGCTTGCACTTATTTCTCGGACACCCTGTATAATTTTTATTTTTAATCCTAGTACTATTATCCTTTTTTCTTAGCTATGCCCCTACTCTACCCGATGTCCACAACTATCCAATATTCGGGTGCTGTGCCCTGGAAGTTGAAGTCGACATCTTAACCGGAAATCACCAAGTAACCAGGGTTGACGTCATCGAAGACGTAGGTCAAAGCATGAGCCCTTTGATCGACATAGGACAACTCGAAGGAGCCCTTGTTATGGGCATGGGATACCAGTCCACAGAAGAACTGATTTACGACACAAAAACCGGAAGATTGACAAACGACAGGACATGGAATTATAAGCCCTTCGGCGCTAAAGATATCCCTATAGATTTTAGGGTTAAATTCCCTAATAATACTTTTAATCCTGTTGGGGTTTTGAAGTCCAAGGCTATAGCCGAACCTCCTTTGTGTTTGACGGTTTCTTTAGCTTTGGCAATCAGGTTGGCGGTGGGTAATGCTCGTAGGGATGCTAATGCTACGGCGTCGACTTGGTATCCAATAGGTTGTATTTTGAATAAGATTAAGTATGCTTGATTTGAATATAATTTTCATTTTTTACAGACGGTCCATCTACAGTTGAAAATACGTTGCTCAATACTTTGAATAACTACACTCAATATACTTTGTAATTTAGTGTTTTATTAATAAACTTATATTTTTATCCTGTATATAAATTAGAATGTACTTGTTTATAGTTATAAAGAATTTTAAATGTGCTTAAATCTATCTACATAATATATTAATATATAAAATCCTGAAGTGACTGACTCACTGATTAATCATGATCCTGCTCAAACCATTCAACGTAAGAAGTTCAATTTTGGCATACAGGTTGTTTCTAGGGTGTAGGGTGTAGGGATTTTTCGAAATTCCGGTTCCAAGGGGGTGAAACCACCCCTCAAATATTACAATATTTTTTTATTTAAAAAACGGCCAAGTTTCCGAAAAAACGCTTAAACACGTATATTTTATTTTGTTTTTTTTACATATTTTATTCGAAAAATCTGGTCATTGATTAATAACGATCCTGCTTAAAGCGCTTGACGGAAAAAGCTGATTTTTGGAAAACGGATTGACTGTGGGGTGTAGAGGTTCGATAAGAAGGGGTTTCGCGAATTTCAAATTCCAAGAGGGTGAAAACGCCCCTCAAATATTACAATATATATTTGTTATTTAGGTTAGTCTTTCGGGAAAACGCTTGGACACGCATAATTTATTTTGTTTTTTACATATTTTGAAATTTTTAAAAAAATCATACAGGGTGTTCCAAAAAGTTGGGTAATTGATTAACCACGATTCTGCTTAAACTGCTTGACGTAAAAAGTTTATTTTTGGCAAACGGATTTTTCGAAAGTCAAATTCCAACGAGATGAAACTACCCCTCAAATATTACCAAGTTATATAATAATATTGCCATATTGTTTTTTCTCATGCTGACATAAATGTGAGAAAATTTTATCCAGTTTGTATGCTAATGGAAATTCTTGTTTTGCTTTTTCATCACCATTACAAATGATTAATTCGACGCTAACGAAGTGGCGGGTACACGCTAGTAAACTTTTTTTTTTATATTTTCACCCTGTATATAAATTAGAATGTACTTATTTATAGTTACAAAGGATTTTAAATGTACTTAAATATCATATATAATTCTTTTTGAAAGTTATATTTATCAATCTAAAAGTGTATCAAAATGTCAAATAGTTTATTTATTATGTTCATTTAGATCCTAAATAGATGTATTGTTTCTAGCAAAAAGTTAATTACTATTTGTTGATCATATTTTTTCACAGGAGTGTTATAAAAATTATTATGATCCCCATCATAAACCATAACGAATTGAGAGGAAAAGATAAACAGATCTGGCAGAGATCAAAAGATTTTCTACCTATCTATTATTTTTAATATCTTTATAATGGATATTGAATATAAACGGTTAGTTGTAAAGATATGTAATACCGTATAATAAAAAAATTAACCACTGTATTTCAAAAGTGAAACAGAAAACTCTAGAAAATAACTTATGATCGAAAAAAAAGGCGTCAAAGTTTTCAATAGGTTTGTTAGTCGAATATTATTTTAAAACAGACAACTAACCCGTTTCAAAATCGTTTTCAGTCAATCTAAAAATAAATTACAACCTTCCTAGGGACAACTAAAAATTTCAAAAAAAACTATTGCTGAGTTTTTTGGAAAAAACGGACTTTTTAGAAAATAATTTTTATTTTTTTCCCATCGTTACTTTTGAGAAAATCAAAAAACTAATTGCTTATTCTCATAGCCACTTTATTAGGGCTATCTGATGGTATTTTCAGATTTTTAAATTAGCTGATAATTTGTGAGATACAGAGGCCAACTTAATTTTTTTAAATACGAACCTGCATTTTTTATTTCAGATTTTGAAAGAACTCGGTCTCCTGAGTACAATGATATGCCACACTTGATACTTTTTTTTTGGGTACCTTAATTTAATAATAACAAAACTATTTAATTGTTGTTTAAAATAATTTCAAATCCGACTCTGGTTTTTAATTTATTTAATCTGATTATATTCATCACAACAATATTGACCAGCGCTAATTAATATCGAATAAGGAAAATCAATAAAACTTGTTTTGGACATTTGAACACAATTTATTTAAGCAAATTTCAAGTCCGGCTCTTTTTTTAATATTTAATCTGTTCATCGTTACAATATTGATAATTGACTACGGAAAATCAAATGTAATAAAATAATAAAAATTAATATATATTAAATAATGTAAATATAATTTAATATAAACAATCAAATATCATTTCCCGGAAGAATGGAAATGGTAGAGCAGTATAATGGCCAGCGAGGATCCTGGACCTTTCGCTTTACTTGGCGTCATTTGTAAAGGGAAATCAATGCATTTCAACATTAAGAGTACAAAAACAATTAACAAGTAATAAAAAACAATTAAAGAGTACAAAATGTATTCGGAAGTATAAGAAGAAGGTCTGTTCAAAAAGCTATAAATAAGATTGAACGAAAAATAAATTTGTGCAATATTGAGGGTGGTAACCCTTTCGAACATGTAGAGCATTAGAAATATTGTATTGTAATATTGTACATATACAGGGTGTTTCAAAACAAATGCGAAAAACTTCAGGGGGTGATTCCTTGTTCAAAATAAAGGGTAGTTTGCTTTATAAACGTTGAGTCAAAAGTCAACCATTAGGGAGATATCGCGGTACAAAGAAAACGAAAAGAGATAGACTAATGAAATTTTATGGAAGCATTACTGTTATGAAAACACACTTTCTGGTAATTTTTTCACTTTTTTAAAATGAGTGGAAGGGGTTGAAATAAACTACCTCTATCATTCTTGTTAACGAAATTTAAAGAAAAATCTTATCAAACACATGCAAAAAAAATAATTTGGATAGTTTAGTTTGTTTAGAAACTTTTTTATCTCTTGTATTTTTTTTATAAAACTCACCGATTTGAAATTAAAAAATAAAATGTAAAGCATTACATGTCAGGACTAAAAATATTTTTAGATTAAGAATCTAGTGATAATAATGATAATAATAATAATCTAGATAATAACGTATTGCAGTAGGGTAATGTCAAATAAAACAATAATAGAAACATCCTAAAAAGTGACAGCGGCCGACTAGATTTTTTATCTAAAAATGTTTTTTGTCTTGACATGTAATGCTTTACATTTTATTTTTTAATTTCAAATCGGTGAGCTTTATCAAAAAAACACAAGAGATAAAAAAGTTTCTAAATAAACTAAACTATCAAAATTAATTTTGTTTGCATGTGTTTGATACGATTTTTCTTTAAATTTCATTAACAAGAATGATAGGGGTAGTTTATTTCAACCCCTTCCACTCATTTTAAAAAAGTGAAAAAATTACCAGAAAGTGTGTTTTCATAACAGTAATGCTTCCGTAAAATTTCATTGGTCTATCTCTTTTCGCTTTCATGATAAAAAATAAAAACATTATTTTTTCGCCATCTTTGTACCGCGATATCGCCCTAATGGTTGACTTTTGACCCAACGTTTATAAAGCAAACTACCCTTTATTTTGAACAAGGAATCACCCCCTGAAGTTTTTCGCATTTGTTTTGAAACACCCTGTATATTATATAAGTTGATTTATTTATAATAACTACGATTAATATTATACATATTATAAGATCGTACACTGAGATTTCAAATTCACAATAAAAAAAGTTAAAAATAATAAATATCTTTAAATTGCTGATCTGGACATTAATTATTTGAATCTTTCAATTGGCGTGAATTTTCTTATTCAATGTTAATTAGCGCTGATCAATATTGTTATGCTGAATATAATCAGATTAAATAAATTAAAAAAAAACAGAGTTGGACTTTTAATTTTTTTAAATAACAATTAAATAGTTTTGTTATTGTTAAGGTATCCAAAATATATATCATTACACTCAGAAGACCGAGTTATTTCAAAACCAGAAATAAAAAATGCACGTCGGTATTTAAAAAAATTAAGTTGGTCTCTGTATCTCACAAATTATTAGCTAATTTGAAAATCTAAAAATACCATCAGATAATCCTAATAAAGTGGCTATGAGAATAGCCACGTACCTCGAATTTGTAGCACCCTGTATATTAGCGAGAGTTTCTATATAAATCAACTACAAAACTACAAAACAATCGTGCTGAAGCCGCTTCTAAGGCCTGCTTCTGCTGTTTATTATTTTTGTGAATATCTTGTATATTAATGGTAGTAGGCTTATTGGTCTACAGTTTCTGATGTCTTCTTTGCTGCCTTTCTTATGAATTAGAATTATATTGGCGCTATTCCCGTATTGGCCTACCGTTTATCCGTCCAAGAATCTACAGGGCAAACTCCAGCCAGCATCGTTAAGGGACGGGAAGTGCGCCTACCCTGTGATCTGAAGTTTGGTTGCCGACCGGGAGAAGAAGTCGCTGGAAAAGATTATGTCCACAGACTATGTCAAAGGATGGACGACATCCATCAGCGAGTCCGCCTAAATATTCAAAGCGCTAGTGACCGAATGAAGGAGCACTACGACATTCAAGCTGAACATGGAGGGTACCAACCAGGGAATTTGGAGTGGCTTTACAACCCGCACAGACGTCGTGGATTATCTCCGAAGCTACAATCCTCGTGGGAAGGCCCATACGAAGTCATGGATAGGATTAATGACCTCGTATACCGTATCAGAAAATTGCCAAAAGGAAAACCGAGGATAGTTCATTTCAACCGTTTGAGCCCCTACCAAGGCGAAATAGAAGATCGTGGTGGGACCGTGAGAACCTGCAGTTTTGATCCCTCTGATTCCGATATGTCCTTTGACGACTTTATGGCCCGATACAACAGCAATGAGAAGGCTCACTATGGTGTGACCAAAGAAAAACAACGGAACCTCTTTTCCGTGCCTCCTGATTATTCGCTCGCTCACTGTGTGGCACGAGATTTGCGAATGTCCAGAGGAATCGTTGCGACGTTCAATGAGAAGTTTGGGCGTGTCGGAGAAATACGCCGACAGGATCCAGAAGTTGGAAGCGTCTTGAGGCTAACCGACAATGCGCATGGCCAAACAAGATACTTTTCTTCTACCTGGTCACCAAGGAATGGCCACCGACTTATCTCAATCTATGGAAGTCCCTGATTGAACTGAGAGAAGCCCGGCTAAACAACAACATTACACGATTAGCCATTCAGAAGCTGGCGTGTGGACTCGATGGTTTGAGTAGGCGTACAATTCGGAACATGACTGAAGTCTTGTTTAGATTTACGGGAATTGAGATCCTCGTTTGCTGCTACAACCCAAAGCTGAGATCGGACGAGAAAACTGTAGACTGCTATTTCTACCAGACTTCTCAATGTACCAGGGGCCAGCTTTGCAAGTACCTTCATTCATCGTGTACATCTCGGGATGAGCATGTATCTAAGAAGGGGGCAGTGTACATAAACCTACGCCTGGGGCCTGAGGAGGACAGAAATAAACAGATCGTTCGTCGCGTACAGTTGCCGCGCTAAATTCAAAATAAATTCCTTTTAGATAAATAGTAAATAAGTTGTAAATAGTTCTTTAAGTAGTTTTATCGTGATTGTTTTGTTACTTAGTGTAAAATAAATTGTGTTTAAATAAATTAGTCTTTCTATCCACACAGAACAGACGAAAAACGTAACAGTATGTTTTCTCTTTAGACAGCTTTGTAGATATTTGCTAGAATTTTCCAAGTTCCAAGTAAAAAGTCTATTTTTATTTAAACAAACAAGTACTTTAATTTTGTTTACTATAATCTATTTGCTGCATTTTTCATAGTTTTAATTCTCAAAAGTAAGCTAAATTTTCTAGAAATAGTTTATAGACCAAATAATCACAATTCACAATTGATGATGAACGATGTGCTTTCAGAACAATGAAATGCATTAGTATCAATTTATAGCCATTTTCCGTCAGCCTACTAATACAAATAATTTACAACAGATCAAAAAATACTTATCCTCTTAATCATCAATAATAAGTTTATTACTTTTACCTTAAAAATGTGCCAGCGTCTCATTTTTTCACATAATTCAATAGATATTCAATGAAGTCACACCTTTTAATATTAGCGTTAGCCGTAACCCTCTCTCTAGCAGAGAGGGTCACCTATAACAATTACAAACTCTACAAAATCATCCCCAAAGATAAGGAAGCTTTACATGTGCTGAAAAACCTAGAAAAACAGTCTACCGATTTCTCTCCCTACGATTTCTGGAGTGATCCAGCTCACGTGAACCAACCGGTGAGCCTGATGGTATCTCCAGACTTCCAACATACAGTCGAAGATATGTTGAAACCCCTGAACGTCACCAAAGAGGTGGTTATACAGGACGTCCAGAAAGTGTTCGACGCTGAAAAAAGGTCTCTTGGAAACGAACTGAATCCAGTGAATTGGACCCTTTACAACACTTTAGAAGAGGTAAATAAGTATATTAAGTTTTAAGGAGTATACAGAGTGGTCCAAAGTGTCATAGGGACATCTTATTCTACAGATAAAAATATGATAATTTATATACGTCCAAAAACGTTCTCTGTTATAGATTAATAACTGGCTGGAAGATTTGGCAGTGGAATTCAGTGAATACATCACTATTTTAAAACCGGGCAAATCACATGAAGGTCGTGATATTGTTGGGGTGAAACTTGACTTGACCCCAGAAACGGCAGACAAGGAGGTTGTTTTTATGGAGGCAAACATCCATGCTAGGGAATGGTAAAATTTTATTTATAATACTCTATAATAAAAAAGAAAAAAAAACAGTGTCACAGTAACCTTTGATTTTTTTTTCAAGAGCCACTGTGACGCCGTTTTTTTTTTAGATTTTTACAAAAAGTACTTTTTTGTACCTAATGAACTGTTTTCTTTTTTGTATAGGATTACTTCAGCAGCCACTACTTACATTTTAAACGAATTTTTGCGTTCAACAGACGAGAATGTTCTTGCAGTCGCTCGGAGATACGTATGGTACTTCTTCCCAGTCATGAATCCTGATGGTTTTGAGTACTCTCATACTACTGTAAGTACAATAATACTGATTATTAAAACTAATATTTTAGTACAAGAAGCATGAAGAAGTTTTTTAATGCTTGAATTGTTATAAATTGTTTCTTGGTTCTTCAACAGCGAATATCTCCAACAAAAATAGGGCTATTGAGTTAAATAAAAAAATAAACTATCGACAAAAAATGTACCTTGATGATGTAGTAGTTTTTGAATTACTCACTATGTTAAACCATTCTACAGGGTGCCTCAGACTTTCTATAATACAACAACATTTTGTTTTCCCTCGTATAATAGACAGATAGAGACATAGAGACTCAATTTACTAAAAGTGGACTAAAATAAGTAAAATCCGTCACCGTAAGTGACCAGTTCCTGTTCCTGACCAGTTCCACCAAACAACTCTCTTTCGGAGCGCAAAAAAATACTTTTTCAGATAGTTACACCGATTTAAAATTTTGAATATTATTTATTAGTTCTAGCAAATCCTTATTCTAACAAAAATATGATAGATAATATAGTAAAAAATTGCTAAAGGGGAATTTTTCATTTGACGTTTAAGTTAATGTAAACTTGATAAATAATATTTTTGAAGTTTAATCGATTAAAAAATGCAGGCACGGCTATCATAGAGGAATACACAAAACTGTTTAACATTATATTAAAACATAAGAAAATACTAGAAGAATGGAAACAAAGTATAACAATACCCATTTTTAAAAAGGGAGATAAAACAGACCCGGCAAACTATAGAGGAATAACATTACTGAGCACCTCGCTAAAACTTCTGACTAAGATCATTGCGGACAAAATCTCCTCAACAGTGCCAATAAGCGAGGAACAACAAGGATTCCGAAGAAACCGATCAACTACCGATGCACTATTCATACTCAGGCAACTAGTTGAAAAATCCTTAGAATATAACTCTCCAGCCTATCTATATTTTATAGATTTAACAAAGGCCTTTGATAGAGTCCAACTAAAAGACATCATCACCATCTTGGAAAGCAGTAATGTCTCGAAAGAACTCACAGAACTTATCAAGGATTTAAACACAAACACAACAATCCAAATAAGAACAAACTTTACCTTAACGCAGCATCGTCGAACTACAACTGGTATTCGCCAAGGCGACAGTCTCAGCCCTCTGTTATTCAACACAATCATGGATCAAGTAATAAAAACCGTCAAGAATACTGGATTAGGATATCGAATGGGAATGCATAAAGTTATTATGTTATGCCGATGACGCAGTACTTATTGCAGAGTCAGAGGACGACCTCCAAAGAATGCTACAAGCTTTTAACAATTACAGGACAATAACAGACAGGCAGAAAAACTTAACATGCAAATTTCCACAAATAAGACCAAATGCATGACCACTACAAAGAAGCCTCTACGGTGCAAATTGGCAATAAAAAACAAAACTATTGATCAGATAATGTCATTCGAATACCTCGGATGCAAAATTACAAGCTCTGGGTTCCTGGAAGAAGAAGTAAGGAAACAAGCCAATAAAGCTGCCGCAATATCAGGACATCTTAAATATCCCATATGGAAAAACAAACATTTGAGTACAGAATGTAAGACAAGAATATACAAAACCTGCATACGACCAGTGGTGACATATGGTGCGGAAACCAGAGCTGAAACATCAGTAACAAAGAGAATCCTACGAACAACTGAAATGAAGACCTTAAGAATGATAACTGGATACACATTGAGGGACAGACAGAGAAATGTAGACATAAGAGAAAAGTGCCAAACAAACGACGTTGTCAGATGGATAAGGCAGAGAAGAAGAGAATGGAACCAGCATGTCAATAGAATGGGCCCCGACAGAATGGCCATAATAATTCGCAACAACATACCCCATGGCAGAAGACCTACTGGACGACCACCTAAACGTTGACAAGACAGTTGGCAGTCAACCTCGCAAGAGTTGCTTAGACGAGAAGGAAACCGGAACTAAACAGGCGATATGCCTTCTAAAAGAAGAAGAAGAAGAAGAAGAAGAAGAAGAAGAAGAAGTTTGATCGGTCTAGGGATGGGGGGTAATTACCCCCATTACCCCTCCCCTAAATCAGCGCTTGCTGTAACTGTATTTTTTGTGACGTTGCTTATAATAAAGTATATTTGTATTTGAAATAATTTAGCTACAAATTGCTTAAAAAATCATCAAAATTGTTCCACTAGAACTAAATACAGGGTGGTCCAAACTGGATTCCGGAAACATTGGCAGCATATTCTGCAGATAAAAACAAGTAAAAAAGTTCGTATAAATGTATGTTTTAAATTGCTTAGTTTCGGAGATACAGGGTGGGTGTAGAAGATTCATTTTTATTTCGATTTTTTCCAAATAATTTCTGAAGTAACATCAATATTTGGATGAAAATTGGTGTCTGGGAGTTTTTTGACATGAGAAATTTGATTTTGATGTCAATATGACTCCAATTTGTAGGGGGCGCCACCCATATGTGTTTTAACTGTTTTGACGAGTGATAACTTTTCGTCCCTACCTGTATAAAAGTACTGAGTGAGAAAATATACATTTCCGTGATCTTTTACGTAAAAAATATCTCTTGGTAAAAATCGCTATGAGCAACCGTTCTCAACTTTTTATTTTTGAAGTTTAGTTAATCACAAATTTTTCTTCGAAAAAACTCCGGTCTCTGTAGAACGATTCCTTGATCTCAGAAATCACTGAAAAACTTAATTGGCTACTCTGACAACCTTTTTTTTTGCTTTAAACACTAGAATCGTCTATGGCGCAAAACCCGTACGCGCTACAACATTTTCTGCTGGGGTGCCGATCCCAACAGGAACTGGGACAGCATGTGGATGGTCACCGGTGCTTCCCAGAACCCGTGCTCAGACATCTATGCCGGCCCGGTAGCGTTTTCTGAGCCCAGCGTCAAGGTCATGAAGGATTTCATCGAGACCATCGCTGACAACATGGTGGCCTATCTCGATTTCCATTCGTTCAGCCAGATGTTGCTGTTGCCTTACGGTCATACCACTGAGCATTTGGATAATTACCAAGAAATGGTAGGTATATGAAACTTTACGTTTTATACAGGGTGTTGAACATAGAAAATCCCACGTAAATTTTAAAAATTATGAATAAGGTTTTCCCATTTCATTTTAGAGAAAAACATTTTTGAAACTTTTTAAAGAACCCTACGTTTTTCACACTTGTTCAACAATAATTAATTCTTAATGTTTGGAATACTTAAATGACTTAAAATTAGGCTTCTTCAAAATTCATCTAGCTATAGTACGACATTTTTGCACATTTTTTTTTGAAAAACTTAAAATAATCTATTATTTCTTTTCAAGTTTTTAGCCATACTGTATATAATATTTCTGTTTTGTAGAGAGAGATTGGTGAATATGCTTTGGGAAGATTAACATCACTTTATAACACTGTTTATACTATAGGAAACGTGCCAGAAATTCTATGTAAGTACATTTTTTTAAACACTATGTACACAGGGTTTGGTTTGGCAGCATATTATGCAGATAAAAATAAGTAAAAAAGTCCGTATAAATGTATGTCCTAAAATGCTTAGTTTCTGTGATACAGGTGTAGTTTTACTTTTATTTCGATTTTTCCAAATAAACTTCTGTAGCAGCGCCAATATTTGGATGAAAATTGGTGTCTGGAGTTTTTTGTATTATTTTTTCCGGAATACAATTCGGACCACCCTGTATATTCTTGTTGATTTTCAGAACTGGGAAATTAAAATAACTTTGGTTGCACATCATAATACGACCACCAGCAAACTCTAATAAGACGACGCATGTGTCATTGATGACGTGCAATGAAAGTTGTTTTAATTTCCCCCTGTTTTATCAATTACTTATCACATCGAAATAGTGACTCGTTGTTTATAAATATACAGGTCATTTTTTCTATGTTTTTTAATTCTTCGTTTAATTTTTCTGAGAACATTATAAATTGGTTACTTTCAAGAAATTCAGGCGTCCGAAATAGTAAAACTCGCACTAAAATGTTATTTCTCGACCTTCTATGACGTTGTTTTTTTTCGAAAACATGTACTATTAGTTTTAAATGTACTTTTATTACTTGTAGATGAAGTGTCTGGTAGCAGTATGGACTGGGTGAAAGCTACTTTCAAAACTCCCATAGTCTACTGTTGGGAGCTGAGAGATTTGGGTAGCTACGGTTTCGTGCTGCCAGCTGAACAAATTATACCAACATCGATAGAAACTTTGGAATCGGTTATAGCGATTTTTGAAGCATACGTAGATCGATCGTTGCTTGACAATAATAATTAATTATATTTATATTTATACTAACTAATAAGTATTTTAAATATAATATTAAATATCCAGTACTATTTTTCTTTAATTTTTTTATACCCAAAAATTACTAGTTCCTATTCTATCCAACTATTCATTATCATTCATCATCATATTCAGCGTATTCAATAATTTTCAATTATGGTGCAGCCTCCTTCACATATTTAGATTCTATCTTTGTAGTTGGGCCCATTGGCTGCCTATTGTTGGCTATGCAAGCCCAAGTTATCGCTGCTAATTTCCTAATGTCATGGTCCCATCTCAGGTTCGGCCTTTTTCTTGGTCTCTTAATTCCTGGGTACCATGCTGTAACTTTTGTGGTCCATCTGTTGTCCGTCCTTCTTGCCAGGTGTCCGCCCATTGCCACTTGAGAGATTTGATTTTGTGGATGACGTCTATTATTACCTGGGTCTTTTTCGTATCCACTGTATTCTTTTACGGTCTTTTTTGGTTATTTCCAGCATATATCGTTCCATCGAGCATTGTGCGATCTGTAGTTTCCTTATAATATCCGTTTTAAGGTTGATTCACATTCAGGGGTGGATGGGCCATATGGGAAAACGGGAAAATGTTCCCGGTGGGCCGGTCCTGATCAGAGCTCAAAAAAGATTGGATTAGCAAAAATTAAATGCTTAATCTTCTAACTAAAGTGACGTAAGATTCTTAGTGACTCCATAACTAACTAATCAATTTGCATCAGTAATCAGTATGATCGTCAGATGCTTTTAAACATAAACACCAATTTGTAAAATAACTATTGTAAGATCTTTCTCTGGGACACTTATAATTTTAATAAACATTTATTGTTTGTTCGGTTTGAAAATTTTTATTATACAAGGTGAGTCTATAAGTGCAAATATTGTCAGGGCTGGTAGATCTCAATAAAAGAAACATAATATATTCTTTACCGAGTTTCAAATAAGTCCAATCGAGTTATTAAAGTTTGGAAATTAAAAAAAAATATAGATTTATTTTTAAATAAATTTGAGCCACCTCAATTTTTCGGTATTTGCATCTCTTTTAGTGTCGTAATATCAGAGAATAAGAAACTATACCGTGGGAAAATTTGCGGTGAACAGGAAGTTCAAAAAAGTTTAGGAAAATTTAAAAGAAAATGCTCGATTTGAAACATATTTTTTTTGCAAGAAAAACCTCATAGACGTGTTCCTGGGGTCGAAATATACCACCCCTGAAAATATTTGCACTTATTTAAGACCCACCCTGTATAGTTTTACTACGTCCAAATTATTTTATTAATAACTAATAAATATGACTGACTGGCAGCAGAAAAAAAATGAATAGCATTAGGTAAATTTAAATAGTCTCGATCTAAGTGTTTTATTTTTCTCTACTAAGAATACGGTAGCGTAGATTGACAACTGAGGGCCTCGGTGCAATATTTTTCGAGCTCCCTTTTGTAAAAACGTAGACGAATTTGACGCGAACTCTGCGGTTGACAGAGAAAACATAAAGATGACTATCTCTATGCTTGGCTTGAATTGGGAACGGCCTAAAAGCCAAGTCTAAATTGTTGTTTATAATGTTGCTAAAATGAATTTACTAAAAATTACTGAGACAGCAGAGAAGAGTTAAAAAAGGTTTAAACTAGATTAGATAATAAAAGCAAAATAAAAAACACTAAATCACCACAATACACCAAAACACTTTTACTTTTACACTGGACGCGCGTTTCGCTAACCATGTTAGCATCATCAGCAGATGATTATAAACTAAAGTACAATCTACAAGTTGAGCGTTTATATACTCGCCCAGTGGACACCGAGTGGGCGTGGCAAAATCTAGCCAACCGAGTCAGAGCCAACTGAGCGTAACAGTTAGATTTCCGCCACTAGAGTAGTAGGAACAAAGAACTTGAAGGAATTGGACCGTTGACTCTGTTCATACTATCTTTACATTTATTAATTCTGATGCTTTCATATGCATCTAATTGCCTGTAATTTGAGACTTGTTTAATTAATTTTAAATTATTAAGATCTATACTATGTTCATTATCAACAATATGTTCGGCAACGCAAGATTTATCCGGTCTACCATATCTTATCTGAGCTAAATGTTCTTTAAATCTAGTTAATATTGATCTTCTAGTTTGCCCAACATATTTCTGATTACAATCTTTACAAGAAATTTCATAAATACCTCGACCTTTCCAGTGGAGGTGTTTTATCCTTTGATTACCTAATAATTGTTGTAATTTATTATTAGCACTATACACAAGTTTATAATTGACATTCTTAAAAATTCCTTTTAGACCACGGGATAACTCTCTATCAAACGGTATCGAAAAATATTTAGACGTATCTCCGTAAAACACCTCCACTGGAAAGGTCGGGTATTTATGAAATTTCTTGTAAAGATTGTAATCAAAAATATGTTGGGCAAACTAGAAGATCAATATTAACATTTAGCTCAGATAAGATATGGTAGACCGGATAAATCTTGCGTTGCCGAACATATTGTTGATAATGAACATAGTATAGATCTTAATAATTTAAAATTAATTAAACAAGTCTCAAATTACAGGCAATTAGATGCATATGAAAGCATCAGAATTAATAAATGTAAAGATAGTATGAACAGAGTCAACGGTCCAATTCCTTCAAGTTCTTTGTTCCTACTACTCTAGTGGCGGAAATCTAACTGTTACGCTCAGTTGGCTCTGACTCGATTGGCTAGATTTTGCCACGCCCACTCGGTGTCCACTGGGCGAGTATATAAACGCTCAACTTGTAGATTGTACTTTAGTTTATAATCATCTGCTGATGATGCTAACATGGTTAGCGAAACGCGCGTCCAGTGTAAAAGTAAAAGTGTTTTGGTGTATTGTGGTGATTTAGTGTTTTTTATTTTGCTGTGTAACACCAAAGGTTCCAACCCTCAACTGTAGATAATAAAATATTAATATGTCTCAAAAATCCAAATATTCTTATTATGGACTGTAACATAGAATTACGTCAGAACACATTTATATCCACTGCCTAAGTATTGGCTAGGTTATTTTCGTTTGAGTCATGACATTATTATACAAGATGCCAAATGTAGAAAAGTTAAGAGGAACAGTTTCGTGATAAGAACTATATAATAACCTAAAAAATGCAGCAGTTTTAATGGTTCATTCAGTCAAAAATACCTATACATGACGAGGCTGCTGCTGTACCAGAAAAGAGGGAAATTAATAATTCTTCTGTTGATTTCTGGTAGTAGAGATCCTGGGGTCTCTACCCTGTATACATAATTAAAAAAAATATATTGGTCACGTCCTTATCAATTTTCTTATCTAATATTTTGCAAACGACACCAAAGTAGTGACAGACATCTTGAAAACGTTTTAATTTTTGTTTTGAAGTACTTTTCTTATCTTCATTCATTCATTTCTGATAGTATGATTGATTACAATTATTGATTACAGATTAAAAATTCGTATAATGAAATATCATTTCCTTATAATTTACTGTAAAGGTGTAATATTAACTACTGGATGTTTATTACACCCAGATGCAAAAAAAACTGAACGGAAAATTTTTTGATCAATTTTAAAGTGTATTTTTTGTTATTATTAGCCCTATTTTCATGATTTTTTTAGAAAACTCTCTATAATTATATCAACTTTAATTCGTAAACTCAGTTTTTTTATAAACTTCAGTATTTGGCTATTATACAGGGTCAATCGAGGTTTTTTTTACCCTAACTTCAAAACACCCTGTGAAATAATTTCGTGTATAAATTTTCCTAAAATATAATTTCACGATCAGAATCATGTCTCAAGCATATGCATTTTGTTTTTTGATTCATGTCAATACATACTTTGGTTAACTTTTAAAAGCTTAATTTGCAATTTTTTCAATTATCATTACTTTTTGATGTAATCTTTTAATATGACGAGATGGTTTTGGTGACTATTGTCGTAACGTCATATTACGCTGCATTGGATACTCTATACTAAATTAAAAAAAAAGCGTTAAATACTAACGATACAGTCCTGGTTTTAATAAACATTAATAACGCTGACAGAACTAACAATATTAAAGAAAAAATCTGCAATACTCAATTATACAAACAGAAAAAAAAATGTAAAAAATATCCTAGTACTTTGTATTGCCTCCCTTGGCTGCCATAACTGCCTGTATACGTCCGTTCATACTGTCACAGATTAGGTATCCTATAAGTATACAGATAAAAATCTTGTCCCTAATTCGTGGTACGAAAATTGTTTTTTATGACGATGTGCAAACGAGTCAAATTTCCTGTGTGCAAAAATAAACTCGCGTAAAATAACAATAAACAGCGTAATAGAGAGATATCGCTAAACCGAATAGCGTACATGGACGTTAATAAGGCCAGGTGTTATTTCCTTTACGTGAGGTGCTATATTAACTCTCTTCATTTATAGTTATCGGATCGGAAAGAATTCTGTTCGCGTCGCGTTCGCTATTTAAACTTAACCTAACTTTGAATTTAAAGCTTTGAAATTGTTTTGTTTACTAGGTATTTTAAAACTAAAGGGCTAAAGTGCTTATTTCCAGTGCTTTATTGTTCAACGTCTGCCAGTGGGTTTAGGGCAACAAGTAACAAATTCTCTTTAGGGCTAAGTCATCATCTGCTGTAAACCTAAGCCTCTTTATAGGTTCTTTAATATTGGAAGAGGTGGAATCCATATTTTGGGCCATATTTATTTAATTAAAACTAATCCCAGCTACTTAAATATCTAATTACCTAATAAAACTAAAGTAATAATTCAAAACAATTCAAACATAACCTAAAATAAAAGAACTCGCCGGCCGGCCCCGGTTGTCAAATACCCGCAGATGCCCATTAAAGCAATTTTTAAACGTTATTTAGAAATAGCGCTTGTTGTAATTGATCCGCAAATTACGTTAGGCGGTAACGTTATTAGCGGGTGTTGCGTTAAAAATTGACTCGCGCATATCGTAACCATGATAAGGTACGCGTAAATACAGCATGACGCTATTCGGTTTTCCGATATCTCTCTAATAACTGTGCCTGTCAGGCGCTGTGCACAATTTTAGAGGCCATAAATGGGCGTGCTATGTGCGCAAACTAGTAACCTAACTAGTGCCCGATTCCGAAAATTGGAACCACGAAAAACAATAAAGAAAAAACAAAGTTTATAATCGGTATAATCTGTGGTATAACCAAAACAATTTATTTCAATATTTTGTAGAAGTTCATTTGTCCTAAACATTTGTTTGGAGTTGGAATTTATATATTCCTTGTATGCCCTAGATTGATTGATACCTATGCATTAGATATGTAAACCCATTGCATTTATTACCATATCAAATAACATTTTATTTCTCTATACATTTGTCCACATTCGTACCTTTGAAGTACCTACACAATATCAAAATTCAAGTGGATTAAATTAAACTACAGTATTTTTAAAATAAACAAGTGTTATGTGTTCTGTGATGTCATTGTGCTTTTCAAAAATATAATATATGAACTTGTCTAACTTATTCCTAGTGCATTACCGTCTTAGAACCCTTCTAAGATGAAGTTCCTCCTTGTGGCTTTGGCGACCGTAGCTCTCAGCGCTACCCTAGCTACCTCAGACAAAGTCAGATATGACAACTACACTTTGTTTAGGTTTGTACCTAAAACAAAGGCTATGGTACAAAGTCTGATCGATCTGGAATCAGCTCCACTGTCTGGATATCATTTCTTCAGGTAAGAAAAATATTAATCTTCTATAATATGTCGTCATGATCATAGCCTAATTTCTTATACTCTAATTCTGGGTTTGTTTTTTATATCATTTCTCTTGCTTTAGATTCTTCTATAATATATACAGAACAATAATTTGAAAAGTAGTAATCAAAATTTTAGTACCTTTAAAAAAAACTATTTTGTAAACAACACAAAATATATTATATTTTAGTCCCATTCAAGGCGAGGCACAACCTGTGGATGTTTTAATATCTCCAGACCACCAAGCCGAATTCAAAGCTATCCTGGAAGAGAACAATATTGAAAGTGAAGTTTTGGTGGAAGATATCCAGAAATCCATTGACAACGAAGGATTTAGACCCGATACATTGGCTGGATCTTTCGACTGGAGAGCATACCATACTTTGGATGAGGTAAAATATACTAAAAAATACTATTAATTTATTTAAATAATTTTTGGATGATTTGAATGATTTTAATTTTTGAGCTAAAATATCGATAATTTATGCCCGTCCCTAATGTATCGATATTTTGAAAATGTCGATATTTCTAAACATCTCTATTTATATTATTTCCGTTTATAGAAAAAAAAAACATTATTGATGATATTTCATAAAGAATTTTGTTCCTTTTAGATCTATGGTTGGTTAAGGAGTATTGCAAGCTCGTACCCTGACAGAGTTACTTTACTTTACGGCGGTTCTACAGGCCAAGGACGTGATATACTGGGCGTTAGGATATCGCATAACCCAGCCAATGCGGAACGTATAGTGTTTATTGAGGCTAACATCCATGCCAGGGAATGGTAATGATTTTTTTCTGGTTATAGTTAAAAGAGATTGTTTCAATATTAAATATAAATTTTCAGGATTACTTCTGCTGTAGCTACTTTCATCATTAACCAACTGATTGGCAATACCGATGCAGAAGTTCGTCATTTGGCGGAAAGCTACGATTTTTATGTATTCCCTGTATTCAACCCCGATGGATTTGTTCACAGCCATACAACAGTAAGCATCTTTATTTAAACTATAATGCCAATTTTCCGAAAAATTTTGATACTTTTAAACTATTTTGATTATTTTAAAAATATCGATACTTTTAAACATTTCTATTTTTATTTATTTTGCGGATTGGTTCATAGCCATACAACACTAAGCATCTTTATGTAAATCTTAATGTCAATTTTCCGTTACATATCGATATTTTTTACGCCATTCCTAACGATAAACTTTGTAGCTATCGATATTTTAAAAATATAAGTAGTTCTGAACATTCTTATATTTTAATTGTTATTATTTTTCACTATATGTTACAACAGTAAGCATCTTTATATAATCCATATTTATATGAATATTTTGCTAAAACTTTTTTTTTTTGCCCTAACGAATCGATATTATGAAAATGTAGATAATTTTCTATTTTTATTTATTTTGCGGGTTTGTTCATAGCAATAAAACAGTCAGCATCTTATCTATGTAAACCTGTATGTCAATGTTCCGTAAGATATCGATATTTTTCGCACATTCCTAACGTATCAATATTTGTTAACCAACTTCTCCACATTCCTATTTTTTATTTATTATTATTTTACGAATTTTTGATCACAGTCATACAACAGTAATATCTTTATACAGTATGTCCCCGGATTGTTGTCTTTTGTTTGTTTGTTTGTGTACCTTGTTTGTTTACTTCGTTTGTTTAGTTTACCTTTGTCAGGGGCGCATATACGGGAGGGATAATGGGGGTAATTACCCCTCCCAGGAAGAAATTTATAAATAAGAAAATCTGGTACAAATTAAAGTTGTCATAAAATAAATTAATAATATCAATCAAAATAGAAATCTAGAACAATCTAAGTTTATTTTTTCCATAGTCACAATACCTTTAAGAGAAAATGTAATTTAAATCTATTACCTTATTTAAATATTGCCACTACCCCTCCCAGACTCACTCTCTGGATGCGCCACTGACCTTTGTCTACAAATTGAAAAATTTTTTTTACAATAAAGGCATTTATTTATTTATTTATTTATTTGTCTTTACAAGAATAAAAACTTTTTTATTGATGCTATATTTTTCGTAAATATTTTTGCTTCTTCTGAAACTCTTCTTCTTCAAAGTTATCTTACCATAGACCATAGAAACGCCTTATGATTTTTAGGACTTTTAGGAAAAAATTCAACTAATATTCCCATGTTTTCTTTTTAATTTTGTCTAAAACAGTATGGAAATTTGAAAAAATCTAAACGGGATTAACTATTTTAGAACAAACAAAAATTGATATAAAGAATGCATTTTTTTTCAAAATGTCAATAATAAAAAACTTTTTCTTTTTGTAAATTCGGGGTCATACTGTATAATCCATAATTTTTATGAATATTTTGCTAAAAATTAGCAAAATATCGATAATGTATGCCCATCCCTAACGTATCGATATTTCGCAACTATCGATATTTTAAAAATATCGATACTTCCAAAACATCCCTACTTTTATTTTCGTTTTTAGAACCGTTTATGGAGAAAAACTCGTACCCAGTACAGCATATTCTGCTACGGTGCCGACCCTAACCGCAACTGGCCTTACCAATGGATGACAGGTGGCGCCAGCAACCAACCGTGCTCTGACACCTACGGTGGTCCAGCTCCATTATCCGAACCATCCACTCTTTCTACTTCTAACTTTATTAGATCGATAGGAAGGAACCTGGAAGCTTATATTAGCTTGCATTCATACAGCCAGATGCTTTTATTGCCATACGGGCACACCACAGCCCATTTGGACAACTATGACGAACTGGTAAATTTCTTTTTTGGTTGAAGAGAGGTATATTTTTGATGTTATTTTTTTATGTTTTAGATGCTTATCGGTAGACAAGCTATTCAGGACTTGTCCAGAAGATACGGCACTCAGTACGTTGTAGGAAACATTGCTGAAACCATATGTGAGTAAAACTTGAAGATTTTTATTAGGAAAATTATAGTTAATTATTATACAGGGTGCCCCAAAATTCCGTGGGCATAGAACTACTATACCGGGTGCGTCTCAAAAGTGGCTCACCCCTAAACTTTTTTATTTTTTCAGATAAAAAAACGAGATTTGGTATGTTAGTATATGCCACAAATTAGGATTGATTGACGTATTCAGTTGTTTTCGATCACTTCCTGTTTCACCAAAAATGACAACAACTTTTGATTTTTAAATGGCACCCTCGGTATTTTTTTACTTTATTTGATAGAAAATGACATTCTGAATAGAATGTCATATCATATGTCAACTTTTGACATTTTCGCTTAATAAAAAATCGTATTTTAAAATTCAATCTAGAGTGTCATGGCTATGTTAAAAACACTAATTCTTAATCAAGGAGCCTTGGAAAAATAGATTTGGTTGTCTAATGTTTTTAGTGACTTGTCCTGGCCAGTTAGAAAATGCTCAAATTTTATTTTTAATCATATCTCAAGCATTTTTTTACGTATAATTTGATACCACACACTTGGTATTTCGAGTCAAATTTTCGTTACGAACCGTAAGTTATAATTTCAAATAAACCATATGCGAAAATGTCAAAAGTTGACATATGATATGTCATTCTATTAAGGGTGTTATTTTCTATCGAATGAAGTAAAAAAAATACCGAGGGTGCCGTTTAAAAATCACAAGTTGTAGTCATTTCCGGTGAAACAGGAAGTGACTGAAAACAATTGAATACGTCAATCAATCCTAATTTATGTCGTATAATAACATACGAAATTTCGTTTTTTTAACTGAAAAAATAAGAAAATTATAGGGGTGAGCCACTTTTGAGACACACCCGGTATATTTTTGAAATTAAAATAAGTTCAATGGATACCATTTACCTATCCGCCAATCTATAGCTTAATATTCATCAAGCTATACGGGGTGTCCCAGAAATAAGTGCAAATATTTTAACTGGTAGTATAGTTCAACCCCAGAAACACCCCTATGAGTTTTTTTCGCGAAAAAAATTTTGAAAATTCGAAATTTTTTGAAAAATTTTTTGGAATTTTTTTTAGTTTTTAGTTAAAAAACATAATTTCTTGATAATATTGCAACATAGATATTAGATTAAATTTACAAGAAAGAAAATCTAGAAAAGATCCAGTTGCTCTCAAAATTTTAGCAAAAAATCATTTTTTTTAAATTTTCACTTATAATATCACAAGAGCTTAAATTATTTTCGGAAATTTCTTTGAGGGCACGAATTAAAAAATGACTTATTTGAAAAACGGCAAAGAGAAAATATATTTCTTTTATCGAGATCTACCACCCCCTAAAATACTTACACTTATTTCTGGGACACCCTGTATATCAAGAAAGAATAACTACCGTTATTCATTCAATAAGACGAAGACCTCTTGTTGTTATTGCTGCGAGAGATGGACATACAGGCTATTAAAATTATTATAAAAATATTGTTTTTGTCAATGAAACAATCTCTGAAATCAAACACTTTATTTAAAAATGTGTAGCTCATGCAAGAATTTGTCAAATTTTTTGGGTGGCAGAATTGAGTATATTTCCTTTTCAGTATTAATAAAGATTCCATTTTTATTATTAGTAATATTTAATTTCAGATGTTGCTACTGGTGGCAGTATGGACTGGGTTAAGAACGAATTCCAAGTACCAATCAGTTACACCTACGAATTACGGGATTTGGGTCAAAATGGGTTCATTTTACCGGCCGAGGAAATTATTCCTACAGGCTTGGAAACTTTGGACTCTTTGGTGTCCATCTTTAGGTCATACGAACTCCTTCATCCCAGAACTGATTCCGAATAGATTTTGATTGTATTGTGGCTAGATGTTAGTGAATAAATCTTTATTGTGATATGAGAACTATCTTTTATTTTTTTATACATAAAATAACTATTTTTTGACAGTTAATTTTATTTTATTGAAGAGTAGATAGAATTTTTATGTTTCTGAAAAGTGTCTGATTATTTTTATCGCGCAGTAGATATGTTTTATCAAGAATTATTGTGACTTTAATCGATAATAGATAAAAATATTGAAAACTGCAAATCATTATTAAAGAACCTTGAAATCATTATTGAAACGTATATAAAAATACCGAAAATTTGAGAATGACAAAGCAAAAAATATATTTATTTTTATCTATATAGATAAAAATTTATAAATATTTATATCTCTACAGGGTGAGTCTCAAATAAGTGCAAATATTTTCAAGTCTGGTAGATCTCGATAAAAGAAACTTATTTTCTCTTTACCGTTTTTCAAATAATTACAAAAGAACCCAGTTATTTTACTTTGAAAATTCCACACCTGTAATTTTTAACCAATCAAAACCTGTTTTTTTTTGACCAATCACCATGGCAACGGATAAATTTTAGTGGAAATTTATCCTTGCGAGCACCCAACAGCGAATTATACTGGAAATTTTTTGACGTTTATAATGACAGAATATCTTTTTGAGAGTCTGGTTTTTATTTGTTTACATAATAATTTTGATACATTTCAATTACAAAGCTGAAATGAAAGTTTGTAAACTGCTTCCATACGCTTGACTTGGATTTCCTAGTATTCGAGGGTGTCAACTGCTTAATCTCTTGGCGAATATTTTCTTTGCTTTCATGACCGAAGCGAAACATTTTTTTTAAGCCGTGCCGCTTGACAGCTTCAAAAAAAAATTATTTTTTGCTTAAATTTTGAAAACCACTGGATCTTTTCTTGGTTTTATTTCTTGTAAATTTAATCTACTATTTTATATATCCTATATTGCCACATTTTTTCAAAAAACTCTAAATTTAAAAAAAAATCGCGCAAAAAACCTCATAATCGTGTTTCTGGCGTTGAAATATACTACCCATAGAAATATTTGCACTTATTTATATTTTTGCGCATTGTCATCTGGGGGCACGGCAGTATATTATTACAAATATTTGGCGTTGGAAGGGCGTTGGTTTCTATGTAATTTGACCAATAAATAAAGCTGTCTCTTTAGTTGTCAGTTTTGAGTCGATATTTTTTAATTCTCTTTCGTGTCGATTGCTGATTGAATTGCAGCCAGAAATGGCTCAAAACGAAATAAGTAAATTACCAACCACGGGGATGTCACTTGTATGGGAAAACAGGCAACAGTCAAATTTAAACGTGCCAGGACCAACGACAAAGAAAGCAACATCTGCCAGGCATTGGCTTTCTTTGTCACTCACATTGTTTAAATCATGATACCGCGGCCATTTTGCCAACAAAGAAGTTGACCGGGCTGTCCTGGCAAGTGATTTAAAACAATTTTGCTTTTTACAATATTAAATTACCATTTGGATGTATTTAATGCGATTATTCAATTAACTGGTAAGTCAGAAATTACACACAAATACTTTATTCGTAAATACAACTAAGATGTAAACGTAGTTTTGTATTTTTAGATTTCAACTTTTGCAAAGACCCGCCGATAGAACTTGCCTGGCAGCGTACCTGTTTAACTAAACGTATTATTTCCTGATAATAATATCAAAACACGTAAGTACCTCTATAATTTATGATGACAAATGATTTTGATTATGTTTTATGTTATTTAAATACTTTCTAACCTCAAATAATAGTAAGATCCTTGTTTATATCGCACAGCCCGTTCAAAACTGTATTGTCTTCAAAAAATGTTTACAAAACAAACAATTATTACAAAAACAATGTCCTTTTAATCTGATTTATACCTCAGAAGGATGCCAGTAAAATTTTATTAAATCAACATTATATTATTTGGCCATTAATATCCAAAAAGGAGCATATTGCCTTAACTTAAATTTTCTTTTACTTCTCTTGACAATGTTCTCTATATTCTCTATTTTGAGTTAGTAAACTTTTGAACGGGATGTGCGATATATAAAATACATAATATATCCAAGGGTATGATCTGATAAAAGTATTTTTTGATGCATTTTTTGGTTTTTTATGCACGTTGGCTTGGTTTATGTTTTATTCAGCTTATATTTATTTGGTTAACAGTTTTTTTTGCCTTTGGAATGGCATGCATTGAGGCTAGATAGTGTTTCATTAGACCATTAAAGAAATTTAAATTAGCATATATTTTTTGTGATGTTAGTGTGTTATCATGATACAGGTAGTTGTATCATAGTGCCTTATGCATGTTATTTACCTATTATATACTTATGTATTATCAGTAAATAGATGATAATATACTACTAAAATGTCTTTTTAATAGTATGTTTATCTGTCCAATTCACTAGTTATTTGCAAAATGTATTTTGAACTAATTTAAGTCATTAATTGATCATCTTTCTTTTTCAGGTTCCGGGATATTCTTTTTCACTGTTAAATATATATATATATATATATATATATATATATATATATATATATATATATATATATATATATATATATATATATATATATATATATATATATATATATATATATATATATATATATATATATATATATATATATATATATATATATATTTCAATATTATTGTAATATAAATCGCAGCTCTAAAAAATAAATGATATTGTTTACTAATGTGTAATTTATTTACTATGAATTTTCTCTGAAAATAATAAGCCTTTAATAATATTGATTTGCTGTGTAAAGTTAATAAAAATATTTTTTAATACATTAAATTATATTTAAGTAATAAAAAATATGTTTATTAACTTTAAACAGTAAGTCAGTGATTCTTATAAAAATATTTTTTTAAAAATTTTCCCTCTTTTAAGCCCCGCCCCTCCAATTCCCCTCAATTTAGCTAGTACTGCCAGGCGACACCAGGTGGCGTCTGTTTCCATTTTTTAACATGAAGTTAGCATTTCTTTAATGTACCTATTCTCTGGCTGTCTCTTTAGTTGTCAGTTTTGAGTCAATATTTATTAATTCCCTTTCGTGTCGATTGCTGATTGAATTTGAGCCAGAAATGGCTCAAAACGAAATAATTAAATTACAGATATTGAGGCTGAGGCGACAAACGCCCTATCCAAACTACTTCCATTAAAATGCCGAATAACTTATGAAAAGGAATAGAAAAATTTTCAAAAATGGAAGCAATTAAAAATCGTGCGAGAAGAAATAAAGTTTTTAACCTATCCTCCCTGTTAAAGTATTATTTAGTCTACCATTGAGTCTACCCTTAATTTTAACAGCTGCTATGGAAAAAACATATTTTTTTCGGATATCGTGAAATCGAATCAGAGACCGGCGTAATTTACGAGATAAATAAAATTTCCCGCCGCGATTTCCACGGCGATATTTTCGCCGGTTTTCCGCTCTGACCTTAATTGATTGTAACGCGCGGTACAATAACCGGCGCCCCCGCTTCTCGCGTAAACGGCCATATTTCCCCGCAAACGGTCTCATTTTCCTAGATTATCTCGCGGGGGAAAACGCATTAAAACGAACATTTTCCGCTAGATACGCGTCGGTATGTAACCGGAACCTAACATCGCTCTAAATCAGCCTTTAAATTGCCTGACGTGCATAAAAAAACATTTTTTATTTTTATTAAGTTATATTAGATCAAATTTTGAAAACTTTTTGAATAAAGTTATGAAAATAAATAGACTAAACTGTATTCAAATTCAAAATGCACCAGTATAAACAAATGCACAGTGCGTGATCAGCACGTGCCAGGCGAGAGCCAGCGGCGAAATCTACCCTGATTGGCCGGCTAGCCATAGAGCCGTTGTGGTAGGCGGTTGAGATTTTTTACAGGGTCGGCTTGCATAGCGCGTCCAGGAATACTGTTTGATAAAATAAAAATGCTTTTTAAATTTATTTCCAACCAAGCGAGTAAAATCAGAACGGTCAACTATTTCAATAATAATTGTTGATCACTTCGTACAAGTTACAAATAAAGAAAATAATATTTATGTTTGCATAAAATATTTTTACAATTAGTACACACGTACCTACTACAAAAAGTCAAAAGTTATATATTTTATATAAAATTATAAATTTTGTAAATCTAATGTTAATAAATTTTATGTTTAAAAATAGAAGTTTCTATTTGACTAGTTTTTCAAAAAAATGTCGTTATACTTTAAAACGGGTAATACAGCAGGCTACGAAAGCAAGTTAAAACTAAGTGCTTTTTTTGTCAACTAAAATGTATTAAATTATGTTATAATGCAATTGGTCTTTTAAATGATGTAAACACGTTTACATCATTGCATTTTTTGCAAATAGTATTATAGAAACAGATACCTATTTATATCGATATTCAGATATTGCTGTCAATAATGGAAATAAAAAGAATCAGTAGTACCAAATAAAAAGATAATTATTTTAAAGGACAAATTAAGCCCTTTTAAAAAACACCAAATTTGTTAAAATCGGTCGTGCCAAAGAGTAATGTAATATTTTAATATTCCCGCCCCCTTCCCATCACTTTATTTCTCTAATTATATGTAGTTTGATAATAATTAAAGGTAATTATTGAGAAAACTGGAAATCGTCCGATTTTCACCAAAATTGGTATACACCCTATTTTGAGGTCGTAGATTACGAATCTGACCTTTTTCGTGGTGGTCTCTTACCGTTTTTCAGAAAAACGGAAAATAGTTTCAACATAGAATTTTACTTAATTTCTCATATTTTTAAGGTTTTCTAGCACATATTTTGTTAGGTATGCAATAAACAATGAGGTTTTTGCTATTTTCTGTTACTTTTTTTAACCAATTCTATGCATAATAGAGGAAAACTTGCAAAATTAATTTGTAAACAATCTAAAAATGTTGGGTTATGTGTTTCTGGCATTTAAAGCAACGTTGCCAATGCTGAACGTAAATTTAGCGTGTTTTTTTCGCTCATTCTGGGATTACGAAAGGCGGTTGCCTGGGGAACGGCTCCTTCCCATA